GTCAAACATTGTTGCCAAATATGTGGGCATGCTACGCACGAATCACACCTTAACTTCAGCTTTCCACCCACGCACGAACGGCAAATGCGAACGCCTAAACCAGACCTTGAAGAAAATGTTGAAAAAGTATATCAACGGCAATGTTTCCATCTGGGATGATCATCTGAATACCGCTATTTGGGCCTGCCGCATTCGAAAACATCGCACCACCGGTTACAGCCCCTTTTACCTTACGTACGGCCGACATCCCAAAATTCCTGGTGACCCCGCCTGCCCTTGGATCAAAATTGGAACCGAAGAACAACCTCCAGAAGATATTGCTAAGGGAGCCGTCGATTATTTAAGCAAGCTACGCAAAGCACGCGACACTGCGGAATGGCGAATGCAACGCAACGCTGAAGCTGACAAACGCCGCTGGGACGAAGTAATGCGCACTGACACCCAAACCTTCGACCTTGGCGACTTAGTCTTGTTGCGACACGAAAGCCGAAAAGGACTGGAGCCGTCCTGGATGGGTCCATACACGGTCATCGACCGCAATCTCGACACGGACATTTATCAGCTCCACGAAGTCAACGGCAAGCCCTATGCTTCCTGGGTACACACGGAACGCCTTCGCCCTGCATATACGACCGACATTACCCCACGTGAAGCCTGGTATATTCCGCGTATTGCTCGTGCCCAACCTTCACCTCATTCTTAGCACTTCCTCGCCCTCTCGATATCTTTTCAATTTCTTTTTTTTCTCTTTCGTCTTGTCCGATTTCGTTGCTCGTGGACGATCAACAGTCTGAGGAGGGAGTATTGTCGTGACCTGTTTCCATTCTGACCAATCAGAACTCCCCGCGGACTCCCTCGCAAGCGAAGAGTCAACACCAATAACATATAGACTCTGAAAAGGGCTAATACCCTTTTGTATAATAGATTAATAATCAGTAAACTAGAGAAAAGATATAAAAGACAGAACAAACAGAATAATAAAAAGTCAGTCATTTTTAGACCTATATTTCTTGGCAAACCACTTTGGTGATCTTGACTGTATATCAGATCCGAGTGAAGTACGACACGAAATAATAATAAAAAAAAAATGTCAAACTTATAAAATCCGAAAAACTGACGAAAAAATGATCAGCTGCAAAAAAGGATGCGCGAACCGGGAATCGAACCCGGGCCCTTCGCGTGGCAGGCGAAGATTATACCACTTAACCATCCGCGCTTCGATATTTTTTTATTTTAAAATACATCAACAACACGCAGTCACAACGCAGTTCACTACAGTTAAATAGCTATTCCGTACAACCCGGACGTCCGGTGCTTTTCAATTCCTGACGCGGCCGGTATTTCTAACTTGCCATTTTGGGATTCTGTGTTATGCAGACTTCCCTTTCAGAATAAACATTCTTCTTTTGGACGAATTCTCGTTTTGGATGGGGAAAAAGACACTAAGCCGCAACCGTCATTAAGAGAGACAGTTAGGCACTTCGTGTACAGTAGCTCTTCTTTGAGTCTTTAATCAATTCTTGTAATTGCTGCAATGTCTTATCAACGCGAAATCAATGCTCATGCCGCTAGCGCTTCTAGCGCTAACGGCGTTACTAACCCTATTTTTACTGACAATGCCACACTTTCTGTTTCTAGCCGTTATATAGATTGTCACTGCGATAAATGTACTTCTCGACTCCCATCTGGAGAAATTTTCCATACACAACAAACCAGCCGGCAAACTCGCCGACATATACAGCGTTGGGGTCTTTCTCACCATCCTTTTTCTCCTGCGCCTGACTATGACGATGGTAAATTGACTTGTATATTTTATCTGATATATTTTCTCACGTCTTTTTTTTTTCCTCATAGACGACGATGTTGAGATGAATGAGCCGGACAATGTCAATGATACACCGCTTTCTTTTCCTGATGCCGGTAATCTACCATTCCGGCATTCATATAATCGGTAACTATGAAGTGAACTGTCAATGAATTTTCAGCCTTTATTTAACCTGACCTTTATATATATATATATATATGCAGCAATTCACCGTTACATGACAATAATTATTTTGCAACGGTAGATGACGAACCTCTTGATGCGACCGACATCGTTCCTGGAATTGTACCAGGGGATTCGGATAATGCTGTTTTTGGACAGATACTGGTTGATGACAATGGTGCCGAAATCGATATTGAAGACCTTATCGATGAGGAAAATCCGCATCTATTAGATGGCCTATCAGATGATGATGATTATCTTCGTGAAGAGCAGGTGGAGGACGACTACGAAGAAGCGCTGCCACCAAGTTCGGCCAACTGGTTTACCTGGGTCATCATGACTTGGGTTTACAATTTTTGTATCAAGTATTTATCTAAGGAAAGGGCGAAACAATTGATGGCGGGCCTCAATTTTATTTTTCTTGTGTGCGGGATGGAGTTTCAATTCCCTGCTGAATTGTCGACCCTCGCAAAAATGGTCGGTACACCTGATAGTGTCAAGTCTATCATTCGTTTTGTGGTCTGCCCCATCTGTCACAAGACAGAAAGTATTGGCGATCTGCGGTTGGAACGGTACAATGATCCTGTGGAACAAGTTCGATGCAACCACGTAGAAATCCCGGGACATTTAATGGCTCCATTCTCATCACCTTCCGGTCACCGATTATTCAAACGTTCCGCTGGAAACCGACCTGTGCCCATCAAGGAATATAGCTATCTTCCTCTTATTTCGACCCTGCAAATGATGTTCTGCCGCGGAAACTTTGTCAACAAGATCAATTTATGGAGACAACGCACTTCCTTTGTAACTGGCAATCCATCAAATATCTTATACGATATCTATGACGGCCATATGTGGAACGAACTCAAAGATCAACACGGAGAGCGCTTTGTTGATGACGGGCGGTCACTTCTTTTAACCTTGATCGTGGACTGGTTCCAGCCTTTTGACACCGGGCGTCAGCATTCAGTCGGTGGAATTTGGCGATCAACAATCTTCCCAGGACAGAACATTATAAGCCAGAAAATGTGATTTTGGCAGCGTTATTTCCTGGTAGCAAAGAACCTAGCAAACAACAGATCAACCATTACCTGCGGCATCTTGTTGATGAGCTAGAACAGTTGTATGTTGGCGTTGGTGAAGGAGACGAACGTATCGCGCTGCTATTCTCTTGGTTGCTTGTGATATCCCCGCAGCTCGAAAGTTTCAGGTTTCACAGGTACTTGACATAGCATTAATTTTTTTTATTTTTAACTAATAATGTATTCTTGGTAGGCATCTCGTCTTACGTGCATGCTACAAATGCACCGAACATTTTCAACTTTACCAGGACGTAATCTCAGACGCGACTTTCCAGGATGAGAAAAAAAGGAGATTCAACTGCCGCTGCTGGACCACTAAATAAAAATGTATTCCGATAATAATTTTTGTCATACACTTCTTTCTCTTCTTTCCCACACAATCCCGTTGACACGGAGAAAGTAAGTTGTTATTGCTTGACCAGTATCATCTTGCTCACCTTTGTATTTTGTCATCAAAGCCGCTGGTCATCATCCTGGTTCTCCTTATGGTTGCTATGCTGCCCACTATGATATTGCTCTGGAGTGTACCTCTGTTTGTATAGCCATGACAGCTCCCTGGAACTGGTGCGCGGTATCATCATTGACATACACACCGGCGATGTACTGTACAATGCTCAGAACTGTATATGCTCTTGTGCGCATCTTGAATTATATAAAGATGTTTATGTACAAGAGTTCATATCTGTTCTGATATTGTCATCTTTTTGTCTTTTTGTATTGTCATTGCATGTATGCTGCAAACTTAGCGTCGGATTTGTCATGAGTATATGGGCATAGACATCCTCCTGCCCTTTATCATGCTTGGCAGCATACTGTACCGATAAGTAGAAGCCGGAAGATTTTCAATATCCCCCTTCATTATTTCAACTGTAGTGATTCATATCCTTCTATTTTACTCTTATGTATATAGTAGTCTTCGGTAAGTAGTGTATACATAGTATAGCTCCATGGCTCCATGGCTCCATAGCTGTATAGTATAGCTTTATTTTATTTCTGACGGCAAGAATAAAATTGAATATTCACAAAATACGCAACAGCCCTCCCAAAGGCTATACGAATATCGTTAAAGAAGTGTGGTCTGAGCCCAATGAAAAAAGAGATGGATCCAGTCATGAACCAATAAGAAGTGAACATCTGTCTAGGATCTCTGAAAAACAACGAATCATAGAGCTGTCAGCATACATCTTCAACCAATGGTAATGCATTTTCTTGTAGAAAGTAACCAATGGTCATGCATCTTTTTGTATGAAGTGACCAATGGCAATGAACAAATGGCTTGTGTTCAAATGTCACGTTAACGTATTTCTATTGTAACTATTTTTAAAACTTTGAAGTCAGATGGACACCGTCCGCGTACGGTTTTGTCAATTCCGTCCGTAAGGTACGTACGGAATCCAGGATTCCGTACGTACCTTACGCGGACGGAATAGATGTTTAACTGTAGTGTGTGACTGTGTTAGACACGCATTTTTCCATCATTCAGAAGCTTTTGGGATCTTGGCAATTCATCCAAAGGAAGTTGTCAGGTGTCCAGCTTTCTCATATTTGGGCAGCCTGAATGTTTATATTTTTAATTTGCATCGAGGTAGATGGTGGTTATGATGTTCGATTGAAATATCGATTTGCTTGGGTAAATAATTTTAGTAAGAAATTAAAGAATTAGGTGCTAATTGTTCGATTTGTAATAGGTTTTTGCAGATTCACTACGAAAACGATTATCATCACTCATATGCTCTGGTATTTTGTATATTTATGAATCTGCCTTTGTAAAACTATTTCTTGTTTGAATTGATTATTGGTAGCAACCACCAGTCGCTAATTCACAGCTTGGAAGCGACGAATAGAGCCCACATGTTTATCAGAAATCAGCTACTAAAAGATTCAACGGTATTAGAGCAATACGACTGCCAGACGGCACTCGTGGAAACACTTGCGATTCACGAAAGGAAAATGCGTCAGTCAATTGATTTTGCCGGTCTCCATGAAAAGACAGCCGAAAAAGCTCGCGACCAGCCACCTTTCCTCATTTACAAGTCTTTCTTCCATTCTTCTGCCAAATTCCTTGGTATATGTTTCTTTTTATCCCTTTTGCCGCTCTCTTTCACTCAATTTTTTTCCTCCTTGCTTGCCCTTCTTTTTTTTTTCCTGGGCTGGCACAACCGTAATAGAGACACACGGATTCTTATACATTCAGATGATGGTTCAGAAAGCTCATATCGATGATAGAAGTGAGGCTGAGGGCGTTGAAATTTTTAGAGACAAAAATCAATTACCAGCGTTGTAACATTATAAGATGATGATAGAAGAACTGTTGATGAGCGAAAAAAAAAGGGGAAGAATGATGTAAACGATTTTATGCTGGCAATCGTATCTTTGAGGAGTGTTTGGATATAGGTTTGGTTGCCGTACGGGTCGTCTCGTTTTTGATACGTGGTTCTGATGGTGCATAAGATGTTCTAGGGTTCACATTAGCATGATATTTTTTTTGAGTTAGAGGAATGGATTGATAACTCTTACGATGATGATTGATTGCGCAGGTCAACTGGTTCCGATTTAACGAATGGGGTGAATGCATTTTGAATGACCCGTTTTCGTGGCGTCGCTTGTTTTTGACATGTATTAACCAGTTGGCGAACTTGGCTTTCAAGCATCAGCCTTGCCCCTTGGATTTGCTTGCTCGAAGACCTCGCTTTGCTAGAGATAGTCCAAAGCATACCTCCTAAAGCCACCGCAGTGCCACCTGTCAAAGCTACACTGCTGCCAAATGCGATACCACCCAGAGCCGACAGTCCGCCCAATGCACCGATACCCCTATTGACATGAGAAAAAAAAATCAGAATCTCAGGTCGAAGCGATTTTCACATGATCCAAAAAAAAAGTAGCATTACCATCCTGTTGCTTCAGATTTTTTCTCGCTTCTTGGATCCAGCCTTTCCAAGCATTGAACCAACTCTTGAATGGTGATCATGTCGTTGGTTAGTTGTTCCGGTACGGAGTCACCAAGCTTTTCATGTTGCTTGATCCATATTTGTGTGCTCTTCAGTATGCTGTGTACATGTGTCAGAAGGACTTCAAGTTGATTGTGAAATGTAATATCCCCATAGGCCACATTGGCCTGGTAAGTAGAATACAATGACAGTGTCAGGGCTCCTACCGCAGCAGCGGATTTATACAGTGTGGCATTCCCTTCCTGTTTTTGCACAGTCGTCTGCTTTGCTTTCTTATTTTTTGATGATTGGTCTTCCTCTTCATCAGAACTATCCTCTTCTTCCCGTTTCTGCTTGGGGGACGTTGTCGACGAGGTCCAATAAGATCGAAACCGCTTTTTTCGCGGGAACTCCTCTTCATAGTCACGATAGCTGGTGCGTCGTTTTCGTTCATTATCCATCTCCATGTAGCTGGTACCGTAACGTAATAAATATTCGCCAACTGCCATTGCTCGGTCTGTAGAAAGCCATGACGGCCACTGACGTTCTTTAGCAGAGGACATAAATGAGAACCAAGACGTCGTTTTCTCATCGGGAGACATGCGTTTTTGTTCCTAGTCAAAGTTCAGTCATAGATCAGCGAGAGGTCATAAGTAGTGAATTACCTCTGGCTTCTTTGGCAGCTCGCTTAGTATGTGAGGTGTAAAGTCTAACAAGGTGCGAATGGGAAGAGAAAAGTCGCCGGTCTCTTTATCGTACATCTCTGTAGGAAAATCATAATCGTCAAAGAACAACTAATACAAGGCATTAGACTTTATTGAAATAGAATACTCGGTACGAACTTACGGAGGCCATGGGAATATAAGCACAGTAAAAAAAAAAAGCTGGAGAGGTGGTTGCTTTAAAAGAAAATAACGATCTAACTTCCACGTGGCTCCAGCTGGACAATGCCACAAGATCCAAGCTCCGAACCCACTGACCACTCAAAAAGTTATCCGATCCCTTCCATGGTTATGAAGAAATACCAAAGCAGCCTATGACAAGAGCCGAATAAATCCACTTTTGATCCATTTTGTTCTCCCCAGTAATACGTCCTTTGAACATGATCGTGCACTTGCCGTCACGAATAGAGTAAAACTGATTGGAAGGACCCCACTTCAAAACGACAAGGTCAACAAGAAGACGAAAATAGAATATGTACAAATCTCTGTTAGGTGTGGAGTGTAACTCCCTGGAGACGTCAAAGCATTGACAAATGTATCAGAAAATTGAAAGATAATTCATCATGCTTCTGCCGTCTGTCTTATATAGATAATCCCAAAAGGTCTAAAAGCAATCCAAAAAAGAGAGCAAACAAAAATAGATGAAAAAAAAATCTATCCAACCCAACGATGTCCACAAGCTCGATTGCCACAGACATAGAATAATGTCATCTTGGCGTCTGCACGTCTAGAGGAAGATTGAAAGAAAACAGCTTCCGGGTGCCCACAGCGCGGACAAGGAACGTTGGCTCGGGGCTACGTAAGATAAAAGGGTTAGTGTCTCCATCGGGTAACACTGACAGTTTCCTTCATCTCGACGAATCAACTTACAAGGGTAGGATCAGCACTAAGATCAGCTAGCACCATCGTTTGCTCGCTAAAATAAAAAGTCAATAAATCAATTCATCCTGAATCTGGGTTGTCTGCAAACATACGAAGGTGCGTGAATGATTTCATGACGATATACGCAAAAATTATCTGCATCTTCTTCGTACTGACAATTACGGCAAGCAAACATCAATTTGCGATTTGCCTTGTCTTCTCTCGGGTATAGCAAGTTATTGCTAATGGAAACAATGAATATCCAAGTTCTACCAAGTTTCACGTCACTCGACTCTTGTATACCATTCCATGCAATATTTGAAGGTGGCCATTCGTGTGATTCAGGTCGCAATTCGTCGAGTACAAAAATATATGGAACCGATCCCAAATTGCAATTATCTGAAAAACGATGTTGGGTACAACAGTCGAGGATCACAAGAATAATGGAGCTGGACACCAAGAATAACAAAAAAAAGAAAAAGAGAACCAGCAGTGAAATTTTCTGACGTTCAATTTTTCCCATTCAAAACGTCAGATATTCATGAATCGCCATTTGATTGGCTAATGTGTCGAGGCAGAAAAAGCAAGCCTGACATGATCGTTGGATTTTACCCATTATTTTGTGGGGTGCTTTTTGCAAAGACCCTTTTTCTTTTCTGTTGTTATTGCTGTTTACTGTAATGTAGTATTTTAGCAACAGTTGTTTTAGAATGTATGGTATCATAATCGTCTGTGGGAATAAGAAAAATCATTGGTGAATCAAGATGAATTCGGCTCTCCTGCGATAGCAGTTTTGGAATCTGGCCGTCGCCCAGTGACCAATACCGGATACACCCATTCTCGTCGGCCCAAAAGACGGTATACTGATCCAGCTCCGGTTAAGAAGATACGATTGTTGATGCTGAGACCTAAGCCGGAATCGATGCATCGACGCTGTTGTTCTTGCATATAGTTGGCTAAACCGCCAAAAACGTTCTTGTTCGGTAGACGCTGGATGGACACATCAATATAACCCAATGCCTTCAACTTTTCCTCATACGCAGTAATTGTTATACAATGTTCCAAAGAAACGTGGAGTTTGACGCAGAGCCACGAGATGATGGCCTGCGTGAAAGGCGATAGTTCATTCAAAGGTTGCGGGAACACCAAATCGTACAAACCTATAGTCCCATTCGGTACCAACAGCGGCAAAGCATCCCGAAAAAAGTCCCACTTGGTTCCGAAATGGACTGCAGCATCGATACAGACAATGTGATCAAACTGTTTGCCGGCCATTGAAGAGCTTATATCGTTCGCGTTGCCTTGCAGCAGGGTCATTCGATCTGACAGAGGTTGCCACTGTTCCTGAAGCCGAGACGCTGCGTTTTCCCATTGCTGTGTTTCAAGCGTAATACCCTGGATGTATGTATAATTCGTCAGCTACCATTTTTTGGGTTAAAATATGAAGGGGAAAGCTTACCGTTACGTCGCATTCATACGCATCTGTCAATGTCAATATAATTGTCAGATCGCTGTGTACCTGCTATATTGAAACAAACAAGTACTTACCAGCAAAATGGAAACAAGAGTCACCACAACCATAGCCGACATCTGGACATATAATGCATAAGTTTTTTAATAAATCGACGCATTTATTTCCTCAGCATACCCAAAATTTTCGTGCGACGGCCGAGTTTCATATAATTTGCTACAGCATTCACAAGCGCAACGCATGCCTGATGGTAGGTGAGACCTTCCTTCTCCCAAAGCCCCATATTAAACCAAGATTCTTTGGGAGGTAGTGACACATTCAATATAGCCTGTCGTAAGCCGTACATGTTGGTTGAAACAGATAATTCCGTCCGTTGAATCAAGATCCAGGCTAACCCCACAGCATGCAAGTACAGCAATACGTACTTGAGGAATCCCGAAGTGACAGTCGCAATGACTGGCAACAGTGAGGCATACAATAAAAGCTTCATTGTTACAAAAGGGAAAAGAAGAAGCAAATAAAGCCGAGAAGAAAACGGTGTGCCTGTTATAGAATCAAAATTTCCACATCGCCTCTTCAAATTAAACTCATTGTCACTCTTCCCCCGAAACTTTCGGCAAAAAAAAGGTCACTCTCATTACCACACCATTCTGCGCTTGCCAGAATGGGCAGCAACTGTTGCAAGCCTGAAGTGACTTTGTTACCTACAATTGGCAGAGCTCGCATTAATTTACCATTTTTTTTCTCTTTTTCTTTGCTTAAAGTGATAGACCGCTGCTTGACCCTATCGTGTTACTTCTATCATGTGCTATTAATCAATACTCTGCGGATCTGCCAAAATAGATCATGTAACCTGTGCTATACAGTATCTCGAACGGAGCCATTACAGTTTAACACTAGCTGTACGAGTCTAATTTAAAACGTTGCATCCCATCAACGTTCGGCTCAAAAAATAGTTTATGCGGTATTTTTTTTCGGTGCATTGTCGTAAAGTACAAACGGTATTCCTATAGGCATGAGCATACAGTGCGGCAATATCATTATGAAGAGTGTGCAATACATCACGTGAACCAGCGCAATGAAGAAGTATACCTTTTTCTAATGCTGCCACAAATCTTCGCGATACAAGTTGCTTGTGCTCTCTGCCTGCGGCTCGGCCAGGTTCATGAGACATGTATCTTATCAATATACAATTCTAAAGAATAGCTAGTTCAATAACATCTACAGTCTGCTTGCTTGCGAACCTCGAGATTAAGTTAGTACAGCTATGAAAAGAAACGGGCATTACCAAAACCCAATGCAGTGCTTCAAAAAAATGAAATGCAAATGTTCTATTTCGGAAAACGGCCCTTGCTTAATTTCAATCACCGATTTCCGGCTTCATGGTGTGAGCAACGTCACTGAAGGAAAAGAACAGAATTTTTTCCCCTTTTGACTGTTGCCTCTGAAGCGTTAGCTTTTTTCTATTGCTCTGCACCTGACCCTCCATGGCATTGCCAAAACGAATTATCAAGGTAAAGTTCGTTATAGGAGTTTCTCTATTACCTGTACAGTCACCTTACCTTACTTTAAAAAATCCTAGGAAACCGAACGCTTGCTGGCCGAGCCCGCACCAGGCATTAGCGCCACGCCTCACGAGGATAACTTGCGCTACTTTGATGTTATCATCAGTGGCCCTACTCAGTCACCATTTGAAGGTATTTCTCATTCATCAAGAAGCAGTCGATACGAGTTAAGCAGCTTATACTTACGGTTGCCGTGTTTGGATAGGTGGCATATTCCATCTCGAGTTATTTTTGCCCGAGGAATATCCCATGGGACCTCCCAAAGTTAGATTCCTTACCAAAATCTACCATCCCAACATTGATAAGCTTGGCCGTATTTGCCTTGATATTCTGAAAGGTAATAGATTGTGTGGGGCAATGTGCGTTAAGAAAGGATGACTCACGCTGTTCATTAGACAAATGGTCTCCGGCTCTTCAAATCCGCACTGTTCTGCTGTCTATACAAGCATTGCTGTCTGCACCTAATCCTGATGATCCCTTAGCCAACGATGTAGCACAACATTGGAAGGAAAATGAGCCCGATGCCATCAAGACAGGTAAGAATGAATCGTTTGACTTTGTTTGACTGAAATGGATTACTCATGAATTATTGTACATTTTATTTTCAGCTCGTGAGTGGACAAGCATGTATGCGCAGAATTAGGTGGTTGAATTGCAAGAGCATGTCGAAGATTCTTTAATTGCTCGTTGTTATTGATTGTGTCTTCTGTTTCTCGGTCTCGTTTGTCTCTTTTTTCATCATTCTGTTGTCTCCCTTTGCAATGTCCTCCTTGTCCCTCTGCGAGTTATTTATGGTTCGCCACAATCAATTTTTGTTACAATTCTTTACACATCATTTCTTTTACTGATTATGCGCGTTTCGTTCTGTCTTCGGGAAAAACTGGGTTCTATTCTTGGTCGCTCCATACACAGAGAGTGCCGTACAAGAAAAAAAAAGCAAGGATAAGTGGGAAAGGGATGTTTACATACTTCAAAAAAGAATCCCGGACATTTTTTGAGAATGTTATCTCACCGTGACGGGCGTGACATGGTATGAGGGCTTGAGTAAGCAAAGTGACTTGGGCGATAGGATGGTGGGTGTGTTTGTAAAGGCGGCAAATGTGGCGAAGAGTGATGGTAAGGAGTTGGCGTGTTGTATGGTGAATAATGATAATAAGGAGCAGGATTTGAATATGTTGTATATGGTGGAGGATGAAGGTAAGGAGAAGAGGCGGGCTGATCCCTCTGATCCACAGTCAGACGTGGCAAATTTCGCCCTACAATGCGACTCCTTCGCTCGTAATCGGGATCTTGAGCGACATAGTCATAGAAAGAGGGTGGATATTCTTCCTTGTCTTCTTCAAAGATATTTGGACGATAACGTCGACGAAATCCGGGTGGATCTTCTTGAAGAGGTCGTTTCATTCGTGGCCTTGGGCTACCACTGCTGGATAGCATCATGATGGTTCTTGCCGCTGCAGCTTCTTGCTGATCATCCTCGCTGTCGTATCCACTGCTTCGCCGTATGCGTTTTCGTATATGTGGCGGAGAGGCTGGAGTTAAAGGAAATTGACGTCCAGTTTGATCGCTCTCTGGGTCTTTGGAAAATACATCTTCCACCTCTTGAAAATCTTTATCTGCCATGCCACTCTGCACTTTCAGCCGTGCAAATTGCAAACGAGCTTTTAGCGTCCGAGCAAGCTGTTCATCAAGTCTGTTGAATTAGCGTCTACCTCTCGCGTTAAATAGACTTTAAGATGACATACCTCGTTGATGGTCTCTTTTTGGTTAGTAGAGCGATTCTCCTCTCGTGGCGGCGTCGTGGCAGCCATATAAAGTCGACGAGAAGGAGTGTCCATTGATAAAAAAGTACCACTTACACCAGTGCTAATAAAAGAAGTCTCAAAAACAATAACCAAAAAAGAGAGTGAAAAAAAATTAGTAATTCATGCCATGGCTTTTTTTTCCCTTCCTTGATTTGCACTTGTTTCAGTTCTCATGGGTGTGCGATTGGGAAGAAATGTATTAATTTCATTGGCTGGCGAGTTTTGGAATCATGATGGCGTTATCTTTTTTCCACCGCTATTCATTTCCCTGTCTCAGGACCTTTTTACAAGCAATAAGTTATATAACTTAATCACCAGAAGAAATATAATTTTTTGATTGATTAGCAAGGTGATTTTTAAATAGAATCCAATTCAAGTTGATCGAATATATTTTACTTTACGTCATGCATTTATTGTTACAATAGCTTTCAAGCAGTTGATGACGCGTATATTTGAGAGCAATAGTTTTCTTGGGTTATGTACTCATAAATTACTTTTTTTATTTCTTTCTTCTTTGTACAAGGTGATGGGGGTTTCAATAACCGAGGATCCACCACAGAATAGCTTCATAACAAAATACGTACTGACGTAGCGTTTGTACCATGCTAACGCGTTGTTCTCTGAATTTGCAAATGGTTTGGTATAATAGATCCAATTCTCCCGCTTTCTCTAGATCGCGTATATCGCCCGAGTCTTTTAACCGATGGATTAACGTGTCAATGGCACAAAACGCGCCTGATCGCCCGCAGCCTGCTGAACAGTGGACGATCATCGGGCCCGGCGATTCAAAGCTTCTCTGGGTTTCATCGGCTAGTTTCACAAGCGCCAAGGTGCCCAACGGATCATCCGGGACGCCAAAGTCTTGCCAACCAGTATATTGAATCTGTGTGACTTGCCGCGTTTCAGACTTAAACTGTATAGAGAAGTCGCGACGAATGATCTGATCATCAGGATGGTCTGAGAGCACCCGAACCGTTTCCTTAATAAGGGTCACCCGGACCGAACCGTATGTCTCTGATTGATCCACTGTGGAAGGCCAATACTGATGACATTTGATCTGCGAATGCATTGCATTAATGATCCTGTTTAAAACATAAAATCTCTTTTTTTTCATCTTACCCTGTTCATTTCTTCCTGTTTCGTCAGCATCACAATCACACGAGAATTTTGCTGCCAAACGACGCTCCAAAAATCGCCAAATGTAGAAGGTAATGGACCTTGGGTAGATATATATCGACGATATTGGCGCCCTAACTTCATCTGTTCATTCAGCGTCAACAGTTTCGGTACGTCTTGCGCTGACCCGGTAGGTGTATGTACATCTGCTGTATCGCAGTCAATATATTGAATGTAGCTCGCATTGATATAGTCCGCATCGGGTTTAGATGTCTCCAGTTTTACACGTGTGTACTCTAAATACTTCGCATTAGCCAAGGATGCACGTCAAAGACCATCGACTGAACAACTGAGAGCTTAATCCACTTACCAAACGGCCAGATATTGGTATATCGGTTAAGTGTACCCTTTTCTATACCTGCCACAATACTGAACGGATGATCCATCAGATCATTGTCGGCTTTGGCATGGTGAGCCATAACGCTTTGAAGACGTCGCTGTTCGGTACGCTCAATGTTTTCATAGCATTCAGCTAGATAATGGGGTCCTTCGACCGGGACAAGCGTTTTTCGAAGCCAAGGAGGTAATCGTGTAGGTTCGGTCAGGCCAGCACAATCGCGTAATTTGCGTTTCGTGCCTGCCACTTTACCGGTATCAGTATCAACGGTGCAATCGGGGGCCAATCGAACGGAAAATCGCTCCTTGATGCTTCCATGACTCAATTCCATGTTTTGTCGAATGTTGGAGAAGAATGGATTGAAGGCGTGGTTTTTGAGAGGCATTGATGCTGTCATGGATGGAAGAGGGCCTAGATTGAAAGCGCCTGGTCGTTTTGTCGGAGTTAAAGGTGGCAAGCCGGATAAGCTGGGTGTCGGAGGAACAATATGGCCAGAAGGCGATCTTCTTTGTGGTGGCGTTGCGCCGATGCAGCGATCCGCATAAATCTTTGAAAAGGCATCCATGCCGCCTAAAAAAGAAACAAAACATTGCAATGTTTAGCATTTCGATGTCGGAAGCAAAATGATTAGATAGCCTATTGAATGCATCATTTGCATTATCACACGATAGATTGTCCCATACAGATATGGATATATTGGTAAAGGATAGCAATATCATGGTGTCGGGCCATGAAATCATCATACATGGACACTTGCATCCACGAACGTGCAGCCCCACATTCATCTTTTCTTCCCCTTCCCTTTTTTTCTCTTGTTTCGGCCGTTTGTTTGTTGTTGTTCTTTTTTTTTTTTTTTCTTTGGTAAAAAAAGATAAGGAAAAAGAGACAAAGCATATTTACCTTTCAGATAAGCTAATGTACCATCAAAATGACTGGTTTTGAACTTTTGCACAAAGTAGCTGATGGTACTATTTTCTTGAAGAAGACTGCCTTGCTGGTCATATAGAACTATATGTTTTGCTTGACGCCATTTTAACCACAGCTGTCGGTGTTCGTCTGAAGCGATGACATCGGCTATTTTGTCAAGGGTAAAAGAAGGGCGTTTGAGGATGGTGTTGGGCACGGAGATATTGATCGCCGATTTGATGTGAAGGTGGGTATAATGCACAAAAGATCGAACGTCAATCAGTAGAAGCGTGGAAGAATCAGGAGAGTTCGACTCCAATAGGTCAATGACCACGCGCGGTTCAAACACAGACAAACCCTGGGTAAGTGAAACAGGCGATATTGATGATGACGAATGATTGGGTAAGGCTAATTTACGCTTGATGGCTAACGAAGCTGCGGAGAAATGGAGGGTATTGGACGGAAGCTGAATCTCCGGTGCTTGCTGCTGCTTCTTGGATTGTTCGGTGGCAAAGGGTCCAGTTAAGCTGTATCGTTTTTGGATCGCATTGAAAAATTCTTGATGCTGAGATAAAGGAGACCGTGGTCCACCAACGCATGACGTCCCTAATTCATGTGTATCATTCGTTGCTGGAGGAAATTCCGGCGGTTGTCCAATCGGTGTTGTGCTAGTGCATTCAATCATGATATAATGACGCTATATGATACTGACAAGGTAGTAGGAATAAATCAAAACAAAACGAGGTGGGCGCGAAAGTGAAATGGATGTATTGGGAACGAAGAGGTGTTTGTGGATGAAGCCTAAAGGGACTGAAGTGGATGAATAATGAAATGAAAGGAAAAGAAAAAAACAGCTAAGAGAAAAATAGTGGCAGAAGCAGGATGAAAAGAAAAGAAATCAAAAAGAGGATTGGAAGTAAGGGAGTAACATCCAAAAAAATAGCCTGAATGAGTTCTGGAGGGGACTCGCACTAATGTCGACAGGGCCGTTTTTTTTTTTTTTCGAAGGAAAAAAAAAAGTCGTCATTGGCGTAAAACGGGCGAATCAAATCACACTTATTTGCATTCATGAAGCAATGACATTATTGTGTAACATGCCATTTTTGGTTATGCTCCTTTTTTTTGTCCTTCCTTTTTCTGGTCTGACTTATCCTGATTACTGTCTTCAATTGACAACAGTTTTCGGAGGCTTCCATGTCTCCCAAAATGAAAAAGTTAAGTCTCAGGATAGTAGATATCCCTTTAAAGCTACGGCGCTTTGCTCTAGCAGGTGATCCCATGAAATTTTGGCTTTGAGATCTTTTACCAAAACCTGGGGTTACTTGTTTTGGAAAGCTCAGTGAATTTGTGGGATCGCACTAACATGATTTGAAAATCGTTTGTCATCGCCGATTGTTTTCTTCATCTCCAGTGATCAGTCGGGAGATGAATTATGCTCCATTTTCAGAATGAAGCACGACGCTGTGTTAATGATTCCGATGAATTTTTTTCTTGACCTTTCCATAGGGTTCGGCATATCCAGCATGTCACACAGAATAACTGACTGGTTTATAAAGAAAAAAAAAGTTTGCTGTAACGTAGAAAAAAATAGGGTTCAAAATAAAACTTATAAAAACTTGACATGTGGCAATGTGGTGATAATGGTGGGTCAAAGTGACAAATATGTCCCCCTGTTACTGGTAATAGCGCCTCAGTCTACTTATCCTCATGCATCGTCACTCTTTTCAAGATATGATGCAGTTTTGTTTCTTTTTCTTGGAAGAAGCTGGTGATGCTTGAGGATGATGATGCTGCGGACCAAGTGAAGGAGATGCTTGTGTAGGAGTGTGCGGCAAAGGTAAGGCGGAGGAAGTGGAAGGTACATGAAGCGATGTGTTGTGCTGTGCTTGTTGATACGCTTGATCTTGCTGTTGTAGTGATAATGCAATAGCGTAACTACAAATATGCAACGTTAAATTTTAAGTACACAGTTGTTTTCTGAAGTTCCATCATCGATATCATCAGAATCGTGTTTCCGATCCATCAGAACAAGTCTAATACTTACTCCAAATCCGTGCGATCATCTGATCCAGATGTTTGTCCGTGAAGCTGAGGTGACGACGGTAGACCTGTTTCATGAGGTTTCTGAAAATGACTGTCGAAAAATTCCGACATCCCCTGATCTACATCACTTAAACTTTCCCAGACAAAGGATCGCTCGGACGCCAGTGAGGAATCCGTAACAAGCATGTATAAACGCTCGGTCTCCGGATGTTTATAGACAGTTGAAAACTAAACAAAATATTAGATATCATGTCACCGCGTCGTAAAAACATTTATACATACGTGGTTATTACGGAAGAGTACGCATATTTTCCCCCGGGCAATGGTATCCAGCAGCAATTCCAAACCGTAATAGGTCAGTTGAGTGGCGGTATCTTGCAGAAACTCAGCAGCCACGAGGCCTATCAATTTGTCAATACTCGCTTTTCCCCCTTTTCGTGAGTCTCCTTTAGTACCATCATGGATGGCTTGCTCGTTTCCTGGCGTTGATGGCTGCTCAGCGTCTGTCTGTTGCTCTTCCGTGTTGTTGATCGCAGCTCCGCTGGCAAGTGTATCACCACGCACGATACATTCAACAACTGCATTGTAAGATCCACATTGTTCCACTACTATACGGTAGGTCTCTGCATCCTACCGATGAAATTGAATTATTCTGTGCTGCTATATTGCCTTGTTGTTAAACTTCGTGATTTTTACCTGGGGATCAGCGATCCATCCATGGACAAGATCTACGTCGAATAGATCAAACATAGCCAGTTCGGCTGTAGGTTCAAAGTCCCTTGTAGAGGAGAAACGCACATTGACATCTACCATATCGTTGTTCTGATATTTAATGTTTGATAATAAACTACACAGCAAGCGACTCAATATACCTAGCCCAGTCTGCAGATTAGGGAGCATAGATAAGGCAGCATCCAGATTATGGCGATACGTCAAGACATATTCTGCAGTTGATTGCCGCGGTACGAGGTTATGAATAGGTCGTGATTCGAGCTTGCTTTCTTCACCAACGGGTGATGCTGAGAGTGGCGAACTGGATACTACCGCAGCCGACGAGGTCATCGTTCCCTGTGTAAATGTGTTTAGTTTACTACTGTACAATTGTTTTTCATTGATTTTCAACGATCTACCTGCGATTCAGGAGGTCCATGTGTCAAAAGATAATCGCCCAGTAAGCCCACGAGATATCCAAAGGTCACTTTCTCTCTGTCAGGTGGAAGGATATCGATATCGCCACGAAGCAAAAGCACGTTGCCTACATATGAAACTAAGCTTTACGTCATAAAGTGAATCAAAATGACTCGATTTTACAGATGGAAATCAGCGGGCAGGGGCCGTTCTCTATTCAGCTTTATTGCATTAGTGACTCGCTACTTATATCATCATTCATCGTTTGATAATGCGCCTCACCGTTTTGTGTGACAATTGATATTCGGCGCGGTGCTTTTTCTTCATCATAAATCCAGTCAATCTGCTTTACGAGATATTCTTGTGCTGCTTCAGGCTGGGCGGTATCTTGCCCAGAGCCTTCCGGAACAGTCTGAGAAAAGATGTCGGCAGTGGTCGGTTGAACGGAAGTTGGTACATTTGGAGAATCGATGCACGAACTGGATGCCACATCATTTTCAGCCGGTAAGGGTTCATCCTTTTCCAGATTGCTCTTTGACACAGTATTAGCAGTCTTTGTTTCGTCTGGCGAAGCGTTGGAATTGCTGTCTATACCCGAATTTGCAGATGCAGTAAACGAGTGACGGTTATCGAGCTCTATGTGGTTCTGCTGGCGTTAAACTTGTCGTCCACTAAATGTCATCCAGAGGACTCAACGCAATTACCTTGCGATGGTACTGGAGAAGCAGGAGATTGATTCGTCATAATATTATTTGGTGTCCTGGGTACGTGGATAGACTATTCACCAAAGCAAAAGAAAACTCCAAATCAGCAAGCAAAGTATCGGTTCTTAAAATACGTGATATTGAGCGCATTTTGGGACATATTCCCAGACACGGATTTCGAGGAGTACACCAGCTGTGCATCGTTGCATTTGGATGGTTGCGCAGCCTTATCCACGGATACACTGGCATGATCGTTGCTCTTTCATGGATGCATTTTGTTGCTGAGTTGAACAGAGGTACAAAATGATGGTCGTGGTTTTTAATGGATGCTGTAACAATGACGCTGTGCTGATCAACGGACTTTCAAATCAATCATGCTGGTTAAAGTGTTTGAAATGAACCATGGGCCTATTTCTTGTTTGTTCTTTTACATCTTCCTCATTTCTTCTTCTGTCTGCCACTTTCTCCCCAAAAGAAAAAAAAAATGTCTACTGCAAATAATCTCTCCGCAAAAGCCAAACAATACTACGACTGCATGGATGCCAATCTTTCTCAAAGCCCGAGTTTCCGAGCAATGGAAGAGAAAACCAAGGTTCCTAAAACTTACATCGCCCTTGCCGGCATCGCTTCTGTCTTTGTTCTTCTTTTCTTCAACATTGCTGGAAGTTTCTGGACCAACCTTATCGGCTGGGTTTATCCAGGTAAGAAAATGTCAACTATGCATTCAACCGTCCAGGCACTCAACAAATGTCTCTTGCTGTCGTAACTGTCTATCAGCTATTGCTTCGGTAAGTTACATTTCGAAATCGGAAAAAAAGAGAAAAAGGGTCACTCGATAGTAATCCAACGTGTTTGTTATGTTGTTGTAGATGAAAGCTGTTGATTCCACAGATCAGCAAGAAAAGAAGCAGTGGTTAACTTACTGGGTGATTTTCGGATTCGTGCACATCCTTGATGAATTCTCGGATGCTATTCTGTATATGGTGCCGTTCTTCTTTTTATTCAAGACATTGTTCCTTCTTTATCTCGCTTTGCCCCAGTTCAAGGTATAGTTAAAAGGCACTGAGCAATTTGCTCATCACACATTTGTTGATGGTCATTGATCTATAGGGTGCGGCAGTCCTGTACGACCGTATGGCGTTGGCTTTCCCAGATTACTTTGGCAAAGCATCTACCCGTGTGCCTCCGAGAAAAGAAAACTAATGCGTCAACTTGATAACCTAGTATACTGTCTATACAATCACCAGATTGAAACCCCGTTTGTTATAGCCATATAATGTAAAAGCCAGACACCTGTCATTTGTTATGATCATATTGGGCCGAGTGTTAAAAAAAAGGAAATACGAATAAAGTCATATCATTTGCAAGATACGAATAAAATCATAGTATCTGCAAAGACATGAACAAAGCCAGAGCATCCAGTTACATCATCTTTGGAAAACACAAATAAAATGTTATCCCGTAAATTCCCATTTCGCGTGTTTATATAAAGTTTAATAAGATGATATAGCATACTAGGCAAACATTTACACGCAATGTAGATATTTGATACAGAGGACATTGAAGAAAATGGGCGGTTTTACTTTAGCGATTTATGTGCATCAGGGCAGTTGACAAATGAATCGTGGTTCTACCTATAAAGTAGAAGGTGCAAAAAGGCAAGTTGGAGGTGGCAAGTCAAGATGAAGGAGGAAAACACGGCAATGTACAGTTAATTACAGCGATTTCTTTGATTTGGTGGGATCGTTGACGGCAACGTAGTGATACACGATAATGAGAAGCATTGTCATCACGCCTAGTGTGTTGGCAATGAAAGCGAGTTGGGTATCTGTAATCATCGTAACTATTCGTTATCACTCGTACAGCTAAAAAATAACGAGGTTAGATAATTTGATATTATACAGCTTCTGTAACAACTCACCACAAATAGAGCGGGAGCCAGAGCAAAGACAACTGGTGGCAGAGAGAAAGCGGGAAATTCCACGTTGAATGCCAACAAGAGAGTTACAAATAGAACTCCGATACCGACACTTATCGCCACAGTGCTGATACAATTTTTTGGAACACGTCTTTATTGCCATTGTAATTACGTAAAAGACACTGTTTACTTTACTGCATGATTCTGAAAACGGTTCAAGTGAGCGTGTTGGATGTGATATTTAAGACCGTTCAAGTTTTTGTACCGCTTGTAGCAGTGGCTCGAAAAGTGACACACATAAGGCCGCGACAAATTATTCTGCAGTTTCTCCAGACAATGTCCATGATTTTTGTGATACTTGAGACCGTTCGCGTTTTTGTATGTCTTATCGCACCCTGGTACTTTACATTTATAAGGTCTTCCCGAGGATGTTTCCATGTCTAAAATTGACCTCGTTAAGAGAAATTGCATAGGATATATGATGTCATCCATAAATCGAGTGAAACTGATCGTTTTACCTTTTTCGGCCATTCCAGCAGCCTGGACCAGGTGCAAGCCAATGCCAACCTCTGGCGCAGCCTTGACATCTTCCATACTACTCAAACTGGGACTGCTGCTGTTACTAGTGCTTCGTGAGGAGCTCAAACTGATTTCGGGTGGCGAAATATTCTCTTCCGTATCATCGATGGTCTCTAGATACAAGGGCAGGTTCTCTAGAGCCGTCAGATCTAAATTAGAAATATGGGTCGCCACCGGTGGCACTTCGCGGTGCATGGTACGATGCACATTGTCATATAAATGTCCTTCTTCGTACAACTGTGGTGAACTGCCGTGGCGGGCATAAAGTAGACTATCCCGCTCATCATGGACGTGATATTCCTCGTAATGCTGTAGTAAATCATGCAGATCTAACAGTGATCGACCGCAGCATATAAAATCTTTGCAAAAGCTTATTTCAAGTTCTCGTAAACGAGACAGACTGTCCATCGGATCCATACTCATTGATCTATCAACGTAAATTGTCAGATTCCACACCATGCAAAAAAATGCGCATCAATTGCCATTATATAGCGGAGAGAAATCATCCGCACAATCTGTATTTTTTGAGAAACTCACTTGGGTGGATCATGGTGCGATTGATAATGTGATAAAAGTGGCGATGCAAAGCAGTCCAGAGCAGAAGTCATGGCCAAATTAAATTAAGGTAGATAAGTTAGAAAGAGAAAGAAGTGACAACAGTACTCATTGTAGCAAAACCCTTTTTTTTTCTTGCAGTTGCCGATCCTCGTCCAAAAAAGCCCTGGTCTCGCAGCACGATCAGCAAGGCAAACGCACCACATGCGGAAAATTTGATTGGATGAGTCGCCAATTTCATGCCCAGAATAATGTTATATGTTTGATGTCTCAGACATGTTTAACTGTTCAGTTGATAGCCTTGTGCTGCGCCATGCAGTTGCCGAATAACTGGCATAGAATGCTACGATTGCCAGTCGACAATAATTTTGTTTGTCCAGTCAAGCTATACAAAAATCGCTCATACGCATTTGGTAAACTGCCATGGTTTTTTCCCACCCTAAATACAGCGATGGAAGAGCGACAAAATGTCGGAATTATTCTTCCTCGTAGCACCACAGCAATAAGAAAGGCTCATTGTAGGTTAATTACATTATCAAGCGCAATGGCAAGTTAAAAAGATATCGTGTTTGATTGTTATATTGATGCGTATAGAAGTGGCCATCTTGTGGAAGCAAATGGATCTAATGTGCCGGTGGCAGCCACAGAGTGTACAACAGACATGCGGAGCCATTGATGTCCTGCAAAATAAAGGGATTGCTATCGCATATTTCACTGTAATCTATGGTGGTAGGATTGATTTAATCCGAGCTTTGTTATGGTATTCAATGGCATATCTACAGAGGGGCCGGCCTTTTTGGCTTAATGGTGTTTTTCCCGAATGCACCCTTGTGGAAAAATTTGGCGGACATTTAAATTAAGCTCACTGAAGCCTCCGGTGGGACTGAAAAACTTTGAGCCCTTGCTGCTATTTTTTCCCTTCCACCTTTCCGCTTTTAAACCACCTTTGCACACGCCATGAATCGTTTGGTCACCAAAGCTTTCCAGCAGACTCGTTTGAGCACACGCTCTTCCACCGGCATTCTTAACCGTCTCTACTCTACTCACAAGGAGATCAAATTCGGTGTCGAAGGCCGTGCTGGTCTCTTGAAAGGTGTCGACATTTTGGCCAAGTCGGTCGCTGTCACTCTCGGTCCCAAGGGCCGTAATGTTTTGATCGAACAACCCTACGGCTCCCCCAAGATTACCAAGGATGGTGTGACCGTTGCCAAGTCCATTGTTCTGGAAGACAAGTTTGAGAACTTGGGTGCTCGGTATGGATGTCAAGGGCGCAGCTGATATTTTGAATTACATGGTCATATTAACTCCTATGTATGATGATATAGCCTCGTTCAGGACGTTGCTAGCAAGACCAACGAACTTGCTGGTGATGGTACCACTACTGCTACCGTGTTGGCTCGCGCTATCTTCACTGAAGGTGTCAAGAATGTCGCCGCTGGTTGCAATCCTTTGGACCTTCGTCGTGGTTCCCAGATGGCTGTGGATGCTGTCATTGATTTCTTGAAGTCTCACACCAAGGTTATCACCACCGCCGAAGAAGTTGCGCAAGTAAGTTATTTTTTAATTTTGGGAATAAAGGAGGCTGGCACAAATGACAGCGGCCCTGAAGAATGAAACATTGTCATAAAAGAACATGTAATTGACCGTTTGTATTTGTGGTATAGGTCGCTACTATCTCGGCTAACGGTGACAAGCACGTTGGTGGCATGATTGCTCAAGCTATGGAGCGTGTCGGTAAGGAAGGTGTGATCACTGTCAAGGCCGGCAAGACCATCGAGGATGAACTTGAAATCACCGAGGGTATGCGCTTCGATCGCGGTTTCATCTCGCCCTACTTCATCACCGATACCAAGACTCAGAAGGTTGAATTCGAGAAGCCCTTGATTTTGCTTTCCGAAAAGAAGATCTCCTTGTTGCAAGATGTTTTGCCTGCTCTCGAAACCGCTGCTACCCAACGTCGTCCTCTTTTGATCATTGCTGAAGATTTGGACGGTGAGGCTTTGGCTGCCTGTATCTTGAACAAGCTCCGTGGCCAGCTTCAGGTGGCTGCTGTCAAGGCTCCTGGTTTCGGTGATAACCGCAAGTCCATTTTGGGCGATATTGGTATTTTGACCAACTCGACCGTCTTCTCCGACGAACTTGAGACCAAGTTGGAAAGAGCTACTCCTGAATTCTTCGGTACTACCGGTTCCGTTACAATTACCAAGGAAGATACCATCATCTTGAATGGCGCTGGTAGCAAGGATTTGCTTAACCAGCGTTGCGAACAGATCCGTGGTGCTATTGCCGATCCTTCCACCTCGGACTATGAGAAGGAGAAGCTCCAAGAACGTTTGGCCAAGCTCTCCGGTGGTGTTGCCGTTATCAAGGTCGGTGGTGCCTCCGAAGTTGAAGTTGGTGAAAAGAAGGATCGGTAAGTGACATGTTTTTGAAGGAAAACAGAGGCCACTACAAATCGGTATTGACATTTTTTTTTTCTGTGCAGATTCGATGATGCTTTGTGTGCTACTCGCGCCGCTGTTGAAGAAGGTATTGTGCCCGGTGGTGGTGTTGCTCTTCTCAAGGCTGCCAAGGCCCTCGATAGCTTGAAGGCTGCCAACTTTGATCAGCAACTTGGTATCAACATTATCCGTCAGGCCATCCAGCGTCCTTGCCGTACCATTGTTGACAATGCCGGCGGTGAAGGTTCGGTTGTTGCTGGCAAGCTTTTGGAAGATGACTCCCAGAACATCAACTGGGGTTATGATGCCGCTACCAATGAATATGTTGATATGATCGAGCGTGGTATCGTTGATCCTACCAAGGTCGTGCGCACGGCTTTGGTTGATGCTTCCGGTGTTGCTTCCCTTTTGACCACTACTGAATGCATGATTGTGGATGCTCCTGAGAAGCAAAAGGGTGGTATGCCTGGTATGCCTCCTATGGGTGGCATGGGTGGCATGGGTGGCATGGGTGGCATGGGCGGTATGATGTAAAAAAAAAAAAAACCAAACCTAACTACACCTATTGTACCCCTTGACTCCAAAAAAAGTTTTCTTTTATCTCTGCTTGTAATTTAAGCTATTTTTCTACCAAAATGCATTTGTGATCCTCGATCGTAATAAAACAGAAAGACACTAGAGGAATCTTTACTGTAATGAATTCTTTCGAGTATCAAGTGTGATTTACACACGGGTAATTGTAGTAATGCTGCATATGAACAAATCAGCATCATTCGGACATTGTGAGAATAACGATTTTCCTCAAAAAGAACTTTTTTTTTTTCAACATCTGGAACCACACAGCATTGCATAAAAACTTTGAAAATACTTTAACTTTATTTTCTCGATGAAAAGAGTAATTAGAGTGCATCAGAGCTGTCATCTATGTGCAACACAGACATTATATCTGCGGTGTTCCTTCTTTTAATTTAAGTCATTGTTTATTGATAAGCCATGCGATCATCACATATACATTAGCGAGGTTGTCCACTTCTTCTTGATGGTCTTTTAGTGTGTGATTTTTGGTAAAATAGAAGGTGGAATTAAATTTCTATGTTTGAAACTCATCCACTCAAACGCAGCACCCTGAAATTGGTTTCGCTGTGATGTGGGGCAACAAAAAGCCCGACAAACCAGGGACAGTTGTCTATGAACAGTTTGACGGAGAAGTGTTTTTCGTTAGATTACTTGCGGAAGGCGGAAACTGGGAAAAAGAGTGCAATAAAGGCTTGATTAGGGTATTTTATAATGAACGAATGTAGCAGTCCAGACGAATGAACCGTATATTCAGCATACTAACGGAAAAACATTAGACCGTCCCGCTTTTGCAGCAGTGTGCAACGTTGGAGATTGGGTGGATTGTTTTTTTATTGCTTTCCTAACCTCTCTCGCGGCGTCCCTTTTCCTTTTTCTTTTTCTGATTTTTTTTTTTTACAAGCTGTCGTCTCTCTTCCTTTTTTAATTTTTTTTAATTTAAAGTTTCTCTTTCGGAAACCTTGATACCTCTTATTTGATTACGAAGCTTTTTGGCTGCCTTGATTGTGGACGAACATAACGTGACTCATGACGGAGACATTTCACGGTTACATTGAGACTACACAAGATGTGTTGCTTGTGTTTGAAGGCTGTCGAAGAGGCCTTTTACCGACAGTGAGTCGACGTTTGCAAGATAAAGAACGAAAAATGATTCAGTCAGGTTCAGTCTTTGTCTTTGACGAACGCGAGTCAGGTGCGTTTTTTACATATAACTTTCTTTCTTTTTCCTCTTTTTTTCTTTTATTTTTTTGGAGAAGACGAAACCGGGAGACAAGTGTTTGAGAACAGGCAGTCCAATTATCGCTATACCTGTTGGAACACACAGAGGGAAAAAAAAAATTATGACTTTCATCAACATTATCTGGGACGAAGTTAAATCGACACAACGAAATACGGTAGTTACGATCAGTGACCCGGCAAAGCGAACAAAAATCAGGGAAAAAAACAGAAACTAGGACTCTATCAAGGGAGAACGGTCGACGGCACAGGGGCTTAGCAGGAAGACACAGCAGAGAAGCAAGGAGTTGTTTCGAAGAACCCCAAAACTGCAAACCGGTATCCTCATCTGTTGTAAAACCGATTGGCGGTCATGGATTCCTCTTCCACTTGTCTCTCTTTTTCTATTTTATATCTTTTATTTCGTTTGGTTCTTTTTCCCTGCTCGTCTTCTTGATTTTTCCAAAAAGATAATCGAGCACAGCATAGCTGGCAAAATTTAAGGGGTTTTTCCAGCATCCATCTTCTTTTTACCGTAGGCTAACAATTTTTTTGTTTGTTTTTGACATCGGAATAGGCATCAAACGATGGACAGACGGATTGGTATGGAGTCCTTCAAGAATATTAGGAAACTTCTTGATTTATCGTGAACTGGATAAACGGTCGATTGGTGATAAGAAACATTCCATGTCGAGTCTTTCCAATGACTCAAGACAACGAAGTTACAGCGCAGATCAAAGTTCAGCATCATCACAGATCTCAGCCGTCGGCCTTTCGATTGATCGCACTAAAGAACGTCGTCTTGTGGGAAGCCTCTCGGATTCATACAAATTTCGAAAAGATGGATTGATCAAGAAAACCATGTCCATTGTCGTCAACGGAGTTCCACAGCATTTGATCTCTTACTATCACCCACAAGATATCCTCCAGAATAGATTACGGACTCCATCCTCGGTGCCAGAGCTGGCCTCTCTCGAAATCTCTCCCGAACTTCTCGTGAAACAAAACTTTCGAATTCCTCCTATGGTTGAGCCAACCTTTGAACAGTCTAAACCCACATTGTCCGGTCAAATGTCCCCTGTCGATGTCTTGACAACCGTTTATGGAGGTGAGTTAGATGATATCTTTACAGTGTCGTGTCAAAAGAAGAAAGGGGCTATATACAAAAAAGAGAGTGACCAAGACGGCTCAAGAGAAATATGGGAAAGGCCGACCTTCGGAAAAGAGGGACGTTGTGTCGGCATGAAGTATGGTAGTCTTGACGAGACAGTGCGGGTAAAACAGGGAAACGGAGTGGGAACAGACGAAACTGGAGTCAGGGCATCGCCACCCCCTTATTTTTTTTTTGTGCGCTTTTCCCTTTGGGCGATGATGATGATGAGTCTCATGCATGCGAATTTTTTTTTTAGAACGACGAGCACATCCCCTGCGTAGTATGTCTGTGGGATCACTGCGTGGCGAGCCAATTCAGCCTACCGGATTCATTGGTCGCGATATGGGCTCTTCCCAGATGATGTATAATTCTCCATATCAACGAATGGATCTGGAACAGAAACATTCGCCGACATTAGGCCCCTATGGCAATCCATCGATACCCATGTCAATGTATGGTGGTGGCTATCCCCCTATTCCTTCACCCAACAGCATGTCATCCTCGCCTGGTACCCCGATCTTGTCACCTGTACGACCGTCTTTTCAACATCAGCGGAACTACTCGACATCCTCAGCTTCGTCCACTTCCTTATCGTCTTCCATGTCAAGACTCGATACAGGAACTCGTCACGGTAGTTATGACATGCTACCTTCGTACCAGCCTTCGGCTTCAGAGAGAAGTCATCCTGCGCCCTATTCGTCTTCTTCCATGGGACAAGTCCACCCTCACATGATTTCAGAAACAGACTACTACAGTCACAACGAGCGACAGGATGCACACCATCACTCGCCGTTATCTCTTCCTAACCCTCAGCAACCGTCCCCTCAGCGTTATGCTTCCAATCCCAACATTGGCCAACTATTGAATCCCGTTCATCCGCTCCACAGTAACAATGCGTCGGCGGAGCTGCCGTCGCCGCATCCAAATCAAGCCTTGCTACAGTCCATGGCAATGACCAACACCGCCACTTCTCCGTATCACCACAGTTATTCATCCGCCAATAGAGATTACAATCCGAAAATGATGGGTCCCAATGAATGTGCGGTTGCTGATCCTGCAGCCCATCGTCCTGAGGAAAGCCATCGTGGCTCGATGGAAGGAAGTGGTCACGATAATGGTGGCGGAGGTGGGATTGGTTACGACACTTACGCACACTACCATCAGCGGCAACAACAATTGACCAACACACACACGGGAATGATTAATCAAGTACCGATGTATCGCAATGGTATCATGGATCCTATGGCGCAATACGATGATGCTCAAGAGTTACTGGATGCCGATTTTGGCAAAGGGCCTCTCATGCTGAAATAATGCCTCTCTTGAACATCGCGTTTTTTTTAACCTCTTGTTTTCCTTCCTTCCTTTCGTTTTCCCCGTGTTTATCCAAAGATTATCATCTGGCCTGCGTCATCATCGTTTGGTCGTTTCATTTTCCTACTACACTTATTGCTCATCGTTCCGGTTTTGTTCTTTTGTTGTCCACAGTTTTAGTGTGTATAAGCTTTGTTCTGTTTTATTACGCCAAGCACCTCCGTGTTTTATTCTTTTTTCTCTCTTTTCTTTTTATATCTTATATTCCGTCCAAAGTTAACCAAAAATGAATCAAAAATGTTAGCTAGTGCATAATCTACCGTTTTGCGTATGCTTCAATTTATATAGGCTATTTTACTTTTTTTTTTCTTGCGTTTCAGCTCCCTGATAGACTGGGTGCCTGTATTACATCTGTTCAACGGCGGACAAGCAACATTCGATACCTTGTGCAACATTCAATGCCATCATATTTCTATGTCTGTACGATGAAGAATCACGGAATGACCTTCCGCATCCAAAAATCAGAAAACTCCCAAAATCGGCATCTGTGAAAATAATATTCTGCATCGTTGCTTCTCCTTTACAAAAGCCTTCTTTAAAACAAATGAGGCAAATTACAGAGCCATTAAAAATTAGTTACATGAGTAAATGCTATATTCCTTATGTAATGAACAAGCAAATTATCAATGTAAAATGGCATCAGACATTAGTTCGATTATATTTGGCATAGACTATGAAGGGGTGGGGCACCGATGTTCGTGTCAACTGGTTTCATGCAGTCAGGAGGAAGCATATTGGCGTCATTTTGTTCTGTGTTGCGCGGATCGTTGATGCGTTGTGGGTAGTACCCGATTAAGAAAGTGAAACCGGCAAGAATAAGGAATGGAATAAGAACGTATCATTGGTCTTTATTTTTCTTCTCCATTCTTTATCTATAGCCACTGTTTTCGGAAAGAAAGTACCATTAAGGTTGCGTATGAATAAATCATAATGAACTTTGTTATCTTATCAACCAGTACACAAAATAAATGAGGCAATCATGGTGTGGTGAAAAAAATACACAAGGAAAGTGAAGAACGTATTCTCCAGTTCATATTCCGATCTTCGATGTTTCGTTTTTTCTGTCTCCTTACTACATAGCGCTCATCGTAGGTTCGAGAGGGTCGTTCAACGAGTTCAGCATCTGATCATCATACCAGAATATGCTAAAACTTAAATGGTTACTGATTATGACAAGTCTATTTTTGACAAGCCTTGTTTAATGAAGGTTTTAGAACCTTTGGTTTTTCTCGCTCTGCAGTGACCGCTGACTGCGGAAAAATAATTAGAGGCAGATATCGAGGCTAACCCTTGGCGGCCTTATCCTTGTGAAAACCTTAGCTTTCTGGAAAGGAAAGCGCAAAAAAAACCTTAATTCCCGTGACCTCCCATTGCAATACTTTATTTTTATTCGTGTGAGAAGGAATGTACATTATGAAAAAGACAATTTATAACCATAAATTAACTTTCTATCAGGTGACCTCCATGACGTAGAGAACAACCATACAATGACTGATCTTGTGGGGCAATATTGGAAGCCACTAATCCATCGTTACGACTAAAGAACGTTCATTATCTTGTTATGGTTTCAGTTATGTAGTGTAGTAACTCACTTTTCATATCACGTTTCATTATGAATGGCTACCGATCCATCCAATCTGTAACAATAGGTCAAGCTGGGTTTTTCATCTTCCAATGATAGGTATTTAAACGGCGTGACAAGTCTTTATCATTGTCCGCCATTGATTTTTTTTTTTAATTCTCAGTGATTATTTAACCAGAGACCTTAATTTGTGTTTTTCACCCTGTTTTTCTTCTTTATTCACATTATCAGATCCCGTATTTACTCCTATATATACCGTTCCTATCGTTTACCAAAGGCATACAACTGTACTTGTATACAGATCCGTGCATCGATACCGCCATGTCGACTCTCTTCTTAGACGAGGCCCCTCGCCCCTATACAAAGGCCATTCCACATATTGTGCAACAGTTACCTAATCGCGCCAAATCGTTCTCCAAAGAACTTTTTCCTATTACCGAATGGTTACCAAAGTATAACCTGAAATGGCTCTCAAGCGACCTCGTCTGCGCCATCACCGTCGGCACGATCGTAGTTCCTCAGTCCATGGCTTACGGTAGGTTGCTGTGATCCTTGGGTGCCAATGTTTTCCCTTTCGGCCACTCATTGTTGTACCCCGCCTGGCATTGACAAACAACTAATTTTGTATCACTTTGAATCTTTCTCTTTTTAGCTAAAATCGCGAATTTACCTCCCGAATTTGGTCTGTACTCAAGCTTTGTTGGTGTCATGATCTATCCATTCCTGGGAACATCCAAAGATATCAGCATTGGTAAGAAAAATTCTTTGTACGAATCAAAAAGTAATACGTATTTACCCCGCTGTACCTTGCTAGGTACCACCGCTATTATGTCACTCTTGGTCGGTCAAATCGTCGCTTCCATTACAACCATGCCCCAATTTCTGTCTGGAGCCTGGACATACAACGATATTGCCGTAACATTGGCCTTGTTTGCCGGTCTGATTTCTTTGGTGGTCGGCATCCTGCGTCTAGGCATCCTTTTTCGATTTATCTGTCAACCTGCTATTGCCGGTTTTATGGCCGGCAGCGGTCTGACCATTATCATCAACCAGTTTAACAAAATCTTTGGCATCCCGAACATCAAAACCACAGAAGCACCGTACCTTGTATTCGGAAAAACCCTCATCAACTTGCACCATACCCACATCGACGCTGTATTCGGCTTGTTATCTCTTGTTTGGCTTTATGGCATCCGTTACATCGCAACGAAAATGATGACTCGATACCCACGTTACGCCAATGTTTGGTTTTACATCAATATTACGCGCAATATTGTCGTGATCGTTGTCACGACACTCATTTCTTACCTGATTAACCATTTTGCCCATTATACCCAAAGTCCATTCAAGATTCTCGGCCCCATCGCCTCTGGGTTCCAACACATGGGGGTACCAGACGTTGATACTTCCTTGTTATCGCATCTGATGAAAGATATGCCCGGCATTATCGTGCTGCTAGTTATGGAACATGGTGCTATCGCAACCAGTCTTGGCAAAGTCTCCGATTACAAAGGTACATACTTTCTTTCATCGTTCTGTCCTCATGACACCCGTTTCCCTATTCGAATTTTTTCCTTATCGGGTTGTGTGCATGGCAGACAAAACCCCTTTTCCTGCTTTTGTCGTGCATGACAAGGGCATAGAAATGCTCGATTAGGATATGAACTAACCGAAACTCCTTTTTTTTCTGGTCTTTTCTTTTAGTGGAGATGAATCAGGAAATTATAGCTATTGGCCTGACCAATGTTTTTGCTTCGTTCTTTGGCGCTTATCCATCCACGGGCGCATTTTCGCGTTCAGCGGTCATGTCCAAGTCGGGTGCTCGCACTCCATTTGCCAATTTCTTTGTGGGCATAATTGTGATTCTGGCGCTTTATGCATTCACTCCCGCCTTTCAATATATCCCAGATGCAAGCTTGGCAGCAGTGATTGCGCACGCTGTGACTGATTTGATTTCCGGTCCTTCCGTTTGGCTCAAGTTCTGGAAACTCCATCCCTCGGAATTGCTCATTTTCGCCGCAGCATATATCATTGCTCTCTTGACTCGAATCGATATCAGTGTCTACGTTCCCGTAGGCTTGTCACTCATTATCCAGCTGTATCGGGTTGCACGTCCCGATTATGCCGTTTTGGGTCGACTTGATCTCCAGCAGCCTCTCAATTATCCTCAGGAAAAAGTCAGTGTTACCGATGATCTCGATCGTCTGGAACAAGCCGTGTTCTATTCTACCACCCACCCCACGCTTGGCCAGTATGTTCGTCCCATCGGTCGTGGCATTGTATGCTTCCAGCCTCGTGAGAATCTTGTCTTCCAGAACGCCGACTATATCACGGAAAAGCTTGTGGATGAGATTAAAGCAACGACTCGACGTGGCAAACCTTTGGCAGATAAGGTTGGCGATCGGCCTTGGAACGATGCACGTCAGTCCAAAAAAGGCGAATCAGAAAAACCGTTGCTTCGATCGGTGATTCTTGATCTTTCCGGCGTTCATCAGATCGATTACACTGGTATTGAGGGGTTGATTGATGCTGCGAAGATGGCCGAACGGTACTCGGGTCAATCGGTTCGTTGGTATATCGTGGTCGGCTCGTCCCTTGCCGTACGAAAGGCCCTCCTATTTGCTGGCTTTGGCCGTCAACGTCGCCAGACTTTGCCGAATGGATTCTTCGTATCCGATCTAGACCAGCGTCGCAATCACAGCGACCCCGCGCGTGGCCATCGGGTGACAGACGATGTCTGTACAAAGACAAGAGAAGATGCCGGCAATAACGAAGATATCAATGCCACCAAACCGGAAGAACATGTTGTAGTCATTGAAAATGTTGCCAAGGAGTACGACCGTCAGGATTTGACACAACTGTCAGATGATCCGTCGAACAGTCCTCGTTCTGGTAATGACAGCACTGCGAATAAGCACGCGAGCGTCTCGACCGATGGTTCCTCCGATTGGTGCTATTGCGATGAAAAACCTCCTCAACCGGCCGATGGTGACATTATCGGAGCGGTTCGAGACCGATACCCGTTCTTCTTCAGAACATTGCATGAAGCTGCTCGGGCTGCATTAATGCATCCTGGTTTCGAGGGCAACATGGCGCATGATAGCGATATCAGTTTTTATTCTGAGCAACGTGATCTATCCGATGAAGAACAAGCTGCAGGTGCACGTTGTTAGTGCCGCATTTATTGTTTTCTTTGACTCTGCGCTTTATTATATATTGTAATTTTCTATTTTCTTAACTGTATAGTTTCATTTTTCGTGGTTGACCCTTTACTCGCCATTTCGTCTCCTTCTCTGATACTCTTACATATGCTTTTTTTTTTTTTTGTGTACATGGTCCTTTTTCTTTTAGAAGCTTTATATTATATATATCATACGTCATACCAAAACAATTTGTTAACAGTAATCCTTATATCGTCTCGAAATATGCAATCTTTTTTGGCAGACAACGAAGCCTAAAACGAGTACTTTGGTGTCTCACATAGAACTTCGTTCAGTTAGATTACTATTACGTGGACGTCCGTCAAGATTGTTCCTGTGTTTAGAAAGCTTATACAATCAGTATTCTGTTGCATTCAAAGCTCAAATGACACGTTCTCAACTTTTGCGACCGTTCCAAGATGACAACTTTCATAATGGTGATATTCCGGTTTTGGTCCATTGTCCCACAACCTACGTTATCGATGTCTTCACAGCAAGCTTTTTCATGTTCATGCTTGTTCAGTGGCATACGTCAATGAACTGAAAAACTAGGTTTCAATAATGCCATATAAAGGAGTAATTCATGTCATTCCTCACTGGATTAAGGATGTGAATTTGAAATCTTGCAAGACAATTGCCAAGCGTTCTGATAACTGTACTCGAATAATTTTTGACCAAATATTCACTTGTTCAGAGGTGATGACACTTTTTGTCGCCATAAAATAAAACCACAACCACACGGAAACATAAAATAAATCAAGCTTTGAAAACTTTTTTGAAACCTGACGTCGGCGAAGCCATATGACAGCTGAAGGTTCACTGTATGATGGTCTTGATGGTCCATTTTATTCATCAGGTATCAAGATCGCATCTTGATAAAACTTAAAAAAATCGTTCTACTGATGGGGTGCTTTTTCTCCCAATAATTGAAAACGAAGAGGTGAAAGTGATATGAACAGTGAGATCATTAAATATTGCAGAATGTGTTTTGTAAAGGGTTTTGATTGCAGGATAGATTCAGCACGGTGACAGATTGTTTATAAATAAGCTTGTTGGGACCCATCTATTGAGTTCAAATCACCTGTGCAAAATGCTTCCCAGGCTGGTTTTTTTTTTAAAGTTGTGTAAGCATACGTATGGGCCCTTCTTTCTTTATCTTTTTTTTCTTCTTTTGCTTTTGTTCCTTCGAAAGACATACTCAGTTAGTTATTACATTGCGTTGTTTCATCATGTCTGATATTGTCAAAGTGAAAGCAGTCGTCATCGGTGATGGGGGATGTGGCAAAACTTCACTTCTTCGCCGATGGACTGATGACCAATTCACATCGGTAAACTTTTTTGACGTCGTTACATATTGCCATAGGCCCTCGTTTTACTTACATAGTTATACCTGTATCCATAATAACAAAGGAGTCGCCAATAAGTCTTTTCATCACATACATGAAACACATTGAAATAGATGGTTTCCGGCTAGACCTGACTTTGCAAGATACATCAGGTGAGACTATCTCTGCTTTATCTTTTTTTTCTTTTTCGAAACACAAAGTTATTACATTGTACATTTTGAGTGTCGCAGAAAAACGAGAAAAAGTTTAGAATTGCAGATAAAGGTAGCGAAAATGTTGATCACCGTAGTAACCGTACATCGTAACTCAAATAGGACAAGGTGTATATGATCGCATGCGCCCTTTAATTTACCCAGACACAGATGTGATACTCATTTGCTTTGCGGTTGATTTGCCGGATTCCTTGCATAATGCTTACGAAAAGGTAGTTAATGTGTTTTTGACAAGTGATCGGATGGCCTGACAATGGGTACTTGGTCACTTAGTGGTTATATGAGATCTTGCAGCATTGTCCCAATGTTCCGTATGTGCTGGTGGCATGTAAAGCAGATCTGCGGAACGATAAGCGCACACTTGACGATCTCCAACAAATCAGCAGGAAACCTGTCACTCGACAAGAGGTAAAAATAGCTTCGAGTACCCTCATCGTTCTTTATAAAAGCCGCACTACTGATAGTCTTGTAGGGCATGTTGATGGCTCGCGAAATGAAAGCCGCCGCTTATATTGAAACATCGTCCAAAGATAATACAGGCATGCAACAGCCATTGGATATTGTTTGCAGGCTTGCATTAGCTCGGCGACGACCCTATCAAACAAAAAAATGCTGTTACCTATTATAATGCGCATGACTCCTTGATATGATCATGCTTCAATGCTTTTGTGAGATGAAAACGGGAATTCTCGGTGGTCAGACGGTCAAACCGATCTGTTTCTTTATTCAATATTATATACTCGGACAACCCACTATGATACCGAGATTCATTCTTTGCCGTTTTATCGCTATGTACAGATATTGTATTATATTATATTTTTTTTTCCACTTTGTAGCTTTGTATATCACACTATGGATAAAGAAAACCCTATTCGGAAATTTGTTTTGCCTTCCTGTAAATTTGGACAAAGGCATTGGATTCTCTGGGCGCATTGAAGAATTTTGTTCGTTGTCTTGTTCGTCAGCAGATTCACCAGCTAGACGGGTCAAGGCAGTAGGTCTGGCTTGTCCCATGAATCCGGCAAGACCAATGGCGCGCTTCCTGGCAACCATGTTCTTTCAGGCGGCTCCGGTCAGAGCTCAACCTGTCACTGGTTTCTGACAATACTGCATTGTGGAACCTTACCACTGTGGGAATGTTGATATCGAACGCAACATTATCATCGGCTGGCAGCAAAAAAAAAAAAAAAAAGAAAAAAAAAAACAAGAATGTACCGTAACCAAGCCAGCTTGGAGCAATAAAATTGGGTGATCAGCTACTGTTGAATTGATGAGAAGTATCATAATATCAACCTTGATACACGTTTTTTAATTTTATTTTTGCTGGACATAGTCAATGTCATGAAATTATCAAGATTTCGCATAAAACTAATAGAATCCTGCCCTTTTCGGTGTTCATGCTTCTGGTATGATAATAAGTATTGTGTGCCCAATACGTCCAATGATGAAAGGCTCTCGAACAGCTTTAGAATTCCTGAGAGTGCTGAAATTTCGACAGTTCTGCTGAATTTATAGGCATAACAAGTGGAATCCACCAATTTGTTGATCTGGAAAAAATATTTCGACAGTATCCATTCGAATATTTGGGGAGAAGGAATTGATGATTACAATAAAATGGTCTAGGTGCTTGAATAAGTTAGTCGAGAGAAGACATTTGCTTCTTGCTCGTTTCGTTGGTTAAATTTTATGACCTTCCCATGAAACAAGCATTGTTGGCACGTTTGTTGGAAGCAATACATGATTACAATGGGATCAAAGCCTTTTTCGTTAGATTCGAGAAAATACTTGACCTTAGTAATCATCTAAATCAATACTATGGTCAGCAGATTCAATAGGTTTACAAACAGATGCAGCGGACTTTCATTTCCTCTCCATCCGTTCATGTCACTGCTTCAATCCAAATTTGGCAATTTCCTATTTCGAAAACGAATAGCAGTCACAATACGGTCCTCGCACTGCGGGCAAAGGTGGGATGTCTCGCCCTTGTTGTTTTTTCCCTATCAGCCAGGTTTCGCAAAAAAGATACTGAACGACCATGATCGGATTAAAAGGCACACTCAATGTCATTGATAATTCTGGTGCTACCATCGTCGAATGCATTCGTGTTATGAGCGGTGCTCGTTTCGCTAGAGCAGGTAAATGTCTTTCTTTCATTGAAAGGAGATGTCAAGCAGCAGACCGAGAACGATCCATTGATACTAATGTCTTGTTGCCTTTACTACCTTTTGTTCTTTCCCTCACTCAATAGGCGACGAGATCGTTTGTGTTGTTAAACGTGCTAGACCCATCAATCCCAGTTTAATTGGTACACAAGCTGCATCACAAAAGGTGAAAAAGGGTGATGTCAAACATGCTTTGGTCGTCCGCACAAAGAAAGAAATGTCGCGACCCGATGGTCGTTATATTCGATTCGACGATAACGCTTGTATCTTGCTGAACCAGAAGAAAGAACCTCTAGGCACTCGTGTGTTGGGTGTGGTGGCTGCTGAACTGAGGCAGAAGAACTGGATGAAGGCTGTATCACTTGCACCAAGAATCATCTAAACTTATAGAAGCAAACAATATCATTCACCCACTATAATGTGTGTATTAAATCATCATCCCCCTCCAAAAGAAAGAAGAATCACAAATTAAAGTCCTACTCCTTGACTTGCTATTTCTGGATATCCCTTGATTACAATCCAGTTTCTGTATGCATGTTTCGTATTTATTTCATAGAGAGACATTTCTGGGTAAACAATGGGCTTGGAAAAAAAAAATAAACTACCTCCTTCGTGCAGAATCGTTGCTCACAAATGCATGCGTGACAAAGCTGATAGTATTGTTATCCCAAACCGTAGCCAGTAAAGCTCCGTTTTTATACGAAGGTGCAAAGGCAATATGAAGCGGTTTCGTTCCTGACATGGGTGTGATTTCATAGCGGTTTTCGGCCGATGAATCGACGGCGGTTTGAGATCCTCGGATGTACCCACTGTAATGTCAAACACAATGGAAAAAGCCCCCGCGTTAGACCATGCCATGCAATTGATTGTCATATTAGATACTTACATGGGTAAAACAGTGCAATCTTCTCCCATTTTCAGAGGCGACATCTCCTTTAGTGCATATAGTCCAATCAATTCTGTGTTTTCGAAAGCAACAGCCAATCGTTGCCCAGTGGCGTCCAAAGAGATATCCTTGATCACCCCGTCCAATGGCACTTCTTCCTTATCTACCGTTGCTGTCGTAGCCGGAGCTGATAATACTTTGACATCCCACACTCCTAATGAAACATTTTTTTAGTGCCCATGGTTTCTTGCTTCCCAGACGACCGTCCCTGTATTACCGGCATTAATGGAGGGTCCTGATCGGTATAAGAGATGCACATCGGATTTGCCACGCATGGAGTAAAATAGACTTCGACTATCCGGGGCCCAGCACGCAGCCTACAATGGCGAAAGTAAGCCTATTTGTGACCAAATTCAGAAGTACGTTATTTAAAGTATTTTACCTGTACCCATAGTCCGGGCGGATTTGTGTAAGTGGTCGATGTCCAATGTTCCGTTTCCCAAATACGAATGGATCCAGTGCTATGAGATGTTGCAAAATCAACATACCAGACTGCATCATCTACTTGCCATGATCCACTTACGAGGTGGCGACATAAAGCCAATCACCGTCAGGACTCCAACGAACAAGTAAATTGCCTTTGCCGTATCGCTTCAATGGCGTGCCCGTTAATGTAAGCGTGTCATAGATCATGAGAGTGCTGTTGTTCGCGGATACAGCTGCCAATAAATGGCTGCCTGGAGAAGGATCCCATGTCAAGGAAGCAATGTGTTCGTGGCCATCGGTACGCAAGTATTTCATCCAAGCATTCGGGTGATATCGCATGGTCGACGATGAAGCCGATTTGATCTGTACACCTTTTTGTGGACTTTGCAACGGGGCGGACTCAGCCGTAAAATTCCACACGCATACACCATAGCGACAACCGACGGCCAGGGTACCGCCTGCTTTTGGTTTCCACGCTAACGCGGTGATGTCGATCATAAACTTATGCTTCAATACTTTGCATGTCCACTGAGATTTTTCTCTTTCGTAAATGTATACATCGTGATTTCTGTTCGCGATCGCTAAAATTTCTTTGTGGGGGTGCCAAGCCATGCAGGGGATAGCAGCAGGTGTGGCATTGAAAAGGTGATGCTCGGTAGGTAACGGATGGTTTCGTAAAAAGTGATCGTTCACCGTATCGTAGATGATTTTTCCGACTTTATAAAATGGACTGTCGGCATCATACAAGTTGGAAAGGGTGAGCACCAAATAGTGTACGACGTATGCAGGACAAAATAATATTTTTACCTTTCTTCAATGAGGGGACGACTAGAAGAATATCGAGAAGGTTTAGAAGGACATCGTCCATAAAATCACAACTTAGGCTTCACTTACTTGATTTCCCACTGCAACTGCCACTGTTCGATCAAAGGTCGGGCTATCTTGCACAGGAGCTGCTCTGCAGCATTGAACCCCACATGATCTGGGTTACGTCCCTCCATTGGTTTAAACTGAATGGAAGGATATATCGGAAGCTGAATAATAACCGTCATGCGTGAGAATGTAATTGAATCGCCATGCTAAAGTTCGAAAGAATTACCTCTCTCTGGGTAATTTCCTGTAAAGCGGCATCATTGCCATCGGTTGCGCAAACTGTGACATAATTCAGCAGCAGTTAGATTGATAGTGACTGATAAGGTAATTGAATAAAAAAAGCATACTGAGCGTCGTTCCGATCTCGGCAATGGTAGCCTGGGACTTGTGTGGGGGTGTAAAAAGCGACGGCATGAGTCAAAGCAGCCTTACTTTGTATATTGAACGCGTTCAGTTTGCTGCAATCTCCTGTTCGATCAGACTGGAGTGCGTTCGCAGTCACAGTGACGCTGGCTTGAAATTTTTTCCTCGATTCCCGGTTCACTTTCAGCCGCAAAAACAGATTAAAGAAACCATGCGCGCGATGCTCCGCGAGGTTTTTTTTTTTTTTTTTTTCAGGGTTTAAAAATAATGTGGATAGCAGTCCCATGCAATTTGACACAATGCTTATCAGCTCATCTCACTTTATTTATCACAACAGAATATACCATATTTAACATATAAATTTTTTATATATTGAGGCCACGAATGCTCAGAATTACTATGCTTGAACCTAAACTAGTCTGGACCTGCTAGACTTTTTTTGGCAACTGGGAAAAAGTTATATTTTTTCTTCTACTACGGTAAAACATTCTAAAGTGATAATGTTGTGCATAAATTTGACACCATCATGACACGTCAATGCAAATCCGAGCTGGAAAAATTCAGACACAAAAATTATACTCCTAACCCATGCAATTCCAACCCAAGTTTATAAAAGAGCACACTTCTCAGGGTTTCATTGTTTTTTTTCTTATTCCTCCTCAGAAAAAGAGAATTATTCATAATGGTCAAAGTTGGTATTAACGGGTAAGTGCATTGATTTTTTTCTCAGAGTTCAAGTGGTGTTCGGGACCGTGCTGACTCTTTTTTATCTTTGCAGTTTCGGTCGTATTGGCCGCATTGTCCTTCGCATTGCTCTCAAGAACAAGGACGTTCAGGTCGTTTCCGTGAACGATCCTTTCATTCCTTTGGACTACATGGTCTACATGCTCAAGTACGACTCCACCCACGGTCGTTTCGATGGTACCGTTGAAGCCAAGGGCGGCAAGCTTGTCGTGAATGGCAAGCCCATCTCTGTTCACACTGAACGTGACCCCACCAACATCCCTTGGTCCCAGGATGGTGCCGAGTACATCATTGAATCCACTGGCGTTTTCACCACCAAGGAAAAGGCTGAGGCTCACTTGAAGGGTGGCGCCAAGAAGGTTATCATCACCGCTCCTTCCGCTGATGCCCCCATGTTCGTCTGCGGTGTCAACTTGGATGCTTACAAGTCCGAATACAAGATCATCTCGAACGCTTCCTGCACAACCAATTGTTTGGCTCCTCTTGCCAAGGTTCTCGATGACAAGTTTACCATCGTTGAAGGTTTGATGACTACTGTTCACGCTACCACTGCCACTCAGAAGACCGTCGATGGTCCTTCCGGCAAGGACTGGCGTGCTGGTCGTGGTGCTGGTGCCAACATCATCCCAGCTACCACTGGTGCTGCCAAGGCTGTCGGCAAGGTCATTCCTCACTTGAATGGCAAGTTGACCGGTATGTCCTTCCGTGTTCCCAACCCCGATGTTTCCGTCGTCGATTTGACTGCCCGTATCGAGAAGGGTGCTTCCTATGATGACATCAAGGCCGCTATGAAGGCTGCTTCCGAGGGTGAAATGAAGGGTATCCTTGGTTACACTGAAGATGAAGTCGTCTCCACCGATTTCCTTGGCGACTGCCACTCTTCCATCTTTGATGCCAAGGCTGGTATTTCGCTCAACCCCAACTTTGTCAAGGTAAGGCTCTGATTTGGATGGATTTCACTTTGTGAAACAAATTTTATGCATGGGGTGTAACTGAACCATTGTTTTTGATTTTTTTGTTGTAGTTGATCTCTTGGTATGATAACGAATATGGTTATTCTTGCCGTGTCGTCGACTTGCTCGTCCATGCCGCAAAGGTCGATGGTGCTATGTAAAAAGTAAAAAATAAGAACACCATATGATGTATATATGACTTCACATCGAGTCGAAAATAAAGTGCTGTATAATGTTTATGTAACAAAAAAAAAGACCCTACGGAATTTTAAAAAGTTATGCCTCTGCAAACAGGTCTCGAAGCGACAAGACATTTCGCTCTCTGCCGTCATGGTAACATGCCAAGAGAGGCTTCTCCCATAGAATCAACGAACTTGATCAACAGTCATCTGTGTATGGAAAACGCACATTTTAGAGATGAACTTATTTAATCTAATGCTCCCTTCTCATTGCTTTGGTTTGTGAGAAACATATGGGATATTGGGACATTGGGAAAGTGGGAAATGGGAAAAATGATTGTTAGACTTTTTATGGGTGAGGTGGCCGTTGACTGTCGATCAATTCCTGCATGCGCTGCTGAGACTAGTTGCCAAGTGACGAAAAATCATTGGGTAAGTAACACAGCGACAGAATTTTGTTTGGGAGAGGAAGTTACCTTTGTTGTTAAATAGTGGAACACGGCTTCTTTGACCCAATCTTGTTTGTAAAAGTCCGATTGTCGCATTTCTTCCAGGTTGGCTTTGTTGTCGCCCAAGATCACTTCCAAATCTCTAGCTTGACTGGCCATCCATTTGTTGATAAAGTCCACTGGATTCTCAGAGAACTGCAGCAGGAAATCACGTTTGATCTTTGAATTATTGATACTCTGCACACACTGAAGGATCTTGTCATCTAATCCTGAGACGTCCTTTTGCATTTGGGAAGAAGCGATGACTTCCATCATCTTCTGTCGCAAAGGGCTGTCTTGTTCCACTTCGATATCGAATGCATTGGATGATTGATGTAATGGTTTATCCACTCTACCGAATAGAAAATGAGTACTGATACCTGATAAAAAGTACACGCAAACTCACCGAATGGTGTATGGGATGACAATCGGGTCAGGTCTCGCCAGATGACGGTTAATGAGATCTGGAAGCTGCGAAAAATGGATTTGGGGAGCTCCAAAAATCTACCGCACATTATTCCATGTGAATCACTTTGGAATTGAAAGAAGTAAATTGCACATCAACTTACCTGCATCAACCGTTGGTCACAGTGAATAATGCGCTTGTCTTCTGCGTCTTGTAATTTATGATGCTGTTAAATTCATGTTAGCCAAAGGTTTTCTTCAATATTGATGATGACAGCAAGGGCCGATGAAACGAAAATGCGTATCTGCCTTTTCAACTCTTGAAATCCATCTCTTTTGATTACCTTGACATAATCCCAGATAGCCATGACAATGTTGGGTTTGATATCTTGTTTCATATCAAGTAGGGACGCAAGCGCGGGCGCTAGTTTGAAGGTTGGTGGGTTGTAGTCGAGCTCAAGGATAATACGCGCTTTCACGCTAGTGTCGCCTTTTCTTTTGATTTCAATGCCATCATGATCAGCGTTGCCTGGTTGTTTGTGCCACTGTGATTTTCGTTAATACATGCTTTGATTTCCTTCGCTTTTTCCATATTTTCTCTATCAATATGGAGGTCGAAAAAAAGGGCCTACCTCAATGACATTTCCTTCTGGATATACAGCAGGGTCTCGTTCCAGGTCGACCACAATAGAGCGAAAGAAAGATGTAAATTTCGGTGTCGGTAGGCTTTGATTTGTCGAATTCGCTGACTGTATAATAACATTGAATCATGAAAAACGTGTTTGGGAGAGAATGCACGATATAATGGCTTACGTCCAATAATGTGCCTTCGATCTTCAATGTCCAGGAAGGAGCTTGACCATTGGTGAGGTCAAACGACTCGCCGCCATTCTCATTGCTTAGACCCGACTGATCTGACGATGTGTTGGAGACGAATACGCGTAAAGTTCTTCGCAACTATTTACAAGAGTCCCTTGAGTATACTTTCCATATGAAGTAACACAAATCGATAAAGTAGTTACCTTGGTAGGTTTCCCTAATGCTTCTTGAATATCTAGGCGTTTTCTCAGAATGGTGGCGTCCAAAGACTTTTCGAATTCTGTCAGCTCCATGTACAGTTTGGACTCCGGCACAAAAGCTTCAATCTAACGGTCAACGCGGTTAACAAAAAATCGTCCAACGTTGTGTTTTCAATTACCTTGGGAGGCATATTGCGATCGGTAGGGCGTTTTTTCCTAAAACAACAATATAAGATGGGTGGCAATGGATAACGCAAATTGGCGACAGTGCTACAAACTTGAAGTGTTTGGCCAGGGATTCCGTGTCATGCGATCGTTTTCTGAATTGTGCTGCCTGATTCGCCATAGCTTGTTGCTGTGATAGCATAGCTTGCGGATTCATAGCACCAGGATGAGGTGGAAACGGCGAATGTTGCATTGATGATTAGTGAATCTTATCAAACGAATGGAGAGTCTCTTTTTTACGGGCACAGAGACCACCCAGCAAGAGACAGGGGCGGGGATCAAAATTCAGTGTTAATGAAATATCAAGTCACAAAGGGGTTCCTGCACTCTCATGGACCCGCCCGTGGCAGACCTCCATTAAAGAATAGGTGAATATCATTAGGGTATTACGAGGATAGTTTATTTATCATGGGTCAAAAAAAGGAGTAGCCTACAACATTGATAGTTATTGTTTGATAGGTCTTCTTTATATTCCAATCAATAATTCAGCAGTTGCCCCCTTATACCCATTGTGGCAGAAATCCCTCTTCGCCCATGACTTGCCACCAGCAGCGTGGGCTGTTGTCTTGCAACAGTGACCACTTCCACTCCAAATAGAGGACCAGCCAATATGACTGGAAGGCTCATTGGTCTTCCTCGCTAAGAACGCAGGTGCATACTGCCATGAAGTCTAAGGGTCTCCACAATGCACGACCCAGAATTTTTACCGTATCGTAATTTTTATTTATTTATTTTACCAGCAACGTCTCACAATTATCTGATTGGATAATGAGCCACGCGAAGAATTTCGCTGTGGTCAAGCATTTAAGAGTTCAGCGTACGCTTTGAGGCCTAAACCTGTGGTTGAAAGTCTTGTCCCTGGGAGCATCCAAATCTTAAACTGTCAGAGTTGTAAACGAGGTTGTTATTCTATGGTATTCAACTTTGATTGCGCTCTCTCACCAGATGGCCTCGTTATAGGACCATCTTCTCGATGATTTGCTGCCGGTACCTGGCTATGAGGCCCAAAATATGTTAGTAGCTGGAAACGATTATCCCGATTATCCAGGAAACTCGGCTTCAGTTGCTGCTGCCAGCTTCCCATACAATTGCTCGTATCTTTGTGAAAGCTATAAATTTAAAGCCAAATAGACATCAGGTATGCAAATGAAGATGTCTTCATACCTATCGGCCAATTCTGGATCAGTCAAGCCGCTTTAGATATACTACCTCTCCATGTAATGCAAGACAGGCTCCGTATCATTTATATCAGACCACTGCTGAAACGATTTCCCAAGAAGTTGGGAAGAGTTCGAATTCTCTGCTTGCATCAGCGCCACTTCTCCACAGAACACAACGACAAAGACCTGTAAATTTCTTGCGAATAACCGACGATTTGGCAACAATGGTGATAAGGAAGGATTTTTGCCAGTGACTTTCCTAAACGTGTTTTTCGCGGCATTCATGCATACAATAGCAAAATTGGTCTCTCGGCAGTCCCCAGGGTTCGACTGAATTGAACTTTAAAATTGCGGCAAGTGTTGTATATTTTAATTTCTTTCCTTACAGCTAACTTCTATGTGAAATCAATATAGACTATAGTACTGAAACACATGCTGCGGCCCGAGGGCGAAATGTTACGCGTTTGCTTCAATTCATCATAACGAATGCAAGCCTCATGGAGCAGCATATAATGGTATTGCTCTTTAACCAAGGACCCAGGAAGCCTCATTCAAGTGAACGGATGTTCTCATGTGCGATCAACATTAGGACGCCTCTGAACAAAACCACCTTACTGTACTGAAACCAAACATTCTGGAGTACCACTGCGATTTCACTGAACCAGTCTATCCAAGAGCTGGAATTGGCGTCCATCAATTTCGAAAAATCCTCCATGAGTGCTACGTTACATACGCTCGAAACCGTCTCTTTTCAGCCGATCTCTGGCCCAAGCGTGACTGCAGTACAACAGAAAGTGGCAGGTTCTGATGAACATGTGGATAAGGAACAGAAGACTGCAAGGCTCAGAAGATCAGTCATTATTCATGGCGGCCGCCATCGTTGGAAGCAAGCTGAAAGAAATGCCGAAAACTGACGCAAATGAAGTTACTGCGCACGAACGAAATGGATTATCAACTAACCTTATGAGCCTCACTGACGTCGCAGACAATGGGCACCGATTGCTATAGACATGGCGGTTCAGTGGAGTGATTTGAACAAGACAATACTACATAAAGGATCAACAAGTATTGCTAGCGATATATGGCTGTGATACCGCCTTCGATAAATCATAGAATTCAATTTATATACAGCTTTGTCATTTGTTCCGAAAACATTTGCGATAAAAGAGGGATCTCATTCCTTGAAACACGTTCCACCCCACGGAAAGCGAGAAGCGTTAGCATCGATTCTTAAACGATCATTGTTTCTATCTTTGTACTTGTGACTTCCAAAAACTGCAGAAAGCAAAGAAAGCGCTTTAAGGTTTTGCAGGAGAACACCGTATCAAGATCTTTTTATTTTTTTCAGCAGCTAAAAGTTTATTTCGCACTTGCACAAGCATTTGGGTAAAAATTGAACTAAAAACGCGTATACACAATATAATAGGGGTATTTCACCAAATCCAACCGTGCAGAGACAAGACTGGCTAGAAAATTTCAACACAGTATCGTCATTAAACTGGTGCATTACATCCCTTGAGTATGACTCTAATATCGATATAACGATGGTGACGGTGATGCTGTTTAATTGTTGTCAAGGCGTAAGGCAACGTAGAATTGGTTATCTATACAAGCGGTTGTTCTTCCTCCTCATAAGGATTTTCATCCCAGTATTCATCAGTGATTCTGTTGTACCACCTTTTCCTACCTTTGTCCAACCATTGGCATCGTACTGCACATTTTCGTCAGGTGTAGAGGACGACGAAGATGATGATGACGATGACAACGACGGTGATGATTACTGCTGCTGCGACTGTGGCCGGGATGAATGATATGCCGCCAAAAGTTTCTCAGAGATGCCTGTGGGAATATAGCCGTAAAGGCTCGGAGGCTTGCGCCACTTCATTGCTGGTTCTGGAGGGGAGTATGTCGTGTCTTTTTGCATAGCCGTGTGCGTCGAGGGCAAAGCTGCTTTCCCTCCTTACTCCTAGTTCATGTTTCTTTGTCAATGACTTCATGATGTGATCGCTTGCTTCAGCTCTCTCGCGCCACGACAACAGGTCACGCACGGTTTCCAGTAGATCAGGTAACTCTGCGAGTGTAGACGGAAGTGCCAAGTTGTACTTTTCTAGGGCCACATATAGCCCATTGTTGGCCAAGTTAATTGAACAAATGTTACCGCATGAACCGGCCGATTGGAACTGCCATGCTGTGCAGCCCACCAAGTCGTTGTCACTACATAGCTCTAGCATATAATCTAAGTCGTCCTTGCTCTCGCGGTTCAATTTGGCCTTGTCTGTCATGGCTTTATCTGCATCATCCAATCTCGCCATCTCTCCGCTGCACCAATCGTATTCTTTTCCGTTGCGATCCAAAAGAAACCGAACATCAATTTTGAACCCCACGACATTTTTCGCCTCAGGATATTGTTCCACTTTTCGTTGGGTGGTGTACGCATACGTGGACTCGCTGGTTTTGATTCGAATGTTGCTTCCTTGAAAGAGTAATCGGAAAAGAGGGAGCCATATGTTTCCGAGGTAGTCATACTCCGTGACGTCGCTCGTTGTTTGCTTTTCTAGCAAATATGGCTGATGATTCAGTGAACCAAGGATAGTTTCCAGCATTATTAGCGGTGTGAACATATCCTTGTCGTCAAAGTATTTGGGATACACCTGGTAAAGGTATTTCAAACCAGACTGGATTCTACGTGTGACTTTGGTTTCGTGGCAGACAATTTTCCAGGTGCTGACAAGGGAGGAAGGGAGAACAACGCCATCGAGAGGATACTTCGCCAGGTATTCTTTTTTCATCGACGTCCAAACGTCGGCAGGAAATAGCAGCCGTTGCGAATATATGGATTCGTCAGAGAGGTCCAGAATCGACGATAATCCGTTTGTCATTACTTTTCGCTCGTGTGCTGAAACTTCAACACCTGCGTCCAATTTTTCTACAATCTTTTAAGCTTTGTGTTTGATAGTGGCGGCTGCCATAGAATCCACGGACAGTGACTGATCGACCGAGCTTTTTTTTTTTTGGAGCAGTCTTCTGTTTCTTATCCACATGCTCGTCAGAATCTGCCACTTTCTGTTGTACCGCAGTCACGCTTGGGCCAGAGATCGGCTGAAAAGAGACGGTTTCAAGCGTATGTGACGCAGCAATCATCCAAGATTTTTTGAGATTGATGGACGCCAACGCCATCTCTGGGATAGACTGGTTCGTTGAAATCGCAGTGGTACTCCAGAATGTCTGGTTTTCGGAGCTTTGTTGATTTTTGGCCAGGCTATGGAGCATGAGTTTCAAACCACGTTGAATCTCTTGGTGCTTTGGGAAGGCATCCTTTAAAAGAGCCACATCCTTTCGTAATTTCGCATGAGCAAGGCGCTTGAGTAAGGCCACCTCGTAAGCTGTTCCATTCCATGCCGCAGCAGGTGTTATCTCCAGTACGATGGGCCGCGACAATCGTAGGACGCCTATGCGCAGCACTCGCCGAACGCGCTCTTCCGCTCGTATTTGGCGTTGCACGGCCTCTCCCTTGCACACAATAGGCGGTGAAGGTAATCACCTCTTGCAATTCCGGAACTTGTTCCCGAAGCAGGTAATATCGTCGCATTGCTGTTTGCAAGCGCGAGATCAATACCTCTATCGGACAGTGTTTCCGGGATCAAGAGAAACAATACCTGTAAAGCCATAATGAAGAACTCCATCTTCGCCTTCAGCTGGGACAGCTTGTGGATAAGCAATCAAAAGGTCGCCCAGAAAATTAGTGCTTAAATAATGACTGGTTCACGAGGCTTTTGTCTACGAGGACAAGTTGCGCAGGTCTTGTAATCGCGCTTGCGGTCGTGCGATTTGGAATCTTGTTCTCACGGTAATTGATGCAGCATTGGAAGAAGTTGTAGTCGCAAATTTACGTTCAGTTTGCAATGAAGTATCAGCATTGGACTGTGGATGATTGGAAACGTGTGGTGTTTAGTGACGAAACTAAAATCAATCGTTTAGATTCTGTTGGGAAGCATTGGACTTGGGTGAAGATAAAAGGGGAGGGCCTTGATAAGAAGGCACAACCATATTTTTCTTCGTTTTACTGAGTACCGGGATAACGTAAGCCGCCGCTGTGTCAGATTTCCTGTAAGTGAAAATTGGTAAATTCCTGCTCTTGCTGTCTGTCTTTTGCCAACTATGTCATGCAAATTCGCGCTCACACTCTGACAGACATAACTTGTCGGTTCCTGAATTTCCATGATCCTTTTCCCCGCTTCCCTTATTTGCGGTCTTTCAGCGAAGTTCGACCGTACGAAATTCAGAAATCAGTTCTCGTACTCGGCACTTACGCGTGCGTTATTTTATATAATCAAGCCGTACACATACAGAAGTCTCCCTTGCTGTATACCTCTTCTTTTTCTTCCATTTATATTAGTTTTCACCGTTTCAGCTGCGCTCAATAATGTGAATAATCTGGCGGTAGATCAAAAACTAAGTCCCAGTAAACCGTGAATACCTATTACGATTCTTGTGTAAGCAAATCGGAGTTTACCTTCGTGTTCGTTGACTTCCGCCCATCCATCACTAATAGAAGTAACGTGATTTTCCCTCTTGACAAATGATAATGGATTGTTGAGATGATCATAGGGATTTATCACATGCCTCCTCTGATACATCATGGTGGTTACCAAAACTTGAAGCGGGAAGTTGTTCGCCTCCACATTACAGCGAATAAGAGCAGCCTTTAGTTAAGGGGTGGAACAGGGCCAACATCCGACCATTCACCGCGAACGACTACGCCACGAATACCGCAAGCTGTATATGTACATTCCCTGCGTTTGTCCACATTCGCTTCTTGTACTGCAAGCATTTCGTTGCTCAAAGCGGGGTGGACATATAGAAACCTGGTCAATTCTTTGCTTTGCGTCAGCCCAACTCGTTTGCAGGCAAGAAAAAAAAACAAAAAAACGAAAGCTCAACAATTTCACTCACCTCTGTTGCATATCTGAGAATGTATTCCGTCTCCCGGAGCTAATCTGTCCGTTGTTGCATAATATGACATCGAAGCTTTAGGGTTCTTCGTATACAAGCGAATAGCTATGACAACCATTTGTTTGGCATGGCATTGGCAATTGCAGTTTTTCTTTCTGTGCTCAAACCATGGAGGTTGTTGTACAAAATGTACAAATGGGGAAATCCGCGCTACCTTTTTGAGCGATTTCTTCCTTCGGCATGTGAAGTCATTTGCATGACACGAATGTAGGCCACGTTTAACTTAGCTTGGGAGATGACAATGGTATATAGGATACCACGAGGTTGATCGAAAACGTACAGAAAGTGAAAGTGCCAAAATTTTGGGAGACGGGTCTGTGCTGATAAGCAATGCAATGCGGACAGAACTCTGTGATTGGTCGAATCGGAAGGACTTGCTTTTCGATTTCCAAAGAACCCCCAATTTCCGCACTTCCCAAAACCGAACTGTTTTCCCCAGCTGACTCTCTTTGCTGAACCCACTTTCTCTGTGTTTTCTCATTTTTATTTCTTTATAATACTGTTTCTCACGCCCACCATCTGTAGGATGAGATCCCAATCATACCAGCTTTATTTATTGCATTCACAGCTGAAGCGACGTTCTTGTACGCTCGCTCGTTTGCCTTGTTCAAGCACTGTGCAGCTCTACAACAGACAAGTACACACACAATGCAAGGCAGCTCTACACAGATGGAACAATTCCCTTCTATGGCAAGGCCCAGTGGCAACAACGGCAACCATGTCCCAGTGGAAGTCTGCGAATTTCGCACGATGCTATCACAGTATAGACTACAGAGCGGGAGGTTTAGGCGGTGGGGATAATCTTAGAGGAGCAGCCAGCATTGGTGCTCCAGGAGGCCCCGCAGGTCCATCCGATCAAGCTGTTCCCACAGATGCCGCATACTTGAGCGACCCTCGCACGGTATTGATATTTTCCTTGAAAAGCCAAATGGTGGGGTAGCAGAAAAAGCTGAGAAATGGTAATTCGTAGATTGTCAAACATTTGAACGACTATGTCATTGGTCAAGAACACGCCAAAAAGATTCTCGCCGTCGCCATTTTCAATCACTATAACCGTGTGCGTGCCAATCTGAGTAGACAGCAGCAAAGAAAGCAACAGAGGGAAGGATATCCGGAGGCAGGTGAAGAACGTCATCACACTGAACATCACCATCCAACATTGCCACAAGAATATTATCCCTCCAATAACAGCCCTATTCAAGGAGTTGGTAACGACTTGGTTCCTGCAGAAAGATTGCTGGTATATGGTAAGCGTTTATTGGCGGAAGTACAAGGTGACGACTGCGCAGGGTGCTGATAGTCTTTTTTTTTTTACCGTTTTAGGATCCCAACGTCGGGCGTGGTTGAATCCACCAACGCAAGCAAGCGGCAGTACCCGGCCTTCCAGCGATCCTGTCCATGCACCACCACCGTTTACACTTCAAGAACCCTATGATGATCTGCCAGTTCATGACAAATCCAATGTGCTTCTCATTGGACCTACGGGTTCAGGTAAGTTTGTCAAGAGCCTTTGTTACCACAACTGGCCTGTTATTAATGATATGTGACTCTAGGCAAAACACTGCTAGCCAAGACTTTGGCGCATATATTGCAAGTACCCTTTTCAATGTCGGATGCCACACCATTCACTCAGGCTGGTTATGTTGGTGAAGATGTAGAACTCGTTATTCAACGGTTATTGCAGGTAATTTTCCGGCGATCTTTATTGGCGAGCGCAAGAACGGCAAAATTAAAGTGGTATTGTATACGTAGGCTTGCGATTACGATGTGAAGAAAGCGGAAACAGGCATTGTATTTATCGATGAGATTGACAAGATCTCACGACGATCGGATTCCTTGTCAGCGTCTCGTGACGTATCCGGTGAAGGCGTACAACAGGTATGACTTACACGATCGTGTTTATATCAGTAGCTCCTTGTCTGACAAGATGTTGTTACAGTCATTACTGAGGATGCTCGAAGGCACAGTGATCAACATTACTGATAAATCCGGCGGTGGCAGCGGGCAAAACAAACGGGGCGGTGTTCCTGGTGGAGGAGCACTTGGTGGAGGCGCCGGTGGTAGCGGCAAAGGCGAGACGTATGCTGTAGATACCAGTAATATCTTATTTATATTGAGTGGGGCTTTCATTGGCTTGGAAAAAACAGTATCGGATCGTCTTGCCAAAGGGGTAAGTAACCATAGACAAAAAAAAGCTCTTCCCTGATCATTTATCCGTCCTCTCGGCTAATCAATACCATGTTTGATCTGCAGTCCATGGGTTTCGATGCCACGCTAAGGTCAAGCAACGATAAAGACGATGATGACACGCACGTGTTAAGCATGGTAGAACCGATCGATTTGGTAAAATATGGCCTGATTCCGGAATTTGTCGGCCGACTTCCGGTGTTGGCTTCCGTGAAGAACTTGGATGTCGATGATCTTGTTCGTGTTTTGACGGAACCGAAAAACTCTTTACTAAAACAATACGAGAGCCTTTTCGGTCTCAGTCAGGTAAAGTTTGAATCTCTTGATATACACGTAATCTTGGTAATCCTAGATATTAACAATTTTTTTCCTGCGGCTAGATTGAATTGTGCCTTAGCAAAAATGCCTTGCGAGAAATTGCCAAGCTGGCCCTGGAAAAGAAGACAGGAGCTCGTGGATTGCGTCGCATCATGGAGAACTTGCTTTTGGATCCCATGTATGACGCTCCCGGTACACCTATTACCCAAGTTGTGATTGACAGCAAAGTGGTTTCTAAGAAGAAAGCACCGATTTACCTTCGTCAAGACCAACAGGGCCTTGCCGAGAAAATCATTGCCGAGGACGATGGTACTTCCGATGCGTCGTCTTCTCTTGATCAAGATATGGCCGAACATCAGCAGATGACGCATATTTAATGACATCGACATTTCCCAATTTACGAAATTTCTTGTATTATATCTTGTCTTTATCTTTTTTTCCTTACATATTTTTCGTCTTCCTCCTACATATCGCGGGTGTGCGTGTCTGTGGGCAATCTTCAGTCCTCGGTCAAGGCAAGTGCTACTAGGATCCTTTAACTCCTTGCTTATACACACTTTTTCCACTTCCTGTCTGTTATCCCCCCCCCCTTCTCTCTATCTCTTTTTTTCTTCAATTATGTCACTTATTCATCTGAAAAAAAGCGTTATCCCCATATGACTTTCTTCTGATACTTTTTTTTTTGAGTCTTTTGATTGATGCGTCGTTGTGGAATAAATTTCCCGAAAATATAACCCACTCGAAACTTGAATGGGTGGCTTTTCGTGACTCGCTTTCAGGGATACTGAAAAGTTTCCCAAACGGCTATTCAAAGTGGCCTTTTTTTTCAGAATCACCTAAAAAAGTCGTTTCCCGTCATGGCTAAAGAAAGAAAGGAAAAGAAGGAAAAGAAGGTCAAGTCGACTGATAGCGATTCCACCGAGCAGGTTGCTCGCTTCGCTTCTCCCATTGCTCATCCCATGGCTGAAAGCAAGCTCAACAAGAAGCTTTTGAAGACCGTGAAGAAAGGTAATTTCGGCAGCTACAGGCTCCTTTTTGGATCAGGAGTACGACGGTGTCTAATCGATCGATGTTTATTTTATCCTATAGCCAGCAAAGCCAAGCATGTGTGCCGTGGTGTCAAGGAAGTCAGCAAGAGCCTTCGTAAAGGCAGCAAGGGCCTTGTTATCATTGCTGGTGATATTTCTCCCATTGACGTTATTGCTCACATGCCCGTCTTGTGTGAGGACCACAGTGTTCCCTACGTGTTCGTACCGTCTCGAGAAGAATTGGGCGAAGCAAGCTCAACAAAGCGACCTACATCAGTGGCCATGATTGTGGTTGGTGGCAAACAAAACGACGCCAAAGCAGCAGAAGACTACAAGGAAATGTATGACGAATGCTTTGCTCAGGCAAAGAAGCTGGTAAGTGATCTTTTTGCAAAGCGAGAGTAACGTCACAATGCAGGTACTAAATGTTTTGTATTTTATATAGAATGAAAGTTTGGTTTACTAAATCCGACTCGTGTAAAAAAAAAAAAAAGACAAGAAACGATAACGACGATATGAAATAGTGTTATCGTATTGTTTGTACATCCAACATCCTTTTTGTTTATCTACTTGAAGCCTTTTATGGCAATAGAAGAAGCAGAATCATCATAATAACACGCTTTTTTCTCATTTCACTTTTGGTTAAAGAAAAAATTGTATACATCCTTTCTTGTTTCTTAAATTTTGAAGAAAAGGCAAGCGTTGCTGGGTAGAGGGCCAGCGACAGAGAAATTTTTGGCTGTGACGTGTCCACGTGTGGTTTCAACTCATTGTGTGGTTGAACGTCGCTTCTTGCCTTTTTCTCCTTTCCTTTGCTGAGCTCCACCATCTAATGTCCAAACCACCTGTTCATTCCGTATTATTCGATAGCACAGCACCTAACAGTAATACCGGTTATTACGATCCCAATGCCGGTGTTAATCCCGGTGCAGGAGATGGTTTGCAGTTTTATGCGTCTTCCTACGGCAATCAATACGGGGCACCCTCTTACTATGCAAACGCGCCAGCCGGCGACATGCGTTCTGATACCTATGATTATACGAGAGGCATGGGCTCATTTTGGAGTGCATTTGGTACAGGCGGATTTGCAGATGAGCCTCCATTGTTGGAAGAGCTCGGTTTGAACTTTGAGCATATCAAAACCAAGGTAAGCTGACGTTGAAAACCGTGGTCAATGTATGATGGAAAGGCTGATATCGATGTGCCCTTCAGAGTTTAACGGTGCTGAATCCTTTTGGAAATGTTCCTCACGACATTATGGATGATACGGATTTGGCCGGACCTTTGTTATTCATTTTCTTGTTTGGTATATTCCTTATGCTGTCCGGCAAAAACCATTTCGGCTACATTTACGGTGTCGGTGTACTGGGTGTGGTATCTATCTTCCTTGTCATGAACTTAATGAGTGAAAGCGGAGTGGATTGGTCTCGTACAGCAAGCGTTCTTGGTTATTGTCTGTTACCCATGGTCATGCTCAGCGGATTTAGTGTGATTCTGCCATTGAAAGGATACATTGGTTTGGTATTGACCGCTATTTCTATTCTGTGGTGCACTTATGCCAGTTCCGGTATGTTCACCACTGTTTTGCGCATGAGTGAACAACGTTTCCTGGTGGCGTATCCCGTTGGTCTATTCTATGCCTGCTTTGCGTTGATGACTGTTTATTAGAATCTTTGTATCCATCCAAAGCTCTATGTACATAAATTATTATCTTATTTCCTCTCTTTTTTTCATGCTTTAAGGTTCACCGTGCTCGTAATGTTTGGTTCAGATACTGTAGTCTTCTAACAGGATCTAGAAAACGGGGTCACTAGCAAGTTATCTTAGAATCAGCAGTTGCCCCATAGGAAACATGACCGAAAATGGTTCTGATAGCTTAGCCTGAGAATGAGAGATTCCAGGTTAACTTGTTCCGTTGGCGAGCTCGCGAATAATGGACTGATGGCTAATGTCAAACCGAGGATTAATGAACTAAAGCTGTATAGTAACTATATCTTACACTCTGGTCTTGGAATCTTTCCATGACATAACGGACCGGAATATCGTCTTCATTGATATCTCTTTCCATGGACCATCCGTCAGTGTCAAGTCCTGTTGATAAACTGGGGCCGTTTTAATCAAGTTATTGTGATGCTTCAAGGAAATAATTCGGCTTTTACAGCAGCAAGGACTGATCGTGTTTCCCTGTTGATACTTGAGAGACTTCACTTATATTCTGCTACCTGGAGGCACCGCTGTAAATGTGAAAAGCAATCAGCAATGTAGGCGTGAAACGGCGATAACTATGCCTATCAATTACTGACACATCATCCATCTAATCGCAACGTTTCAGTAGAAAATATTTACAAGTTTCTGGCATCCAACTGGAGACCATATCGAGAATGCTTTTATAGTTTCTTTCAACCTTTTATGATGGCAAGTGTGATCCTTTGACGAAGGCGTTATGGCAACAGCAGATCGTTTCATCACAAAAGCATATCACCGCTTCAACATCAGGAGATTTCCGATTTGGTTCCCCGTGCAGTATATTGTCGAATCAGTCACTAATTGCCCTTTTTTCGAGGTACCTGGTGCATTACATAAGCGCATTTGAAATTCCAGAGTCAGATTGAGAATAAGAAAAAGTAATTGTACAACATTATTTGGAAAACTTTGAACAAAGTAGAATACAATTCATCTAATCATCGAATTCCAATAACACATGCGAAAGTAGAAATGAAGCACTATACAGATTGATTGAAAATTTAAAGGAGGAAAGCACCGGTCAAAGCCGCCACAGGCGATCCGGTCACACGAGGCAAACTCCATCCAACAGCAGAGGTGGTTTCAGCGGAAGCGGCAATATCCAAGTGGGTAAAGCCAATAGGATGTTCATGGTTCAAACCATGCTTATCCAAACCGGAAGCAATAAGCATAAATCCGGCGGGATACTGATGGCCACGGCTGGTCATGGTACTGGGCTTGTCGTTGGCTTGCACGACGTCTTCACTGGATCGACCAGGCTGAACAACAGCGACATCTTCGCGGCGCATGGTAGAGATTTCAAAGGGATCGGCGAGAATGTGACCAGCATCATGTATACGCTTGCTGACTTTGTTTTTGCGCGCAAAACCATTGTCAAGAGTGATACCGTAGCAATCGTAAGCACGAAGAGCGTGACCGGTCAAAGTGGCCACAGTGAAAAGAAGAGAGGGTGCTTTTGAGGAAGGAGCATTGGCCTTCTTGTTGGCGAGCACACGTTCCTTGAATTCACACAGCAAATCGGTCATCACCATACGACCTTCGGCATCCGTATTGCCGACCAGCACACGAGTACCGTTGCGAGAATAGATCACCTCATCACTCACATAGGCATCTGAACCGACCGAGTTTCTCACCAATGCCAGACCTGCTGTCACATTCACCTGTTCGGGTTGAAGCAATTCAATGGTCTTGAGTAAACCAGCCACAGCGGCAGCACCACACTTATCACGAGACATATCTAAGCGCCCAGTTGTCCATCCATTAGCAATCTTGTCCGACTCCCAGAATCGACGTCGTCGTTTTCCTTACCTCTCATATGACCACTGCACTTGATGTCAGCACCTCCAGTATCGTAAGTAACACCTTTACCCACGAAATACAAACTGGAAATTGTCATATGATCAGAAAAAATGGCCCCATGCGAGACAACGATTTTGAAATAGAAAGCACTCACTTTTCCTTAACCTTGTCTTGATCAGGCGATACATATTCAAAGTGAACAAATCGAGGATGGTGACGAGGAACTAAATGAAAATTTGCATGAGATTCCTTTGCCGTTACATCCTCCATCATCCTCTAACTAAATTATCTTACCTGCTAAACTCGCGCGAGTGACAGCGTGAGCGAGAGGATACTCTTTCTTGATGGCATCAATGTCATCAATGACTGTCATCTTAACATTCTTGCTGTCCTTGAATTGCTCTTGGAGATATTTGACGACTTGAATGGGAGACATACGCTCGGGATCAGGGGATCCAATATCTGGGGGTCATCACATGATTTTCCGTTACTTCAGACTCCCAAGACGACCATCATTTCCTTTACTTACCCTTGGCAACACGACGACCAGCTTCGATAGCAGACACAATCTTGATCATCTCATCGACTTTGCTGCCGTCGAAATTAGGAGCCACAAAGCCCAATTGCTTGAAAACCTGAAGAGGTTGCTTGACACGTTCGTGATGATCGCGCACATCCACAGGCTCAAAGGTGGATTCCAAAAATCCAAGCATGGTCACTTCCAGATAATGCTTATAATCATCTTGCTCAGAGAACGTCCAGGACAATTCTGTCTCGGCGGGAGCATCGGCAAAGCATACCAAAGGAGCCACCATACCGGCCTTCAAGGCACGCTTACCAGCGTCAAAGGCGGCATCTGATTACAATCCGGATAAGCGACGGCGAACGGAAAAACAAGTCCGACATGCTTATTTCTTTTTTGTGCATACCTTTAAAGCGACGAGCATCGTCAAAGTCGTTGTTAAGGGAACCGGTGGGAACAATGAGGACTCGGCTAGCAGGCGAAGCGTCATTGGGAAGAAGCAACTGAATTTCATCGCCGAACGAAGCATCCAAATCCATCCAGCTCTTCACGCTCGGAACAACGTTCAAGAGCGCCTTCTTATCAGTGAAGAGAACCACGACACCGTCATAGTTGTTTTCCTGGAGAGCACTGGCAACGTTGTTGGTGAAAATCTTCAATTGCGGCAATTCCATGTTGAAGACGGCAACAGATAAAGTATAAACAAGAGGGAATGGAAAAAATTAAAAAAAAAATTATAAAAAGAAGTGGGCCGAAAAAAAAAGAGTTCCGCCGTGTCGCACGAGTCACACCACGCAAAAAAAAAAGGAAAATTTCGTGAAGAGGAACAGAAGTATATCAACCTTTAAAGCTCCGTCACCGGCTTTTAGCCATTGATCTTCCGTAAATATGGAGTAAAATCAATCGCAACATAAATAATCGAATGAATGACCCGTCTACAAGTCTTGCTTCTGAAAAACACCCTCCATATCAGTTATTCCACAGACAAGACTTTGTCGAAACCCATCATTGCATTGATTGGTTGCGTTTCTATCAGAAATCTTCGTCAAATCTTCGGTTTTAAAAAAATCAAAAAGCATTCCACCCAGACAGGTCGTGTCAAACTTTTTGTGTATGGCATGGGACATCCACACGTAAAGCCAATTCAAATTCACGCGGGTGAATTACTCTCACAGTGTCATAAGCCAATGGACGTAACCCTTCCGTACCGTGTCAGTGTGAAGATGACATTTTTGGCCGTATCAAGCTCACTTACGGAAAATCCGTACAGTAAATTGTGAACAAGATAACCCGATGAAGAAGCTTGTTGAAACGTAACGAGCATCAATAAAGTAATAGTAACTCTCTGTTGCTTTAGCTTTCTCATTTTGAAGCATCAGCCTGTTACACGCATTAAACGCATCAGACCCATGCCAACGTGAGTGGATCTTCGGGTTAAAGCAGTGCCTGTCATCTCCGCAAATAGAAGATAAGCGGTGGACATATTTGATAAGCGTGAATCAAGAAAGTTACACGAATCAGTCCCGAGTCATATATTTCCCACGGTGGCTTTTTGAACTCCTGCTGCCGGGAAAACTTGGTGAAAACATTTAATAATGTTAGATTAAAACTATGGAGCACTCAAGAATGAAAATATTGGTATGGCCGATTAAATCACACCCATGGAGTCAATAGGAGTAAAACTGCGATGGTCTCCGAATCATATTGAGGAAACGAAATGAACCTGTAATTGCATCGAGCATTTATACTCACATAATAGCAAACAATGAAAATGCACCAAAACAATGGATTCACGTCAATTTATCAGGGATGCACACGTGCTTTTCCTGCTGGATGATGACAGTTTAGATCGGGTTCTTCATCAACTTTCCACTTTTTCACTTTGCTTCTGGGTGAGTATGTGTGTCGCAGAAAACACTCGCCATACGTCTACGAAAACAGCGCGATAAGTTACTAAACAGGCAGGACGCTTTTGTCAGCATAACGCTTTGCTGTTGAAATATTTCCAAAACATGCAAACCGCGCAGTTTAATACTCAGTTACAATTGTCGCATTGACAAAAAGTGAAGTCGTAATTTCCGAAAGGTTGCAAAATCCTCAATATTTTCTATGCTAGACACCAAAAATGTTGGCAGTTTTGCTGCGCTAGGTATAGTCGTCTAGGAGATTTTCTGAGCAGAGCTTGACGAGAGTTTGCATGCAGTTGATGATTCCCAATTTAGTACACTTGTGTTGCACTTGGCTGCAGTACTATTATGAATTCTGTAAAGAAGTTGGATGAAGATGATAACGAATGTCAGCTTTGTTAGAACGGTTGTCATAGAGATAGAATAAAGCCGGGGCAGAACTGACAGAATTATTGTCTTGCAAATTTGCTGCGGTTAGATTGTCGAACTTATTTGCTTGGTTTTCAAGAAATCCAATTTGGCAAAATTGCATTATCCATGAACGCGAGAATAGAAGATCCCAAATTTGGCGCACATGGTGGAATTTCTTCTCTGTGAGTCATATTTTAGAGTAAATGAGTCATTGTAACTTTTTGGCTGATGCTTGGCTAGTGCTTGGTTGGTGTTCTCCTTGCCCTTTTTTGTGTACTTTGTGCGAAAAAATTACTGCGCAACAACGCTTGCCCTTCTGTGAGGTGAAAATTAAAAACCCGCTCCTCGCATAAATATGCTTTAAGAATACGACGGCTTCGTTTTTTCCCTACAACGACCATTCTCGGAAAGAAATTATGACCCAACCTTCATCCGACACCACTATCAACCAGGCCACGCTATTGACCTCCACCCTTATGAATATATCATTGCACGATATACAAGCCGATGAAATTGTCGATACCATTTTTGGTCCCGGGCACAGCAAGGCCGACCTAGATGAGGACGACTGGCCCACAGAAAAACGAACGCTCAAAGTATGTAGATTTACGTCTCACCATGCTTTTCTTACAATACTGTTCTACTTAGGCACGATTTATGGAGGCGACGCCGGAAGACATTGAATACATACGCTCCCTGATAAGCAAACGGTTGGAGCAAGGACGAGGCGAAGCGTTATTTGAAATCGGTTTGGAAGGTACGAAACCACCAGCAAAAGACAGCATAACATTGACTTTTGGAAAACTAACAACTAGTCATCACCGTTTCAGAGGACGATTCTTCCATGCACCTTACCAAAGAACAGTACCAGAAATGCCTGACAACGCTCGAACTAGTCATGGTCGATCTTCATGCTGACTTTGCCGATGTCGATGAAATAAACTTGCTGGATCAAACAGACAGTCAAACAACAAAAATGTCAACGAAATCTCTAGAGGACGGCGTAATTGGGCATGTTATGATCAGAAAACGTCCTAAATCAGTACAAGACATGCTGGAAATTCGAATAGCTGTAGTTGGCAACGTAGTAAGTAACAGTGCTATTATGATTCTGTCAAGCTTCAAGCTCACTGTATCCTATAGGACGCTGGCAAGGTAATGATGTGACAGTGATAGGTCCCATTTTTTGAAGATGCTGACTTGCAATAGTCCACATTACTGGGTGTACTTACAAAAGGTATCCTTGATGATGGTCGAGGCAAAGCCAGAGTGAACCTATTCCGGTATGTCATTATGGGATGACGATGAAAAACTTGCAGCACATTGGAGGGACATGTTATTGAAGACCCTGTATATAGCCACAAGCACGAAATAGAATCTGGGCGAACGTCCAGTGTCGGCGGCGAAATCTTAGGGTTCGACTCCAAATCACACCCCATCCTTCACCCCAGTGCATCTGGTCGCAAGCTTACTTGGGAGGAAGTGTGTAGCCGAGCAGCCAAAGTATTAAGTTTCGTGGATTTGGCGGGGCACGAGAAATACCTGAAGGTATATTTTCCACAACACACTATTCACTTTGAAGTCGATGCATGTTAACGCTTCTGCTTGGAACAGACCACCGTGCTTGGCATGACAGGCAGTGCTCCCGAATTTGTTATGCTAATGGTAAATCGCTGATATTTGGGTATTCACGTCGTTGCCAAGGCTGACAAAAACATTGTTTAAACTAGGTTGGCGCTAACGCAGGCATGATCGGCATGACCAAAGAACATCTTGGTATTGCCCTGTCACTAGGTATACCGGTCCTTGTTGTTGTTACAAAGATCGATCGGTGTCCCCCGAATATTCGAGAAAAGACGATCAAAGAACTCACATCAATATTGAAATCCAAGTCTTGTCGAAAAATCCCGCTATTTGTGGAAAACAGCCATGATGCAGTAATGACAGCAGTAAGTGGAAAGAAGTAGAGACAATTCCATGAGAATGCTTTTATTGATCGAGAATGCCATGGAATTAGCAAAACTTTGTCAGCGAACGTCTATGTCCCATTTTCCAGATCAGCAACGTGACAGGCGAAGGGCTTGATTTACTACGGAATTTCCTCAACATTTTGCCATCCATGACCAAATACGATACAAGTCTTCCATTCCACTACGAGGTCAACGAAACATACTCTGTGCCTTTTGTGGGTACAGTAGTTAGTGGGATCCTAAAAACTGGAATGATTCATGTGGGTGATCGCGTGTTGATCGGTCCAGATTCTACCGGTCAATTTATTCCTACCACCATCAAAGGCATTCATCGAAAGCGGGTGTCAGTTCCGGTTGCAAAGGCGGGTCAGAGCGTCACGTTTGCAATAAAAAATATCCGACGGAGCACGATCCGCAAAGGCATGGTGTTGCTGAATTACGATAAAGACCAACCTATGCCTAAGGCTTCTCGGAAGTTCGAAGCGGAGATCCTCGTACTATACCATTCAACGACTATCAAACAAAAGTATCAAGCAATGGTCCATTGTGGTGCGGTACGACAGACTGCCAGTATTGTGAACATGCAGAATACGGTATTAAGGACGGGTGACCGTGCTAAAGTGGTAAGTCATTATGCAAGGAAATTATGATATGCGCATGCAGGCTGATCCTTGTTTATTTTACGCATTTTGGTAATTTCTTGTCGTTCTGCCTTTTTGGTATTTGCGATTTCAATTCTACTTTATTGGGTCCGCTGTATAGCAATTTGAGTTTGTGAAAAATCCAGAATATTTGGTGGAAGGCACACGGCTGGTAAGGGATGACACGTCAATGTATACTTGTTTTGTCTATTAATGCACGATAATCAGATATTCCGTGAAGGGCGTACGAAAGGTGTGGGGAAAATCACCCGACTATTAGCATAGTTCTTGCTGACCATTTCGAGGTTTTCGTTATTTTTCTTCAGTCGTTGCTAAACATTGAAATTATGCTGCAAATGAATAAAAACAGAGGGGGAAAATATCGTGAAAGTGAAATGTGACAAAGTGAGCTGATTGGTTGGGCAACAGGAAGTTATAACAGCAGAATAGAAGCCCAAGAAAGAGGGGGGAAGCCAAAGCAAAAGGTTCTTCCCTATAACATATCAACAGCTGCTAAATGAAAAAAAAAGAGACAGAGAATAATAATTAATAGGAGAGAGGGCAATAGAGGTTTGGAAAGGAGGGTCCAAGGGGAAGTCCAATTGTTTTTTTTTTGTCCCAATGAGATGGCAAAGATGTTACAGTAACAAAAAGAAGCAAGTTCCAAAAATTAGAATGAAAAGTTGCCTTCATTTCGAAACGGACGAGTTGGAAGAAGCGGAGGCATATCCAACGGACATGGGGCGATTTAATCGATGAATGCGTAAATGTCGTCGTAGATTGCTTTGAACGCTAAATTTTCGTCCACAGCCTTCTTCGGTGCATTCGAACGGCTTCTCACCCGTGTGTGAGTAGGTATGCGTCCGCAAAGACGACGGACGTGTGAAAGCTTTTTGACAATAGGGACATATGTATTTAGCTGCTCCTTGTTGGTATGATACATTATTATTCAAATCCAGAATGAACCGATGAGGGGTGGGGGATGAAGAGGAAGAATTAATATCCATATCTTCTTCCTCCTCTTCCGTCATATCGAGCTCATCCGCAGACGAATGAGCGGTACCAAAAGAGCCTTCTACTGCCATCCGCTTGTAAGTCGCGAACGGATACCGCGGTGCGAAATCTGAGTAGGATCGAGAGTGAGTACGTCGCCGACGAGAAGTGGTATGAGATGTAGCAGGTTTAGATATGCTTAACGACTGCATGTCGAGTGGTAAAGCCATAACGTTGGAATGATACAATGACGAGATTTTAGATGAGGTATGGGTTGATGCAATGGAAGATGACGAAGATGGGGTAGATGGCACTGGTGGTGATGAAGACGATGAGGGTGGTTGTAAGGGAGCAATCAATGGCAGCATAGGTGGTAATGTGTCCCCTCGACGGAATGAGCTTGGTATGTGCTCAGAGGCATGACGACGGTGACCTAGCAAATGAGGGGGTTTGGACGCTCGATTGGAACGAACTGTATAATCTGTATTTAAAAGAGAAAATGGTGCAATTGAAGACGGTAATCGATGCGAAAAGGATAAGCAAGAGTAAGTGGAAGCAGCAATCCATGATTATCTTTTACCAATCATGCCAGGTCCGCCTTCCAAAAGTTGCTTAATAGAAGGTAGACTTGGTTTTTCTTGTTGCATGGCAGCGAATTTTTGTAGAAACCACAGAAACAAATGCGGAATAGTATAGTAAAGAAAAATGAGAAGTGATAGAAGAGAGAAGAATGAGAAAAGATCTGCCAATTGCAAAAAGATGAAATTGATTCTTCCCTCACTTCTTTTTTATATCATTTTTTTTTTCAGGAATCCACGTGGCTTCACCGCATAAAAATAGAAAGCTTTCAATTTCTCCTAGTCTTTTGCTTCATAGCCCATTTTCTCCAATATAACACAACAGAAAAAAAGACGCGCTCACATGAACATCAAAATGAAATGCTCACAATTCCATGCAGCAATGATTTCAAGCGCCATTTAAAAATTTCATAGGTTCTGTTTGGTCGTTTTTTTCACACACCAACTTTTTCTCGGCGTTCACATATTATCGGGTCTTTCTTTGTCGGTTCGCGCCATCCTAGTTCTCTCATTACTGTCTTTTCGTCATGTCAGCCGCTCAAAGATTTATTCGATCGCCTCAATTCGCAGTCGTTGGTGCCAGTACTTCGCCCGAAAAGTTTGGCAACAAAGTTTTGCGCTGGTACGCTGTCACAGTGAAATTATCACCAGAATGGGTATTGACAGCACTTGCTATAGGTATATCAAGAGTGGTCTCAAGGTTATACCGATAAATCCAGTAAGTGGCAACTCGAAAAGGGTAAAAAATGAGTGTCTAAAGTATGGTATTGCTCTGTATTTTGCTACACTGTAGAAGGTAGCAGAGATCGAGTCTTTGGCCACAGTCGCATCCATCAAAGAACTTCCTAATCCTACCGAAACAGCCTTATCTGTTATAACACCCCCCAAAATAACGCTTCAAGTGTTAAAAGATGCAGAAGAATTAGGGATTCAGAATGTTTGGATTCAGCCAGGTGCTGAAGATGGAGAAGTGATGAAATTCGCAAAGACATCGAGTATGAATTTAATTATGGGAGGTCCTTGTATCCTAGTCCAAGGCCCAGATCTCGTTCGATTGCGAGGTCGTCTTTAAATAAACGTTCACCCTGGCTGTTCAGAAAGAAAGCTGCAACGTTAACTGGAATCTAACCACTTTGCTTAGCTAATTTGTGAATATGATATCTCAAATGATTATTGCTTATGCTCAGAATTTTTCGATGAGACTGCACAAGCACCATTCGATTTAAGAATCTCCCCAAATTAAAAAATGTGGGATCTAGCGACAGACCCTGTGTCATTCATTATACAAGGTAAATAAAAATTTATCATTGCCGGCGAGTCAACCCTAAGATATGCATCAGCTATACAGAGGATATTACGTTATAGATCCCATAAACATCCAAACAGTCATTCATAGTCAAGGAAAAAGGGTCGTTCGTAATGTAACGATGATGATGCTTCCATTTAAAAACGGGGTAAATCATAAAAGCGTAGAATAGGGACATAGAATTAGCAACTTCCAATAAATCTTGATGAAAAAGTAGTAATATTTACAAAACGAGGGAGGGAATATCATCAATAACATGTTATAAGAATCGTAACTGGGATGGTGTAAAGTGAAGTGGCTTCCAGTCTAGTTTCTCGGGAACAATTGTTCGCTTCCGCTTCTTTCGAGATCGTTCCCACTGTTCAATGACTTTATCACCCAGACAAATGATGTGCTGTCCTCTGTAATATTTCAAGGCACCAATATTTTGAAGTGTGTGAAGGATATCCTGAGGAGTGATTGACGTGCGCTGGGAAATTTCTTCAATGGTCACCTCGTCGGTCGTCGACAAGAGTAGTTCCACAATCGTTTCCGTCCAATAAGCTCGATAGGATAGCAGACCCAGATCAGAAAGCGGCTTCTCGGGTGAACCCGTTCGTCCTTCCGCCTTGGACAAGGCATAAGAAAATGCAATGAGTAAGCGTCCGTAACCGTGTCGTTGATGCTGAGGTAATGTCAAGATACAAGCAACATTGTAATTTTCAGATGATTCCTTCTCCTTGGAAAAATAACCTATTAAATGATGTCCCAGTTCGTCACGGAGGGTCATGCAGTAGAACAAGAACGGATCTACGTCGTAGTATAGCGTTTTATGATCCAAGAACAACTTGGAAAGTAGACAGAGATTGCGACACCAAGTTTTCTGTTTGCGGCCATCGATTTCAAAGAAAGAGATCTCTTGATGACGGTAGATCTCGTTACCAGGCGGGTGCTGCAATTGGCATCTCCCGCGATGACGTTCCAGTTGTTTGTGAGACGCATAGTAGAGAAGACAAAATTCGCAGATGTATAAAGTGTCGCAATACGCATACTCCATCGGATACGGCGAAAAATACCATGCTTCCACTTCGTGCTTTCCCATTTGAATTTTGTTCAAGTTCTTCACTCGTGCCACCTCGCCAACACATTGAGTCATGGATCCAGAGGTTCGTAATTTCTCAATTTCCTGCTTTTTTGAAAACGTGCCTGTCGTCTCTTCCGTCACCTCCATGGTTTGTCCGTCCTCGTCGTCAGCACCAATAACCACATGAGCATTTTCTTTATCATCGGCACTAGGTGTCGCAACGTGAGATTCTGTTTCTTCCACTTTACGTTTCTGTCCTGCTGTAGGGGTTCCCGCTCGTCCTTTGGTGCGTCCGTGATCTAACGGTGGCGTAGCAGTGGCATCTCGATGATGGTTAGGATCTTTCTTTTTCTTGTGGTCGGGTTTAGGGAATTCAACTCCTCTTGCAAAGTCCAAGCGTGCAAACGAAACCCATTCATCCAAACGTTTGTTGAATTCGACGTAATGAACATAGTATTCCAGGCCTGGTGGATCCGTCGGCGTTTCACGTGCCCATAAGATTTCGGCTTTGCGGAACTCTGATTCGTGGTTTTGTGAAATCTTCTCTACGAACAGTTTGCAATGCAAAGGTGAAGCCATGAATTTGTGCTTCAGTTCTGCCAATTGAGTAGCCGCATCAGTTTGTGCCGAGGAATTTCCATCGACTGGCGGCGTCCCGCTGGAATTCATGTTACTCATCGTTGAGAAAAAAAAGTGTTCTACAGCCACACCAAGGGATGTTGAACAGAAGTGATCAGACGATCGGGTCGGAGGGAAAAATTCAAAGGGTGATGTCATCAATCGGAGTATAAATTCCGCAAAAGTGATGAGGGTGGGCTATGCATTCACGATTTTTACCTGGCTTTTTTTTCGGTTTCTGTAACGTAACTCCCCCCCTACTCTATCGATTAATACTTCCCCACTTTCATACATCATGCTCTCCACTCAGTCCGTTCTCAGAAACATTACACACAGTATGTTACCAACCTATTTTAAACTCCAAAGCTACTCGATCTAATCCAAGCTCGTACGTAGATCCTGCTGTTCGTTCCGTCGTGTTCAAGAACGCTGCTGTCAGCTCCATGGCAGTGAGGTAATAACTATGCATTACCGATTCTTTTTTCAGCTACTGATTCCAACGTTAACAGACGTTTCAATGCTACACCTTGCGCTCGCGAGCAATCGCCTGCTGCCGAGTCCGAGTTATTACGCCAGCAGCGTAAAGTTCGCCCTGTTTCTCCTCACTTAACTATTTATCAACCCCAGATCACCTGGTATCTTTCGGCTGCTCACAGAGTCACCGGTTGTGCTGTCGGTGGTGGTAAGTTATCTACATCAAAACACCGCGCGTTTCCATATCAACGAAAAATCTGATCGATATTGTTGTTCTGAAGCTGTTTACTTGGGTGCATTGGCCTACCTTGCCGCCCCCACTGTCGGTATGACTTTTGATTCTGCTACTCTTGTTTCTACTGTTGCTGCTGCTCCCGTGGCTGTCAAGGTTCTCGCGAAAACCACCGTTGCATTCCCATTTGTTTTCCACTGTCTGAACGGTATTCGACATTTGGTACGTTGACATTTTTCATTTATTTTTTTCCCTATTTTCAAGGACCGAATCGGAAGGGACAATGAGGACTGATCATATGAAAATAAACAATGTAGGTTTGGGATGCTGGTAAATGTATCGATATCAAGAAGGTCTACACTACCGGTTATGCTGTTCTTGGCGGTACCCTTGCCGGATCTTTGTATCTCGCTTCTTTGTAATTGAAAATAAAATTTTACGCATTCATCCTATTCCGGACATGTGAAAATGGACCAACCTTTTGCCGGGATTCCATTCCACTCCTGTATCACCCAGACTTCCCATATCCCGATATTGTGCACACACAAGGACAAATACGTATAGTCCATGTCACTCAATAACTCATTGATTGCAAGAGGGGATCACGGAATTGGGCGTGATTTTAATCATCCCGCCTTGCTTGCTTCACTACATTTGTCTTATGTAATTGTATTCGGTACTGGTCTTATTTTTGGGCGTGAATTCACTGGAGGATTTATAAACAGTGGAATACTTTATCCGTGTCGGCAATACTTGATGAGAGATGGGAAACAGAATCGCGTTCAACCAATTGTATTCTGTTCTCAAAAGTTAGGCGCTTGGTAAAATCAATGCAGCTTGCTGAATTCAATAACCTTGTCCATCGCACACCGTAACACCATTACGAACAGTTGTACCAGATTTGGAGCCTGCTGTTTATGGGAATCGTGAGCCACTCACCAATGACAGGCGACATCTCCATCACAGTCGTTCATCATCCTGCCACTCCTGATTGCTTGTGCCTTTATTCTAGGATTTGCTCTTTTTAGCTATCATATTTTTCCAACTAAAGATACCATGTTGTAAAAACTGAAATGCCACAAGAAATTATTCCCAAATCACTACTTGCATTGTTGTCCTAGTTATTTTGACTGTGTATTTCACGTTGACCTGCGGTCCATGACAGTGCGCAGTCTGTCCTACCTACTTGGTGGATCTCCGGGCAACCAAGGCCCGCTGAGGTCTGGAGGTACGTTAACCACATCCACATTTTGCTTTACTGCCATACCTAGTTGCTATTTTTTCCGTTCTTTTTTTTTTTTACATTTGACTACATAATTTGAGCTGTTATTCTTCCATTTTTTGTCTATCTAACCTTTATATTTGGTCTACTTTTCTTTCTTTTTTCTTGCTCTTTCGCTTTATTTTTGATTTTTGTGACTTCAAGTTGAATAAACTGTAGTTGGTGCTCATCAACTGCATTTGGGAAATTTTCGTCTTCCCCTTTTCTTTTCCCTCATGGCAGCACGCTTCACGCTGGCGAGTGGTCTCACAACAAAACTGGAGGCATGCTCGGCTTACCTCGCTTCATTTTCTAAGCGGTCCTTATCCTTGCTTCTACTGCTGACTGTGACTATCACCGTCTGCTTCTTGTACTCATCTCATGCGCCAAATTACCTTTCAAACACCCCCAACGGTTTCCTGTACGCACGTAATGCCTCTCATCTTTTATCATCTGGGACATATGATTGTGCTCAGTGCAAAACTCCACCCATTGAAAAATATACCGAGGAGCAAGTTTTTGAAGCATGCCTGGATCCCGGCGTTGTCCCTGAATATTATCTGAGTGTTGTTTTTGTTACTCGCAATGATAACTATGGCGACCAAGAATACCATCGAGTCCAGAATGCCATTGATAGCACCTTCTTGTTAGCGGAAAACACCACGACGTTGATCGAACTGCTAATTATTGAGTGGAATCCTCCTGCAGGACGACGTTCTGTACGGGATATGTATCAGTAAGGCTCATCAAAAGACACCCCTTATCTCCATGATCTATTTCATTTTCAATGTCTTACGTGGTTGTTACTCTCAGCTTTCGTCGATCATCGTATCTCACTTATCGTATTATTACTGTCACTCCTCGCCTTCATGACAAGGTTTCACGCAACGACCATGCTTTATATGAATACGAGGGTAAAAACATGGGTATTCGCTTCGCGAGAGGAGCATTTGTTGTATGCACCAATCAAGGTACGATCAATGAGACCGAATGGGGCGAACATACAGTAGAAAGCTAATACCGGACGTTGTTGCAGATGACATTTGGTCTCCGAATATGCATAATGCCATCGCTTCTCGTTCATGGAGAAAAAAGATGTTTTATACGCAATTTCAAGATAGCCACATTGAGTATGCATTCCACCTGGAAGGAAAAACACAAAAACAAACTTGCTAATTCAATATATAGATATGATTCATTACCTTCTACACTCGTACAAATACCCAGCTTTCCCAGCGATGACATCCTTCTCCGCGCTTGCGAGCATGATGCCTTTGAAGCAGGTGCCTTTGTAATGCCTGAGCCCGTTACTGTCAATACCAGCAACTTTTTGCAAATTGGAAGGGAAGCGAGCGATTTTACCTTGGCGCATCGGGATACCTGGAAATTGACGGCTGGTTACCGCGAAATGGGAGCCAAGACGTGGATGGATATGGAACTGTTGCTGACAGCGGCCTGGTCGTTGGATATTCCCGTCACCTATTCTGAGCATCCATTTACATGCCATCAGCAACATCGGCCGGTAGCACATCCAAATACGGAAAACGAGAATCAAGATGTCTATGTAGATAGAATGCAAACAAAGGAAGAACTACACATGAATGACGGAAAGAGTTGGGCCATGCAGACAATGGATCTTTGGCGCGACGGTTTACGGTGTGAAGTTTTCCGTGGGGGACTGGGGATCTAATTCTAAATATTATTTATAATACCGGCAATTAAGTAAAATGCATCAATGGACGCGGCTTGCGGTCCTGCATACCGCAATGAACTCATAAACAAGCATTAAAAGAATCACCGTGACCCACGTACTTTAAAAATGTATGTAATATATTGAACAAATGATTTCCTTCTTAAATAATGGAACAAAAAGGATGCAAAATCCACAGCTGTAAATGGAAACATTTAGGTGATGACAGTAGGTTCCTTACGGCCAGTGAACTTTTCTAATTGAGATAATTCAAGAGCGACATCGATAATTGGTTTCAAGGCTTCTTGAGTTGGTTTGGGATATTCGGCAGCGTTATCCGAATATTTCTCGACGTACAAACGTACAGTGGCACCATGAGAGCCTGTGCCACTCAAGCGAATAACAATACGCGAACCGTCTTCAAAAATGATGCGGATACCTTGCTTCTTGGACTCGCTGCCATCGATGGGATCATGATAAGCAAAATCGTCGGCCTTGGCGATTTTGAATTGACCGCACGTCTTGCCAACAAGCTCATTCTTTTCGATCATACCACGAAGACGTTCCACCATGTCTTCTGCACCTTTGCTGTCAACTTCTTCATAATCGTAACGAGAGAAGAAGTTGCGACCGTAAACCTTGTAATGCTCTTGAAGAATGTCTTGCACACCCATGCGCTTGCTCTTGTTGACATGAGCAATGATGCTCAACCATGCCAAAATGGCCCACACGCCATCCTTTTCACGGACGTGATCCGAACCAGTACCGAATGATTCTTCACCACAGATGGAACAACGACCAGCATCCATCAAGTTACCAAAGAATTTCCAGCCAGTGGGTACTTCGAAGAATTCCAATCCTTGTTTCTTGGCAACCAAATCCAAAGCCTGGGAAGTAGGCATACTTCTGGCCAAACCATTCACACCATGCTTCTTGAAGTATGGGATAGCTTCCTTTGCGTAATGGGCGATGATAGCTACACTGTCACTGGGAGTGACAAAGGCATCCTTACCGATGATCATGTTACGGTCACCATCACCATCGGATGCCGCACCGAAGTCATAGTTTTCGGCCTGAACACGTTCGACCAAATCATGAGCATAAGTGAGGTTGGGATCAGGATGAGCACCGCCAAAGTCGGGCAAGGGCTTGAAGCGCATGACGCTCGATTCCGGGAGACCAAGCTCTTCCACAAACAGACGATAGCCATAAGGACCAGTGACTAAATAAATTAAAAGAGATCAGTCTCCATTCATTGATTGCTGAAAGCATGCACTTATTTAATAACTTTGAGTGAAAACATACCACCATTCATGCCATCGAAAAGCATCTTAAAGTCCTTGTTGTTCTTGAAAAAGGTGCGAATTTCGTCAAAGTCAAAGATGGTCTTCATGTATTCGACATAGTCCTTGACACCATCGATGACCTCCAAAGTCAAATCACCGATATGTTGAGTACCAAGCTGTGAAAAGTCGACCTTGGGAATGTCGGCAATTTCAAGGTTTTGCAGAGTTTTGCTGATTTCATAGATTCGGTTGGTGACACTTTCCGGAGCAGGACCACCATTGGAACAGTTGTATTTGATACCAAAGTCCGCATCGGGACCACCAGGGTTATGCGATGCGGTCAACAGAATACCACCTGTAGCTTTAATCTTACGGATGATACACGAAACAGCAGGCGTCGAGACAATACCATCTCTGCCAACAACGAGTTTCTTCACCTGGAGGATACCAAAAAAAAAAAAAAAAAAAAAAAGAATGAGTCCTATCTTCGCACTTTGTACTTCATTCTTCCCAGCTGCATAACGACAACAACTCCCACAACAGTTGGGAGCAATACACCATGCGTGACAAAGAGCACAGTTCCCCATACACCCACCCACTTTGTGCTTTTGTTCCCCTATCTCGCAGTCTTCCCTTTTTTTATACTCATGAGAATGTACTTACACCAGCGGCAACACTGAGCTTGACGATGATTTGCAAAACTTCATTGAGATAAAAGCGACCATCACCACCGATGACTAATGTAGCACCTTTCGCTCCGCCATCGCTTTCGGGGATAGCCTTGAGAACAGCTTGGATAAAGTTCTCGGTATAGTTGGGCTGTTGGAAAACCTTGACGCGTTTGCGCAAACCGGAAGTACCGGGCTTCTGGCCTTCGAAAGGCTTGGTTTGGACAGTATTCACATTCACCATAGGGAAGTATCACGCGATAAGAAATGAAAAGAGAAGAGAAAGAACAGAAAAAGAAGAAAGTTCAGTGGGTTTCGTTGGATGTGAAGGGTTTGAGACCCTTATATAAGCGCGCTGCTTTTTTTTTTCTTTTTTCGTTTCCAGACGGATCTTCCTGACCGCTGAAAGAGGCCGCGGAGATTGAATGATTGTCGTCGAGATAACCGCTCGTCCTCTGAAGAGACAAGTAAAACCAAAAGATAACCCGCTTTATTTTGTAATGTTTTCTTGCTTCCCTCGTAGAATAATTGTATATATGAAGTAATTGATTGTTCGTTGGGCCTCCAGCAGTTCCAACGCATGGCGTCTTCAAATTTTAACACTTACATCATTCAGCCAGTCTAGCCACTCAACGTCACGACGTCGTAAAGAGGAAGTACAAACATCCGAAGATTACCAAAAGCGGAACGCAGGTTGGGGTGAAACAACGAATATAGGGCGACGAAGAGAATGAGGCACAGACCAACTTCCCTGTGCATTGATAGTTATCATTGTGCTGCGTGCTACACCCAGCCCAATCATATACTGAACCCCCGTTTTGTATCCTTGATTTTCTCTGGCTGGACTCGGGGTTTTTTGCATGGATAATCGTGAAATTATGGAAACGAAAGTAAACAACACGCTATGTTTCATTCCTTATTTCTTGCAACGAAAAACAGAGCTAACAAAAATTTCTGGTTTTCCCGTTTATGCCCTTTTTATTGCTTGGGTCGATCCACCCGTTCCTATCTCCGCCATCTTTCCAGCTTACACAAGGTTTCCCAAAGTAAAAAAAAGCCATATCATGGCTCCAAAAAAGCATCTCCAAATAAAATGGAATGAATGCTTTATTTTTTTTTTCCTTACTATAACTAGTGTTTTACGTATATCCAAGGAATAAAATGTTCATAGGCCAGCAATCTAGTGTATCGCCTCTTCAAAAACGCTAAACGAAGTCGAAATATTGGTGAAATGATACAGTTGGCTACCGTGCTATTTGCTTCATATACAAGTGGTCCATGCTCCTTGCGTCGTATCAAACGTACTGGTTTATGTTTGACATCAGAAGTTATGTAATTCGACCAAACAAGGGTCACCACGAATAAGTACCCTGCAATAGTATTTAGGAAAAGGACGTGACAATTATTGCAGCTTGTCACTTGCTTGCGCGTCCTAGGCACCGTGATAGATTACTATTGCTCCTGTGGCAACATCATCTTGTGCCATTACATCACGTGATTACTGCTGACCCGCAGGAGCTGCGGTTCACATGCTCGGTCAGCGGACAGAAAATGGAGGCAACGATTGTCGAAATTTTAGCGGACGTCTCCTGGCCTTTTTTTCACTTTATTCATTGTCGCTTAACACCATTGAAGAAGCCATGTCGTCGGTCCAAGATGTTTATAATAATATCTACTCAACTTTCCATTCAATGCGTGAATACCTTTCACCAGTATTGAAGAATTCACGATTCAAAGAAACAGGCTGTTTGACACCTGAGGAGGTAAACTTGACATTCAAGTGGGAATTGTGGAAGAAAAATACTCAATATATGAAAAATAATGGCTTTAGTTTGTTGCAGCGGGTGACTTTCTCGTATACAAGTGTCCCACTTGGGCTTGGTAAGTTGCTGTTGACCATGGAAGCGAGCGCGACTAGATGTTACTGCCCAAATGAAGTGTCCTAATAACAACCATTACAGGGAAAGAGGATTAGCTGAAAAGCGACGAGATTACCTTCCAGCTGATAAACAATTCCTGGTCACAAGAAATGGTAGTTTTCAGGGCAAAAAAGGGGTCCGAACCCCGCAGCAACTTTTGATCTAACATTTTGACTATCATGCTGTTAGTGCCATGCTTTCGTCGAGCTCGACAAATGGAATACACCGACGACGGAGATGAAACTCAGATCGCTGACGGAATAGACAGCGCAGAGGATGATGGATGGACTTATACACACAGCTCACGAGGTAAAGTCGCCGTTCATTGAGCTAGCAGAAGTGACAAAATAGGAGAAATGAATAGTACTGACGACTAGTATTTTCTTCAATGAACCACAGTGGCAAAGACAATGGACGAAATCGCACATGATATCATGGACGAAGAGGAGGAAGAGGAAGAAGCAAGACGGCGCTTACAGGATATAAGCATACAAGAGGATGAGATTCCGGATATGGATGATATTCCGGACATCGAAGATGATGGCGTTATTGAAGAGGAGGATCCGGTAAGTAAATGTGAATGATGATTGCATTATAAAAAAAATTTCGGACTAAAAAAACGCACAACAACACTTTAATCAGGCCACTGTAAAACCGGAGGCTGCAGCAAAGTAAGGGTCTTTTCGCCATCATTTTAGCATTGCTTTCACGCTCACAATTTTTTTAAATGCGCAAATCAGTGACAAAATTCTGCAAGTAAGAACTTATGACGTCTTCATCACTTACGACAAGTACTATCAGACTCCTCGAATGTGGCTATTTGGTTATGATGAGGTAAAGCAGTCTGGCACTAAAAGAAAGTCTTATACTAAAGCAGCCCAATCCAGCAACGCCGACCTTTGTCTTCAAGCCGCGTCTTTGAAGATGTGAATCCCGACTATGTAAAGAAAACTGTTACGATTGAAACCCATCCGCACTTATCCATGAGTTTGGCGTCAATCCATCCGTGCAAGCATGCCGACGTAATGAAGAAAATAATCGAACGCATGGGTGACGGCGTATCGGCGGGATTGGGAAAAGCTGGCCAGCAAGAAACGGGGATTCGTGTCGATCAGTAAGTTACAACTACCCTTTGACGCAACATTGATCACCGAGCTTACCATGAATTTATTGACAGGTATCTTATCATCTTCCTCAAATTCATGAGCTCAGTGGTGCCTACCATTGATTATGATCATACCATCAGTGCCTAATTATCTTCATAAAGACAATTTGATTGCGATACTAACAACACGAATCCAGACTTTTATATCCCTCCTATTGTATTTGGCAGTCCAGACAAAAAAATGTATTATCCAACTTGGTGTCTTGCTAACTTGAAACTCAAAGTAGTAGCCCTCATAAAGAATATCTTTTGGTTCATGAATGTGGCAAAGCCATTTTACTGTTCTATTACAATATTGAAAAAGGGGAATACTATCAATCATACTATCTTGGAAATGTAGAAATATATACAAAGAGAACATCAGGAAGGGTAGAGAAAAATAATATAATACATGTACAAAAAGTATCAAACCTCGTCAGGCACTCAAAGATTCACGGCTGCAACCATAAGTAAGAACTTGGAAAAGAATTTGCTTCAAAGTTGCTGCAACAATCGGCTTGCTTATACAACCATTCTACAAAAGACAAAAAGGAAAACGAAGAAAATGAGTAACCTTCTAACTTGAACTGAGTACTCATTTTTTTTCAATACTTTACCATGCCGACGCGAGTATACGCCTGTTTCCATTCAGCGGTATCGTTGGTAGTGACAGCAACAATGGGAATCGTTCGATTGTGGTGCAAAATCTGATATTTATCAGAGTTGCGAATGTGTTTGGCGGTCTCAACGCCGTTGAGTTCAGGCATGTCGATGTCAAGCAGAATAAGGTCGAATGTTCGGTGACAGAGCACATCCAGGGCTTTCACGCCACTTTTCACAAGTTCCACATGCTGAATGGTGTCTGCCATATGTACTTTAAGCGCTCTTGACAAAATTTGCAAATTGATGTGATTGTCATCGACGACTAAAACGTTGATACGATCTTTGCGTCTTTTACGTCTAATAGAGGATGCGGAAATGGAAGGTGGGGTTACTGAAATGGCGGAACGTGAGGAAGACGGTGAAAATGCTGTAGGTGTGAGAGGTGTGATCGGTGAGACGGTGCTGGTGGTGCTTATGCTGGACGACGAGCTACTTCGTACTAAAGGTGGGATAATAGGCGTTTCAATGGCGAGTGGTGAAGATGGAAGGTGGTAAGAATAACGTTGAATTGGTGATCGACAGATGGAAGGCGGCCGTCGACGACGATACTTCTTCTCCGATGCTGTATCGCAGGTCGAGCCCGTGGAGGCTCGACGGTTATTGTACGCAAAGTAATCCAGCTTTTGTTCTTCGATATTTAGTCTTTTTTTTTCTTTTGTTTATTTCTTCCTATTCTTTGGATAGGAGAATTTGTAAAAGAACGAAGGATGTAACTGAATAGTAAGGTACGGTGATAGCAACAATATATTTATGTAGTCGCAATAGCAACAAGTGTCATCGACACGGAAAACTTGGAAAAAGCAATAAGGAAAAAAGTATTAAAAGTAGTGGAGAAAAAGAAAAAAAAAATGAGGTAACGAAAAAACCTTTCGTCTTTTATATAACGTAGTATAGATGGAGATGTCCGGCGAAAACAAAGTAATAATGATCAGAAATTGAATGGGATCTAGACCCGAGAATCAACGCCATCTCTTTCGTTCTCCTTCCTCAGATGCTCCATCCCCGCACCAACCATTTCCATGATCCAGACGGCTGCCATACCCCAATTTCATAAATTTGTAACGCCGACCATTATCAGCGTCCGCATGTTCTAGACATTCAACATTCACCGGCTCGTGAGTTTCCGCTGATTGTTTGGTGTTCTATGCCAAAGTTCGAATATCATGCGCAAATAATTGATTTCAGCCAACTTTGCTGGATGTACATAAAGTGGGTTTGTATATTTTTCGCATGTATCGTTTTCTGCAAGTATAAGTGGTAAATAAAACAACGCGTCTAAAAAAGTCCTTGTCCGTGTTGCTGTGCAATGATGGATTTCTTGGATACATCCGCCAATGCCCTTGCTTCGTGTTACGATGATCCGAACATGGACAGCATAGCACTGATCTATGCCACAACAATATCATTTTGCATGATAGTACTCAGATTTTAACTACCATAATTTTTCTTACTGTGTTCACCATGACAATGAGGATGATTAGTCCTAAGAGTTGCGAACCGGTTCCAGCATACAAATCAGTGTTCCTAGGTTCTGGGACCTTCGCATGCCCATTGCATAACTTTTAAAATGCCGCTCTTTCAATCAAATTACAGGTCACAGAAACTTGCCAGATGGAGCAGTTGGTGCCCAGGTTGATAACCTCGCCAATGGTTTGGGTAAACATAGTTCACCGAGTCTTTGGATCCTGCCGTCTATTTTATCCAAGCTTAGCCATTGCACCTGGGTTAAAGAATTCACAAAGCAAAATCCTTTACTTTACCAAAATGTGTGAACCGCTCATGACACGATGTGGAAATGCTCAGCGATCGGAAAGCAGACAACTGGATAAAAATTTTTCAGGAAAAATCACCAAAAAAAAAAGTTTTGACGCGGAATCCTCAAAAGGAAACACGTGAGCATGAGTTCGATCGCAATGCTGAATAACATTTATCCTTCTCAGTGCACCCACCGAAAGACACAGTGAGCAAATGAGTGTTAGCATTGGGCCTCCAATAAATCAGGCGTCTGTAATATAGGTAATAGGGTATGTTTCAGAGTCATGGCAAGCCATCAGGCAGGTGCTACTTTTTTGAAACTCGGCATCTGTGGTACAAGGCTTTTCTTCGCTGAGACCTCCTGTTATCTGCATTGGATGTTATACCTGTCCTCATTATGGGTACTCTGAGGCTATAATGATTAGGCACATGAAGCTGGTTTAAATTCCATATTCACCGCAGGAAACGCCGACCGAGACTGATCAGTAACGCGTTATATGCGTTCATTGTACGAGGAGGTATTGTAAACTCAACCTTGCTTCTAGTTTCCTCGAAACCTAGCGACGTACTCTTCTTTGAGTGAAGCATTCTCGTACTTAATAATTTCCGTCTTCTTATTCGCAATGCTGTATCGCACAAATATTTCCACCAGAAGCAAAATCAGACTTTCGTCGATATTCCTTTCCTCTTCGCATTGATATGTTTCTATTCACGAACAATGGTGTCGGCGTATACATAGATGAACAAAGATCTATGCACTATCCGATAAGAGAGATTACTGGCGTTCCAATGGCGGCTTTTGTTCTCGCTACATAGACACATCAGCATGCATTACATTATAATATCCATCAGTTGGAATCTTCTGACGTAGCCGCATAGTGTTATAGCTATTCTCTGTAGTAGGTTGACATGGAAAATCTCCAACGGAAACACTATAAATGATAAATTGATATTCGCGTGCAAATAAGATGGTTTCTTCTTTTGCTATAGAATGTTGTTGTAAATACATATTATGCATTTCATTGAGTGAGGAGACGGTCAACTGCCGAAAATGGTTATTGGTCTTGACAAAGGAAATGATTTCGCTCTTTATTTACAATGAAAACATTGAGGAATAATAAATTGATCCACCCTAAGAAAAGTGGCAGATCCTTGTACTGCATTTTCGTTTACTTGAACGAAGCGTGCCTATTGCGACCTGTGTAAAGGTTTGAGATTGAGCGAAATCTACAGTAGAACAAGTGACACTTCTTGGGTTGCATTTTCTGCATTACTGTATAAAGCATGACAAACGCGGTTATCAATAGAAAGTCGCAAGACGGAATTATATTTTATTTTTTTAAAGAGCAAAGAAAGAAGGTTCGGAGAATATCAATTAAGAATTGGAAGAAAAAGAAGGATGGCAGCACGAATAACGGGTTTCGTGTAAATATGGATGCAGAAGTAACTGGGAGATGATTGCAAAACGTTGTAGAATTCTATATTCGATGTAGAAAAATGGGGAGCAAAACAGTAAGGGAGATCGAAAACAAGGGGTGGCGGCCAACATACAAAACAGGGGATCGATGCTTTCGGTAGCTTCTTCCATTATAAATAAACTCGAAGCTTCGAATAATAATATTAACCCTGTTCGACACTTCAAAACGTTCTCCTTGGCTCATAAATTTTCGACAGCTACAGTACTCAAGCCCAGCTTTCTGTTCTACTTTACTCTCCATTTAGTCCTTCTATCTCTCATATGAAGTGGATTTTCCTCGCCATTCATTGTTGCCTGTTGCTTTTGGCTTTCATATCGGCCGTGAGCGCTGGCAAAGTACGAACACACCGTGTTAATTTAAAAAAGTGCTATGATCATGTTACCCTAACACAGTCGGTATCCAAGCAATCAGTCATACAGAAGCAGCAAATAACTAACATGTTTTGCTTATACTAGATATTGGATACCAAAGCAAGGGGATGAAGATATGCTAAATGGAGGAAAAAAAGTGGAATTATCGGGAGCAAAGACGATGCCATTGAAAGACCGAGATGGCAAAGTCATCGCCAAGGTATCCAAAAGTACTTACGAGGTAAGTCCTATACAATTTAAGCTGCCTCTGTAGCTATTTATTAAACTGAAATTTGAGTAGAAATTCCGCATGGAAGGTACTGGATTACTGGAAAACGGAGTGATGGTGAACCTCGACAGTGGCGAAAACACGTTCCTCAAAGTTGACCGGAAAAAGAACCCTTTCGGCGTTGGTGCAGGTGATAACACTGGGCTGGTCCCGTGGGTGAGCGTTGCATCAAACGATGTCCGACGGGGCACCAAACTCTATATTAAAGATTTGGATGGCGTTGAATTACCGAATGGCAAGAAGCACAATGGGTGTGTACGCGTGGACGATGAAAGCTGGAGCTTTGACCGTTGCCAACTTGATTTCTTCGTTCTGCAATATTCAGCCTACCGTGCAATGGAAAAAGTCGTACCCAACAAGGTCCACGCAGAGCCGAAAGACTGCGAATTGGGAGATTACGTTACATCAGCTGTAAAGAAATGGGCTGCTGTACAAAAAAAATAGGAGAGAATTTTATTGATCATGATCTGAGAAGATGGATGTATGTAATGTTATGGATTTTGTAAACAATGAAGTATGAGCCATAGATATAAACGAGAATATGCTTTCCTATTGTTATATTTGAATATCCCAGCACGATATATGCGACATGAAGCAAGCATTTAGTCCCTTCTCACGCCAGACAATCTCATTTTCTGTTTTTTTCGTGTAAACACGCGGATCCTAACAACACAAACCAACAGGAGACACTGAAGTTTACTGGCAACCATAACCATGACCACTTGATGGCGGATGACCGGTAGTCATTACTAATAAAGTCAAAACGGACTCAATCCAGCAACCACGACAACCGCACTTTTTTTGCTGGGTTCAACTTTCCATTATCGCATTTTCGTCAATATGGAATCTTGATGAAAGATATGACGGTATCGTGGTAGAAGTCGCGATTACAACGGACCTGATATTGTTTTTGGCAGCATGCAACAAGCTTCTTCTTTTATTTAGAGTGCCTAATTGTAGCTGCTTTTATTGGCAATGTCACAAGGTCGTTCCATTCGGTCATATGTGACACCTCTCAACAAGCAATAAATCGACCGTAGTTCAGTAAGTTCGGATCCTAGAAACGTCAAACTAAAGATGCGAGATCTGTGGATGACGCGAGTTCATGGATCATCGCAAGGTTGTAAATGTTTATTGAATGATGGGTGATAATGCTGGGAGAGGGAATATCGATGATTGTAAAACCTAAGCCAAGGCCTCAAGCAGATGAAAGCCAGGGTCAGAGTTGGAGAATACTTGATAAAGTTGTGTCTGATGTAATTCCATTCGAGATGACTTCTTCTTATTCTTATTCTTATTCTAATTCTTCTTCTTCTTCTTCTTCAAGGGATGCCTAATCGTTTTCTGGTGTTGATGGTCTGCTTTTCACAGTATTGTTTGGAGCGTCGACGTTTTATCGATGGTGATTCTGGTCCATCCGTAGAAAACTTTGAGAGATGCACCGTGGTACGATCGAGAAACGCGGTGGTCTCATCTGCTTCCGCCTTGTTCGTTTCTGCACTATTAGCTGACTTTTCTAATTCATCTTTTAACCGCTTGAAGTTCTGTAGATCCTTTTCTGTAAGCTGTAAAAGAGTCGGTGGTTTCCGTATCATATCGTGAAAGAAAATAACAGTTTTTGAGGAAACAAACGATATGGGAAATCCATAATTGGCAGTAACTTTTTCAACAGCAGAAACCAATCAGAAACCGGAGAGCAGTGCATTTTGTAGCACGGCCAAGCTTTCCCATTGTCTGACATTTCCATGCATTATCATTGTGACAATGAATAATCGTAGGTGTTTATTTTAGGCTGCAGAAACCATCCCTTTAATAACTGACCATGTCACAGTACAAGATACGCTTTCAAGTACACAGACCAATGTTGATGATCGGCCACCCAAGGATTATGATTTACCAGCTACCATCGTGATTGTAAGTTAGCATACGTCTCTGCTTCCGAGAAAATCGGCCGCTTTAATGGCAGCTGTAACACTGTATGTGAGATACTTATCTTGTGCCCTTGGCAGTATTCCCTGATGGTTATTCTGGGAATTGGGTTATGCTTCTGCTTAAGGAGAGCTAACCGGTTGATACCCAATCGACTTCTCATTCCACTCAGCTCACGAATGGGAAACGGACGTTCATCACGAGGGTTCGACTTGGCAAGCCAATTAGATGAGGAGGAACAACAAGGATTGTTAAGTGCCTATAGTACGGATGGCGAAGAGGACGAAAATTTTAGTATCGACCACGGGCGAAGAGAAAATCGATCACCAGACACCAATAGCCAGCATATAATCGAAGATACAACGCTAAATGACGAAATGATGGCGCTAGAAATGGAAGAAGAAGAAGCACGACGTGCGGAAGAGGATTTCAACGCACTCATGGCAGATACATCAGGAAATAAAAAACCACATCTGCCACAGTAAACTCACGAAGTTAATAAAAGACGTATGGGATAAACACATCCGACAAAGTCCTTTATCTTTTCCGCCGTATTATCTTCTTCAAGTTTCCAAGATTTTTGGGAAAAGAAAATGGATTGTCAAGCAGATAATATAGAGTCGATAAAACACTAAAGTGAGTCATGGAAGCTGGTAACACACAGAAATGTGTTCAAGAGATCCCCTTTTTCCAAAAATGGTCCGCTCTTGCACGCTCGTTCTTATTCTTTGGATATTCGGGCATAACAACCTTTCAGCGAGTTCAACGTTGCACTTTTTTTTTTTTTACATACCCCATCCAGGAAAACTTTATATCTTCGTAAATGTGTCAGCCGATCATGCTTAGGCTATTTATGATTCTGTATGGCCAGGTATATGTGTCGTGTTTATTGATTTGTATCAAACTTGCACCGATTTTTCACTAGGCGATAACCAGGTCCAGCAAGATTTCACGTAGGATAAGATGACATGAATGGTAGTGTTATTCGCAGTTTCTGACGAGAGAGCCGATGTTTCCTTCTCATATGGATTGTTATCGAATCCTGCAGGCGGTCCGTTCAGACGTAAAGTTTCGCGATAAATCTCCAAAGCTTCGTCCATATGTTCACGCATGTAGTCCACACGCTCTTGACTCGGTGGATGTGTAGAACCAAACCATGAATTCAGCAAATTCTCCAAAAGTTCATTCAGGTTCAGATTGCCTCCGAATTCATTTATATCCTTCGCTTTACTTTCCGCTGAAATGTCACCATCGCCTTCGTCCTTGTTAGCCGTTACAGAGAGTTCGTCGATCTTGGCCATGCGTGACCATACATCGATAGCGACGGTCGGATCGTAGCCTGCTTTTGCTAGCAGCTTCAACCCAACTAAATCAGCCTACGGATGCAAAAGTAAATTTCGTTAATCCAAGCTCTCGATGATGCAGACCTTTTATGTCTCGTAGAAGTTATACCTCTTTCTCTAAACGGCGATTGTAGGTTGTTTGCGTTTCCATTGTAACAAAGGTCGAGATTGCGTCATTAATTTTCTGATTTACGTAGCTAAAGAACATTCTTGTGAGTCTTCATAAATGCCCATGGTATGTGACCTTGACTTACGGGCCCAGCGACTCTGTCACTATCCAAAACACACCACGGGTAATGTCACCCAGCATCAACATAAGCGATGCAAAGCCGTGCGTTTCCACAAAATGACGTTGAAGTGAGTGTGCTATCTCGTGAGATAAAATGACTGCCATTCGAGTTGTATCATAGTCCATATAGTGAATCATGAGATCATATACCAGGATCTGGTTACCAGCACACATAGCATTCAGTGTGCTTGAATCGCAAATGATATTGACTTCAAACTTCCTCCGCAGAGCAGCAGCATCTTCATCGTCGCCGTATTTTCGAACGGCATCGCGAACATCATCGACAGCCACTAAGGCCAGGTTATCGACAATTGTTTGTAACCATTGAACATAGGCATTATCTCGATCTGCCACCAAGCCAGAACTTGCTTGCAATAATTCGTCGGTTTCTCGTTGAGCAATTTCTTTTTCTTCTTCCTCGCTGAGGTAGATAAGTCTCAGGCGCGCGGTATTTGGTGCCTATGGATTTTGTTTTAGACCAGCTCGTATGGTTTGCAACCAATAAGCAATATCAGTCATACTTGATCCAAGCCGACAACGACCAATAGAGTAAAACCGATTAACGGGATGCCAGCCAAAAGCTTAGCAAATCGACGTCCGCGATTTCTCAACAATGTATGGGGCAACAATGTCAGCGAGGTTTTTGACGATAACGAGACAAAACTAATCAGTTTTCCTGTCTTGAGCACACTAAGAATGATGGCCGGAATAGGAATGATAGGAATCTGGCGCGGCGGTACAGTATGGAATAAACGAGTAGGAGTGGTAATCCGCGCATTTGGATGCAGTAACTGCGATCGATGACATCTGTGGCAGAGATTGAACCGGCTGCTATGATACATCCATTGCGAAATATGAACTCGGGATGAGATGAAAGATTGGAGCAATCTGGGAGGCATGGAGAATGGAGTGTCCCTGAGAAAATACCGATTCAATGTTTAAGAATGAAACCGTCAGTGGGCTTGTGGTGCCGAAGCGTTACACAAAGGCAGGGCGCAGTCTTCCTTGCCGAGATTATCCATGATTGGACTCACCATCGGGATTTTCATTGTCGCACTTTGTTACCCAACCAACAGCGATTTCTTTGTGAATGGATGTAATGCATGTGCAGCACCTGAGAGTTTTGATTTATATCAATTTGACAAATAAACAGATCGTACACTCAAGTTAAATAGCAACATCGTCGGGTTTAATCAAAGACTTGCATAGAAGTCTGTGAGAGACTCTTGAAGAAAAAAAAAACCTCGGTTCATACTGTATATGCCAATGCTGTCGTCTGCCTTATTTTGAACCTGCGTAAAGACCTTTTTTTCAGCCGCAGGAACTAGAGTTCATCATCTTAATTTGCATACAAGATTCATTATGGAAGTACCTTACTGTACAACTAGACCTTGCTGCGACCGCAGATACATAATATGAATTACCTGGTTAATAATCAGTTATCGACATCAGCTGGTGGTCTGTCCGCGGTCAATAAAGGGCAACTGCAGAATTTTCTGATAATTGGGGTTGCAGCCTGGATCAAAATTCCTGGACGCGCAAATGTCAGCGGTGCTTCAATTTCCTCTGTTTTTTCATTTGCACCACAGCTGCTTGTTCGGTGTTGATTTTTGGACGTTTGGAAAATGTTGCAAAATCCGAATTCAAACAATGACAAGGCCATGTCCTTGCTAAGCACCTGCATGCTCCAGGGCTGGGTAAATTAAGTTAGCGTCTCGTTAGAGTGTATCCGTGAAAACTTATTCGTTTATTTTCTCCATTTTTGGTTCAATAGGTAATGACTGATGAGTCCTGTTCAGTGCAGGATTGCGTTGTCCCTATTATGCGATCCAAAGATAAAACCATTCGATTTTGCGTTATTCACGATAAAGTGCCGACTTGCAGCCCAAGACAGACAGCAGCGGCACCGGCCGCTACAGAGACGGCGTTCAAATCATCCCCGAAGTTGACTCAACAGCAAGATGAAAGCAATTCTATTGAAGTTACGGTCGAATCCGATCTTGATCAAAAGAAACTGCAATCATTTAGAGAACAAAGAGAGCAATCATCAAAAGCTTCTCAGCTGATCGGCCAGAAACTATTGCAACAATGGACTTTATTGAACGAAATATGCCCTAGCCCGAGCTGCTACGCCGTAAGTATCCAAACTTTTTTTGTTGGCGTTTTCCATTGCTCACTGTCAACATTCCAGGTGCCGCTGATGCGTAATCCAACCACGAAGCATATGTACTGCGTTATTTGCGAAAATAGCTATGCAACAATCTCGGAGGCGGAGAGGACCGATGTCCAACCAACAGTGACCGAGAAAACCGTCGCTCATCCACCGCCACCGCCTGCACAGGAGGTAAATGATGGCCTGATCCATCTACATAAGAGAAGCATACTCAATATTGGATTTTGCATGTTTAACTATAACCAATTAGACCCAAACATTCAAGCGAATGAAAAACGTAAGTGCCTCTTGATCATTCAGCTATCTGTCATTCTCATGCCATCTTTTATACCCATAGAAGACTACATCAGCGGACAATGATGCTTCTTTAGGATCGATGTATCCCTCAAATTCTGCCAAGCCATCTTCTTCGGTTCAACAGTTTACTGTAGACGCCACTGTCCAAGCACTTACCGAGAAGCTTCATCAACTGACCGAGAAAATGTGTGCCTATGACCATCCTTCCGAACTCAAAGGTTATTTCGAAGCAATTCAATCCTGCGCAGCAGCCATCCAAGCTTGTATTGAAGCCAGCGAAGCGTACAAGTCCGTAACCAGGTCATAGCGAAAGACAGTTATATCTTTTGACACATCGCCAGGATATGATTTTCGATCGAGCTTTCATGATATCCTTTTCATCAATCCATGTACCATGCTTTTCAGCAAGGGTGTTATTTGCTTGTCCAGTTTCTGTTTATTTTGCTGCCCTTTTGTGTATACAAGCCCAACAATTTGTATATTTCGCATTTTTTTATAGACTCTTCTATTAGCGAATTTTGAAATTAGTGATGTTGAAAAAGTTGGATAGGGGACACATAAAAGTTCAATGGGGGGATTTTGAGAATACTATTGACGATATTCGACGCGACACGCATGTTTATAGCAATTGCATTGAGTTTTGCTAACTATCATATACTGTATGGGCAATATATGAGCAGATACAGTATCGCTGTTATTCCACAGGAATTGTGATTCTGTGCTAGGCCTTCTGCGACAAGTCGGCAGATACCGTCCTTGTCAGACAAGGGGATATTGAAATGTAGTCGAAATTGTTTTTCTTTGCCGATTTTCTAAGCGGTTGCTTGAGAGCGAAAATTGAGGCTTCTTCATTCCCTTTGTTATGATCCTGACAAACGCTATTTATCGTACGCATAATGTACAGTTTGGCGTTGTGGCAGCTAAATGGTGATGGAAAGTAAGGACCTTTCGATGAACGATCCTTCGTAACCTTTTATTCTTTGCAGCTGGTTGTAAAGCAATATTACGGAATACAATATAACAAGGCGTACACGTACGCCTGCCAATGGAGGTGTTACGCTGATGGCCAGCTTGATTACAGCTTGAGCAACACACAGTTTCTGGTCGACTCGTCATGTTACGTTATGATTATGCGTAACAGGAGCTTATGTAGTTGATTATTTGAAAAAAAAATCAACTAAGGCTCTTCCTTTGCCTTTTTTTTGCGGGGAGTAATGTAAACAGAATCTCGAGAGTCCGTGGAGAAGTCAGAGCTGTTGCCCATTGCATCGCTGTTAAGGTATCCAATGACATGTTCTGCACTTTGCTATAGTAAACCCTGATAAATGATAATAAAGGTGAGTTATCAATTACAGGGATCTTTTCCTTTTCAAAACGCGGTGTACCTCCAGCCTGATCATATTTTTATGAGCCTGGAGGGGATATACAAGGAGATCCAAACAAACGGAAAGTATCTTCGGCATGAATGGTCCAGACATCAGTTTTCCAGTCAATAGTCGGGTAAGTGTTCAACCAGGGCCTTCGAGTATTGGGTCGAAGCATGTGTCCGTGGATATACGCTTCGAAAGCCACCTTGACGTTTCCAGCGGTCAAGGAAAACGCGGGCTATCTTGTCAACCAGAAGCTTCCGACCACCACAGATCTCAACATGACGTGGGTTGGTACTTGTCGTTTTCGCGAGGGTTCTGGGCAGTCTTCTGGAGCTCATAGTGTCTAGCCGCATAGGCGAGCCAGGAGGCAACTGAGGGCTAGCTTGATGACCTTGTATGGGCGACAGGTGGTAGAACCGCAGAGTCGCGAGCGGCACACGGACCACGGCAAGAGACCGACAATGAGAAGAAGACGGGCCACGTGAAACGAGGTTGCAGTGATTGTGGCCTGCTGTGGTCGCCATAGCGGTTGGTGCCTTGATGGCATCATCAAGGGTACGAGTCTGCGACCGTAAAATTTCTAGGCAGACTTCGCAGCGCAATCCTGTGGTACATTTATCGAAGACACGCCGGATAAAAATGGAATTCTTCTTGGCAAATGTACAATCCGTGAGCTGTCTCATCGATACACGTACGCTTTCGGTCCTAATACACTATTGAAATAATTAGCATACTCATGAAGAAGCAGCCATGTGCAATATATATGAAATTCCCGGTCCCATACTTACGGTGAGCTTTATTTTGAGATATAAATCAGCATCACCCTCCTGCTTCAGCGTCCGTCGTACTTTCTTCAAAAGCCGCTTCAACATCTTGGCCAGCTTGATTTTGACCCCCACCAAGCGCGCATGATGTTTCGTATTCGGGAGCCCACTCACTTCCATCAATGCGATCATCACACCATAATTTTTCGAATTGACGCAGCCATCTGGCATCAGACCCTTGCATCGTGCATCATTGTCCTTAAGCAGGGCTTCTTCTTCTTGTTTCAAGGTATCGTGAACGACATCACCCCTATGAGATGGTTTATTATTTGGGAGCGTGGTACGAGTACAAATGTTGCAATACAACACCAACTTACCATTGCCGTTCAATTTCCTTGTGATGCTTGAATAAATCACCGATGATCGGCGTTAAGAATTTGACAATGTAATTCAGTTCAGCCTGTGGGAATCAGCATTGACGAAGATCCGTCCTTGTCATACGAATCACGGCTAGTAGTTTGCGGGTGTAAGGTTAGCGTTGCTTCAAAACTGCGGCAAAGGAGATGCTTACATATGTTTCATAAGGCGGATGGCGACTTTCTCCCATTTATGTTGCTTATCGCCTTTCTGCCAGAGCTCCTACCGGAACTCCTGCCTTGCTTCCTTGATTGCACAATGGTAATCGGACGGTGAGGATCGGCCAGGCCTTGATCTTGACGGGTTCCCAGAGAGAGCAGACAAAGTTATACACCAAGTCCTGGTCTTGAGGCAGATGGGCTTCATAAGACACTTTTCGATATCTTTCCAGGACGTATACGGGTTTCCCCACTGCGTTTCGCCAAGTGCCTGTGTTCATCTTCTTTTCCACGGGGAGAAAGGGTCGCCAAACTGTTTTTCAAGGCGGGATACGGCTTGTCTGCACTTTAAACCTTTACCGGCGAAGGTGCGCGAGAGCCACTGCTGCTGGAGTCAAGTCGATGATTCCATAGTATAATAAGCTTACGTTTCAAAATGTTAGCCTACTGGAGTAACTCACTACGTTATATATCATTTTTACTTACTCCTGCTTATGTACGTCGCTGATATCGTCAGTTTTTGCTCGGTAATTAATGACTGACATCCTAGAGCGTTCAAAGGGAGTTGTGCAAAACGGGTCGTCACTTTCGGTTTCCTGGGTATTGCTGTCTTCATTCTCGTAGCTGCGGGGATGGGAAGGCCCGGCGATCGCTTTATACTTGCGTTTACTTATGTCTTGGAAGCCCTTGCGCAAGCTCAACTTGCTCGTTCTTCTGTTCCTCATCCGCGACCTTCGTTTGATGCTGGCCCGAATTGTTCTTGAGCTGAACCGCCACAAAGCTGCCTTGGGCACATCAATGGAGTGTGTTCTCCAAAAGAGACAAGTACATTTCAACAGGTCGTTTTCGTTCAAATAAGATAAAGTGTCTTGCCTTTACTGAACGAGGCAACTTTTATCTGCTTTCCGCCTATTCACTTGATAGTCAGTAAACTTCTTCTTGGCAAAAAGGTCAACAGCTCTACCTTCAGTTATTTCAACCATTCGTTGGCTTCTTCCGGCAAAGATTTGGGTCGCTTTCGCTTTCGCCTTCTTCTCCGCCTTATCGAGCCGACGTGTTTCGAAGTCATAGTTACTGGCTGTTTGTTTTGATCGTCGGATTACATTGCCTTTTTTTTACGGCTTATCATTTGTGGCGGCGTTCCGTCACAAAACGAATGAAGGCATAATGCAAATGAATATTTGAAATAAAATAAGAAAATCGAAAAGAAAACGAAGGGAAAACTAGTGGAAGGACTGTCTTTTATTTTTAAGCGAAATGTACACCGTATGTCTAGAATCATCGGATGCATCGGAGCTATCCGACTGGGAACCGGTCTTCAGGTATTCTTCGACCATGATGGCACTACTCGTGAGAAGTTCCTGCAAAGATGGTCAGACGGTTAACGAATTATGGGATAGAAATAGCTTCAGTATTCGTACCTTGACTTGCCAAAGATGCTTCAAGAAATTGGGGACAAACGCGGGAATCATTCCGCTTGGACAAGAGACATTGAACTTGCAAAAGCGCTCGAAAGCGTAAACGCCCTTTGTCGGTTCGCTGAGAGTACATAGAAACAATTTGTTCACTGTAGATATATTAGTCAATATGTTAAAACACGAAAGTATTAAAGTTTGATGCTTACGTACAGTTGTACCCCGTAAAATTTGAGGTTGCTATACAGATCATCGTCGCCAGAACGGGCCGTGCGACGGATTTTCTTCAGCAGGCATTAGGTTTTTCGCCAGTTGGATACGATCACCCACAAGTGTGGATGATCATCGATATTCGGCGGACCGCTGATCTCCAGCAGAGAGAACGCCACGATAAGGAATTGTCAACGGATGATTAGTCTCGTCATGTAATCCGACAGACATCGAGACGCTCTTGCCACGCCTCCGACAAAAAGAGAATTGACTGGGCGTCCATCAACAAGTAGAAGTGCTTCGACCGGATTCTCGACGATACATCCACATGTGTCTGTGATTTATTCCCTGACGTACAATAGACTCTTACGCTGAGTCGGAGACAACGGGAAAACGAAGAATACTCGGACCATGCCCAGTTCGGAGAAGACTTGCTGGTATTGGGACACGAGACAAAGGACGAACGTTAATCAATGACCATCTGAAATACAGCACGCATCAGACGCCGATTGCTGTGAGGATACACCTTCGGTAGATAGACGACACCGTCGAAGGTAACCGTCGGCCCATTGCATTGGGCGTGGTTGATACTGTTCGCAGACCTTTTCGCCTAGATAAGCCAAATATAAGCGTGGGGCTCCTTTCCAATGTCTCAATACACCTACCCAACCAATGTTCCGAAGATGTCATTCATATCTCGCGTATGCTCGAACAAGCGAATCAATTGCGGCCGAGAACAGCATCTGGGATGCTTCCTTTGATTCTTCTTTCGTCTTCTTTCTTTGCCATTTGCTCCTCTTCTTTAACAGCCGCCAAACTTTTGTCACCCCCATTTTGACAATGAGAAAATTCATATCATGAATGGCAATTCAACGAATCATACCACTGCAACTTTATGTTATCGCATCCCTTCAAAAGCTCGCAAAGCAAGGGCGACAGAAACGTAGCCATGTAGTTGTGTTCACCCTGGCTCCGGAAAAGGACGCAACGGCCATCTCGTGCAACGATGGAAGGCTGTCAGAATATTGCTCCCGGCTATCAAATTTCAACTAAGCTTCAGATCGGAAAATGAACATATGAGATCGTATATTTACATTCATGATTCTTATCGGCCTTTCGCTTCCGTTTGGCCGATCCCTGAATTTCTCGGAGTTCCTGGCGAGCGGACTTGATGGCAGCGCGCAACGTTATATGATTGGCCTATTATGCATGTGGTTTGAACTTGATGCGTGTCGTGACAAGACTCTATTTCAATTTCTTACTACATGTGCCAAGATCCACCGTGATACTCTTTCACTTCATTGGAAGAGCCGTCGTCCAAATCCTGTGCGTTTCTTTGATATGGTCCTTTTGTTTTCGCCAGATCTACGAGGTCCTTCAGGACTGCTTCTTCGATGACCTCGGATACTTTGCTTGACGAGCGTTCCACAAGATCAATGATTCCATAGAATAGCAGGCTTTCAAGGTACGTTAGTATATTTTGATGATATGCTTATCTATCTGGTTTACTTACTCCTGCTTGTGCAATGTTTCAATGTAGTTTGCCTCCATCTTGAACTTGATGATTCCAAGGCGTGCACGTTCCGCTGGCCTGCGGTAATTGAACGGATCAACTGGTTCCTCTGGAGCAATTATGTCACATTTTGATTTTCTACCATAAGTCGCTTATATCATACCTGCAACTCGATGAGAAGACGCTTGAGCAATGATTTTAGTGACTGCTTGTTCCGCAGCCGTTCGGCTTTGTATGGTATCGCCGATCTCCGCTTCTTGTCTTTGCCGAGCTTGATCAAGTGAAGATAATGCTGAAGATTCGAAATTGTCACAAGCCAGATCGACAGGATTGGGTTTTATTTTTTGCCAAAAGGACTCCACTTTTTAAGCGACGTAGCGCTCTGTCTGGTACTGCTTTTTGTGGCAAGACTGCCTTGAAAGTAAAACATGAAACCATCAAGAGTTTGGAAGTCTGTGTCGACTTTGACATGCTCGCGGAGTACGGATTCAGAGTCATGCAGGAAGTTGATATAGTGCAGCGGTCTTTTCTGCAAGTATGCAGTAACTGTATCGAGTGCAGGAAGCTCTCAATGGTCGGACCTCCGGAAAACTTGATTTTCTTCGGGAAGCTGGGAAATCCGCTGATAAGAGCCGAATTCCAGTAGGGCGGAACAAGGCGGTCCCTGGTTATATAAAGGGCTTCGGATGAGGACCGACTGACGGAAGGGCGACAGTCCCTTCAGTCTTTATTGCGAAACCCTCGCGACTGAAATCCAAAGTCTTGTGATGTGCACTTTTGCATGGTTGTCGTCCGTGACGGAGGCACCGATGGTCGAGTCGCCTAAATTTTTACAATTAGTTTGGCAGAACGATCAATGTCTTAATAACGTAGAGCGGTTGCTTACCTCGGACGATCCAGATGGTATTGGCCTGTGTTCCAAAAGAAGGCCGCGACGTTGCTAGTGTGCGCAGTCCTCGATGCGTCGCCCAAAACGCCACGGAGGATACCAGAAAGTCGGTGTTTTCGTCGATAACGCGGAGTTTGGAAATTCAGCTTCATAAGTATATAGTCATAAACTTCTGCAGGTATATCTGCCGACCGGTGGAGAGATCCGCCACACTGAATGATCCCGAAACGTTCGAGTCTGCCAAAGATAAGGTTAGTCTATGATCTAGTTGAATTACGCCGCTATCATATTTCACTCGCCTGTAAGCGTGAGAATCGCAGAAATCGACAGTTCCCATGAGTTTCCTGTACTCCTCGATTGGCGCTTGGCTGGACTAATCAAAGCAAAAAACCACAGGTTAGATTTGCTCCAAAAACACGTATGAAAACGGTTACCATGCTTTCGGTTGCTGTTGGACTTTCGGCTATCAGAACAGTAGTTTCCTCGCCTGCTTGATTCTTTTGTTTTTTCTCCCTGCTGTTGATGTCGGCGTCACTGTCGTTTATATGTAACATCACGTTAACTTAAGCGCGGTTTTTAAAACGGGCTCGTATTATTTCAACCACATACTTTGCAATAGCCGCTTTGAGCCAATGTGGGTATCGCTGCCACTGGCAATGATCGTATTATCGCCGCTGCATGGAGAATAAAAAATCAGGAATTGTTTCTATTGGTTCTCAATCTTTTTATAAAAACGCACCTTACAGAACCAATGTTCTAATAAAATAGAAAAAAATATTGTGAATAACGTGATTTGAATTGTCGCTTGTTGCTGCGGATACCTGAGTAATTGTCACTTGTACGTGACGTGGCTGCCCTTGCGTTTCATTAACGTCGTCAGTTCGTTCAACGGCAGTATTCTTTTGCATCGCGTTCTATTAATTTACCATCAGAACTTGTTCTATTTTGCTTATTTTGCCACTATATCGAAGATGTTTACCGTAAACTCTTTCCAGTTTCTTAGATAACGATCTGCTTCAGCTGCTTTCTCTTGACATTGTAATTTAAAACGGACAAGATCTTTCTTGATTTTGATGTTAATCATTCGCGTATCATATTGAGGGTATTTCAACTGATAAGCTGATAAAATTTCATTGGCGTTGTAATTGGAAGGATCGGTTCGAAGAAAATATTCCATGCTAATGATAAGACCAACACTTCATTGCAAAATCGCCCACAAATTCTGTCAAAACCCGCATAACGAGCAAGTGATGTCATCACATCAATTTACCTGCACTGTTTGGCAGAAAATTTTCTACATCCATTACCATATCCACCCTCTTGACGGAAGGTTGATGAAAGTGAGTCAACTTGCATATCCAGTATTAGGTGGCATGTTCGGTATAAGGGCGTACGTTGCAAAGAGAACAAGTATGTTGTCTTTTCGTTGGTGCATGTGTCGGCCAGTTTACAGAGCGCTAATGATCATTTCTAGCTGTTTACGGGGTGTTCGGACACTGGAGAATGCGTGCAAGGCATATTTGCTCTAGTCGCCCTTGGTAGGAATCATCCTGTTGTAGCTTTGGTAACCGCATAGGAAGGTCCTTCCTCGCCTACGCACCGAGGTAGATCTGCTTACGAACCGGCTTCCTGGTTGCCTTTTAAGCTCAACGGTGTTGCTCTTCCTCCAGAGGGTATGGAGGGTCCTTCCTCGCTTACGCACCGAGGTAGATCTGCTTACGAACCAGCCTCCAGACTTTTGCAAGCAGCAACCAAAGATGAATCTACAGAAGATGGGAAGTAACACATGAAGTCTAGGAAAAAAGTTCTTGTGATACTAACTGTTGGAATTTTTTAGTGGAAATTCTAATGGAGATGAAGGTTTCGATAATCGCCCGTGGCTGGAATCATCCTGTTGTAGCTTTGATAACCGCATAGGAAGGTCCTTCCTCGCCTACGCACCGAGGTAGATCTGCTTACGAACCAGCTTCCTGGTTGCCTTTTAAGCTCAACGGTGTTGCTCTTCCTCCAGGGGGTATGGAGGGTCCTTCCTCGCTTACGCACCGAGGTAGATCTGCTTACGAACCAGCCTCCAGATTGCGAAATCCTTCGATCTCTGTTAGAGTTTTCCATACAGTGACCATCGCAAATTGTCTGTTGATTGTGTGGCAAGTTTCCTCGCTTATCTAGCATTAGGTGGCATGTTCGGTATAAGGGTGTGCGTTGCAAAGAGAACAAGTATGTTTCATTTTCGTTGCTGCATGTTCCCGGCCATTTTACAGAACGCTAATAATCATTTCTAACGGTTTATAGTGTGCTCAGACGCTGGAGAAACCCGTACACGGAATATTTGCTAGCTCTGGATATACTGGAACTAGATATCCCAATTGATCAATTTACGCAGCCAATTTGAATGCGGTGTTACGAAAATTCACCTTTGTGGCTGTGGTCGCCGATTTCTACTACCGAGATCCTCTCTTGATTTTCCTGCAGCTTGTTTGGTTTTTCGTCTGCCGAAGTACCATTTTCCGATTTATCATTGCTACGCTTGAGCCCGCTTACTGGCTCCAAAGACGCGCTTTATTTTCCTTTTTCATACAGTGTAAAAAAAAATCCTAATGATGACTCCCTTTTTCGCTCACACCTTCAAATGCGTGCGGTCTTACTCGATTTAATTTTTATTTTTATTTTGGGGGCGGGGGAAGGGGTGATAAAGGCATATAATATTCATCTGAGGTATTTCTTGACGAACATCTGATACCATTCGGGAGGGTGTACCACATTTGTCGCCTTCGTTTCGTCAAGTGTAGCATTGTTGGTCGTTCCTACAACAATTCCCCCTTGACTCCGCTTCGTCTCTCAACATCGTATTGTTGTCCGTCAGAATTGGATATTCTCGTGATGGAAAATTGTTGAGCCGTTGGTTCATAATAATACTTTCAAACGCATTGGATCTGTTGCTCCAGTTTGCATGTTGTTTTACTTCTTCGATCGAGTGTAGTTTTTCTACTGCTTTTGTGCTGGAAACTGATCGTATTGAATGGGCCTTGTAAACACCTTTGATCCCGCCATTTTTCATAATGAATTTGACCCAATTTGATACTGTCGATGGTCGAACCGAAGTTGTTCCCTTATCGTCCTCCAGATAAGTAAGAAATAGAGTGTAAGTACCGGGGCACAACTCTCGATCTTCGACCAGACCAAGTTGATTTGATCTTATATTTGTTTCCTTTTGCCTCTGGGAAATGGAGGATCACCGCTATAGGTTCTTGGTCGACAATTTGAAACTGTATATTCTGATATTGCAGTCTTCCAATATCTGGTCTCGGTCTGGCCGTTGTCGCTAAACACAATAGTACGAGTGTCTTCTGTTGTAGTTCCGTCAACGTAAGCGTCTCATTTTTGCTCCAGTGATCCTTGACATATTGCGCCAGTATGTCAGTATCCCAAGTGACCAAGTCAGAATGCCTGCGGATCTTGATTTCTCGACGTCGCTTCGCTTGTCTTTGTTTTTATTGCTATTGCTATTCTAGAGTTCATAACAATCAGCAACGCTTTGCTCTGTTGCCGGTAGGGCGTCTCCTTTTTCGGCCGCCTAGCGATCCTTCAGAGCCTGCTTGAATTCCTCATCTAAAAATTGAGCACCAAGAGATCAGCAGTGTCCGTGCAACTCATCACACACAAAGAATGGGTGACTCACATTCTCGCTATTGTCCTTACTGTCAGTGGCAGTGTCACTGTCACTGTCGGTGTCGTAACCCATGGCTTCCAATGGGGAGCTATCACGTTGCTGGATTCGTGACTGTATTTGATCAGCAGCCTGACACTATCTATTCTGTATAGGCGCTGCGCTGCCCGCTAAAAAACAAAAAAGAAATAGATGTTTCAGTTTAAACGATGGTGTTATATTGTCCCTGCTTGTGGCTATTACCAGAACTTTCACTTCATTGAATAAAGGCCGCCAGATTTCTGCATTAACATCGTCTGATGCTAGACAAAGGCAACGAATCGTATTGGTGCTGTGCTTACGCCAGGCGTTACCCTGTAAGCTGGACAAACTCGAGAACCCAACATCACACCGCTGACAAGACTGCGGGATAAAAGACTTGAGAAAGATGTTGAAGTATCTCCCTCTGTGACCTTGTAATCACCCGTGTTGAATTTCCAGAGGATGAGGCGACCCCAAATTGATGGTGAGTGCTGATGATCGTCCGAAGGAATTACTAGAAAGAAAGCCTAATTGCTGGCAAATGCGGCCAACTGCTCGGAGACTACCGTTAAAACGCGATAACAAAGAATACGGTAGAGGATGGGGGGTTCTTTTTTTGAAGAATAAAAAAAAGGAGATGTGTGTTGACCGTAGTATATTTTGGTGCGCTTACTGAACAATTCGAGCAAGTTCAACCGCCTTATTCAAAACCGTCAATAACCATAACAACAGGTATGTACTAAAGTTATATGAAACGGAAAAACAACAAGAAGGAACAAAATAAATAAAAGGCAGAGCACAAACATGAGGCAACGGTGGATAACTGAAAAGCCAGAAGAGATCGATAGAAAGAAGCGTGATGACAAGCATATAGGGTAAGCGCGTGGAGCAGCATCGCAATTGTAAGAATTGTGCTTAGGCGAATAACACACATGGTCGTGCATGAAGGCCAAGACAACGTGTGTCTTGACTAACAGCGCCATGCCGAACGAAAAATGGCGTCCCTCCCATATATTTTGTATCTGCAATCTTTACCTACTGCGATTTGTGACGATTCGTCTCCAAACACAGCTACAAAAGATTCCAGGTCCATCAAGAAAAAAAAATCTCCTTACTGTATATTCTTTTGATGTCGCGTGTTTATTGTTTGAAACTCTAATTGCCAGGGAATTTTACCTTTATGAACTTTTGTCATGATTTGCCAGTAAGATCGTGTCGTCTCTGCAATACACCCTTGTATACAGTACATACTGATTTTCATATTCTTTGTTTCGATATAAATATTCCGTCATCGCTAGAATAAAGCTGTGCCAGACTATCTTGTTTCCATCCAGTATCGGAGTCCCATCTCTTCCTTGTTTTGTCTTGTCCCTTCCCTCCGGAAAGCAAATACCACCTCTCTTGTCCCGTTGTTAGAAGTATAATCAGCTTGAGATAAAGTAGTCGAGATTTGCGATTTTCAATTCGAAAATTTTTTGTGAGCGCCGGATCTACCGTTGGAAATGGGAAAAGAAAAAAAAGGGAAAATGCAAAGAGTCAAAAACACATTGTGTCCAAATCGAAAAATGATATGAGATAGAGGGAATACAGAAATACAATACTCTGAACGTCAAAAAGATCAAAAGGAATACGCTGGTATGTTATTCCTAATTTACTCGAGTCGAAAACTAACGGTATTTACCCTAGAGTCAATTAAGCTAGAAGACATTCAGTAAAGTGAAGATTATCACTACGATCGATGAATAAGTGAGCACCGGAACCTGAGGTAACGAATATCAAACCGGTGATTTAATAAGATGAAATGACGAACATCAAGAGGTAAAATAATGAATATCAGCGTCTGAAGTTCGGTGAGAAAAAAAGGGTACCTATGTAAGGAATCAGGTACAAGAAATTAACAGCCACGACCATGGTGGTTTTGCTT